AGCCACTTCAACTGCTGCTGGAGCAACTTCATCTCCATTAGCACAAAACGCAGTGGATGCTGCAAGGGATGCAGCCACAGTTGCTTCTGGTGCAGGAAAACACAATCTGAAATTTCTAGATTTAGCTGCAAAAATTGCTGCTGCAACTGCCAGAAAAGCAGCGAATGCAGCAGCAGAAGAAGCGAGAACAGCAGAAGCCCTGGGAGGACTTGCAAATGCATCACTGATGGCAGCAGAGGCTGCTGAAGAAGCAGCTGAGGCATTGACAATGCTAGCCTCAGGTAATCTAACAGCAATTGCACAGGCTGCACAAGCTACAAAAACAGTGGCTGAAAAATCAAACAATGCAGCACAAATATTGGGAACAAAATTAATACCCGCCAAAGGGCCAGCAGCAATGTCAATATCAGCAGCATTAGCAACAGCAGAAATAGCACAAGCAACAGCAGAAATAGCATCATTAGCAACTAGACCAGCCGTAACAGACGACATTGCTGCAGTAGTTATGGCAGCAGCAAGATCCGCACAATCAGCAGCAACTGCTGCACAAGCTGCACTTCCACGTGAAGACATCACTTCAATCCCATGTCAAGAACGACCAGCAGGATTACCACCCGTTTCTACTACAGCAGCCCCAACGGGGAAAATCTCTGCAGCGGCAGCAGCTGCAGTGTCAGCATCCACATCTGCAGCAGCAGCAGCAACAGCATTGGCCGCCTCAGCAGCAGCAGCTGCTGGATTAACAAATTCCACAGAACTAGATATAGCAATACTAGCTGCACAAGAAGCAGCTAGAAACGCTACGTTAGCGCCGGAATTTGCAGTTAAAGCAGCACAAGTGGCAGGAGAGGCAGCTCACAGAGTGGCACTTGCAGCAGCACAGTCCACAGAGTCATCAGACATAGCCAAGGCAGCACTAAAAGCAGCATTGGCGGCAAGACAAGCAGCGGGTGCAGCCTCTACGGCTTTAACATCACCAGATGCACGTATAGCCACTGAAGCAGCTGCACAAGCAGTGTCCGCATCAGCAGCAGCAGTACTGAAAGCCTTACAAGCCGTCACAAGTGAAGAAATAGCTGCATTGCCAATGGAAACAATTTCGGCGATAGCCGTAGCAAAAACGGTTTCAGACATAGCAGACGCAACAGCACTTATAGCGGGAGCAGCAGCAGCAGCAGCGAACAACACAGACATAGCGACATTAACCCTAGAAGCGGCAGCTAAATCTGCAACAGCAGCAGCAAATGCAGCAAGCGCACTCCAAAGCAAAGACCCAAACGCAGCCAACCCAGAGGCCGCTGCAGCGAGGATGGCTAGAGCAAAGGAGGCAGCGGTGGTAGGCTCAACAGCAGCTGCTGCGGCGTCCGCAGCAACAGCAGCAGCAGCAGCAGCAGCTGCCGGACCAGGAGCCGCAGCAGCCGCAGAGAGGGCAGCGAGCGCTTCAAAAGCGGCAGCCGAGGCCGCCTCTTTGCTCGCAAAGGGGCAAATATCAGCGGAAGAGGCCGCGGCTAAAGCAAGAAACGCAGCTGAAGCAGCCCGCGCAGCGTCGCTGGCAGCCATGCAAGCAGCAGCGCTAACTAAGCCAGAGTCAGCGGGACTACGAGCGGCGCAAGTAGCAGCGGCAGCGGTTAAAGCAGCGGCAGCGGCTGAAACAGCGGCACAGGCAGCCACAACGGCTGCGAGTTCCACCTCACTGGACGAGATTAATTCCGTGGGACTGAACGCCGCCAAAGAAGTGGCGGCGAAGACAGCCGAGGTGGAGGCGGACCTGCGGGGGCTGCTTTCGGACAACAGCACTACAGCCGCAGAGCGCATGGCCATAGCGGATGCGCTGTCAGTGGCAGTCATGGCGGCAGCAACCGGGAACACGGTGCAACTGTCCCTGAGCTCGTCATTGGAGCGACAGAGCGCAACCTCCGACACGCTGACATCACTGGCCTTGCAGATGGCGGCGGCCGCGGCAGACGCAGCGTCGAGGGTAGTCTCGGCGGCATCCACGGGTGTGAATGCGACAGGAGCACCAGGAGACGGGGCCGGTGCAGCAACAACACCCATGACAACAAGAACAACCATGGCGGCGGCAGCAACAACAACGACAGCAGCGGCGATCAACAACAGATTCAGTCTTCTTTCCATCACGGTGGCCGTCATGGCCGCCGTCCTTCTATAGGCAGCGACGAGATCCAGATATATGCACTCAGTTCAATGGTTTATATTTAAATGTATCACTAACTCTCCCATCAATCACGTGTACACCCATATCATGACTTTTCAATCATTTGCCTGCATGATCAAAATTTGATCAGGAAGGAGGAAAGGGGTTAACTTTATTTATTGTTATATTTATTGTGGCATGTTTGAGTTGGATCGTACGTCAAACGTAGACGCTTTAAGGTCCCGGTGTTGTACTTCTGACACGCATATGTATGTGTGCTTAAGATATCACAATCAGGTCTATCATTTGATGAAGTTCTCGTTGAAGTACATTATTGCACAATATTATGTAAATAGCTTATTCTATATGTTTATTGTGATTGTTGGTTAATTACTAAACCTAATTTATGAAAGAATATGGTCCCTTCTCAATAAAAGAAAACATAACTGAATCACTTGCTTGTTTCTTTTTAATATTAGGAGTATTAGTATATAAACATCATCTAGCTTCAATAAAGAGCTAAAACGAGATGATAGAGGTGGAAAGAGATTTGATGATTTGATGATTTTATCTAAATTGAAGATATTGCAGATAGAAACTAAAGGTGTATTATTCATTAAAGTTATGACGCATTTATTGAAACAGAACACAGGACTGCTGCAGTAAAACCAGCACCGGGAAGCTTCCACTGGATCCGACAGCAAAGACTTCATTTTAAGAGCAGTAATAATAACAGCGCTCAAACAGAAGTCTGCCTCTTTCTGAATGTCGGCCCATTACAGGAAACAAGCTCCCGTGTCTGTAGATGCACCTGTGAAACTATCACAGGTTTCCAGACCTACGGCCAACGTTCTCATCACATTCCTGCCACGCGGTTGATTGAGCCGGTACAAAGCGAGGCGAGGTGCAGGGCGATCATTCGTTCACTCCAATTATCATTCCATGGCAAACGAATTAAACGTGGGAGGACACTCCCTGAAACCCTCACGAGAGATGACGTGTTTTCTCCACCCTTCATTGGACCTATTGTTGGAAATGTTGCTCAGATGAGGAGGATAATACAGGGAAGCGCCTCTATTTAAAAAGCCCCGCCCAGTGTTTCTGAGGTACATTGTAATCTTCAACAAGATCATCCAAGGCAATTACCTGGGCTCAACGAAGTCATCGCTAAGGCTGATGTTGTTTAGTAACTACACACAAACGCCACACCTCCACCCACACAGACGCACAAACGGAGACCGGACACGTCTCACCTTTTAACCTTCGGGCCTATCGCTCTCCACAAGGCGGCCTGCACTTCACCACAGACGCTTATTTACATGTTAACACACACGGCTGAGGAAGAGAAGTTGTCCGTGGAGGTTGAGACTGCGGCGGCTGGATGCTGGAGTTCCGGACGGGAACCGGCGAGTCAGGGAGAAGAGCGGGACAAGGCGGAGGAGCAGGACACAGAATGGAGCACGAGAGTAGCTGACCAACTGGCAAAGACTGGAAGATGCTGGAGGGGAGAAGAGCAGGAGGCAGGAATTGCTAGAAGATCCCACCTTGAGCAGCTGACCACCAGGAGGGGGAGGGGAAAAAAGACAAAAGACACAGACCCAACAGTCCGTCCGTCCGTCCACTCATCCCTGCATCGTGTTGGGCTGACCTTCGCTGACTGAGGGGTTCAAGAAGAAGAAGAAGAATCAATGGAAAAAACACAAAGTCTTTTGACCAGAAAATGCAATACGGGAAGGATAAAGCTAAATAAAGAATTAAAAAAGGGTGGGGACAGTTTCTGTGATGGATTTGATATCATATCTATCAGAAAGGTTGTGGACAAATGCAGAAAAGTGATAAATGAGATGAGATGTGTGAGTGGGGCTGTTTATCCATGAAAATGATGTCTGTAGCTTTGACCAGGTCAGTGTCGGACTACGGAAGCACAGCGTTTGGATCGGCAGCAAAAGCTGATGTCAGTAAACTGGATGTGTGTAGTGGAGCTGGTAGAAGAGGAAATGCCCGTGGACTTGAGCAGGAAACGGCTGATGGCAAACTGCTGGGCTTCTTTATTGGGAGGTGTATTTTGGGAGAAAGATGGGAAAGTACAGCGTCTGATCCACACTCCGGTGCGGAAGGTGGCGCTAATGCACCAAAAAGATCACTGCCAACTGCCATAAACCCCGCAGAAGAAGAAGCAGAAGAAGAAGAAAAAAGATGGCCGCAGCTAACGCTAGCTAGCTGCTGTGGCTCGTAAAAATGCTTCGTTCGTCCGTATTTTTGTCTTCTTTTCTCTCGCGTCGCGGCTCAGTCGAAAGCAGGACCCGGTCGGCCGCCCGCGGGGGAGGCGGAGCCCCGCAGTGCGTCGTTGGGGGGCGTCAGTGAGGGGTTTTCGGGAGGCTGTTTGTCGCACGCAGGGGGGGGGAGGGGTCTCCTCGGGTCAGCTGGCTGTCACTCAAACGTCAGGTGAGTTTCCGGTCAGATCTCCTGTTCCTAAAGTCCACTGGATTCCTCCATCGAGCAATGCGAACGTATTGATCTCCAACCTCAAACCCTGCGCGCGAAGACAACCTCACGAAGTCCGTCATTCGATTCCGTCCGATGGCGTCTCCTCGTGACGTCAGTGCGTTTTGTTCTGACGTCATAGTATCACGTCATCTGATTCACGTATCCCGCTCATCTTCTTTTAATTAGTCCATCCATCCATCCATCGTCAAACCTCTTACCTGCACACGGGGTCTCAGGGGGGCTGGACTCCATCCAGCCGACTTCAGGTGATAGACGGGGTTCATCCTGGACTGACCAGCCAATCACAGGGCTCCACAGAGACACACAACCACCCACACTCACACACCTACAGGTAACCAACCTGATCCCCAGAGCATGAGAACCCGGGCAGAACATGCAGACTGCACACAGAAAGGCCTGTGGGCGGCGTGGAACCAGCACCTTCTTGCTGTGAGGCCACAGTGATGAACCACCACGCCACCCTGCCGCCCCCTTTTAATTAGTATCTAATAATGAGTAATGTCACTGTCATTTGTTGTAATATTTGTGTTTTGTATTTTCACTTCAATGGTCTTTTGATGAGGAAACGCTGTCATTATAGATGGAACTTATAGATATTGTAGATCAGGTCCCTTTTTAAACTGAGACCTTCCTCCGTTCTAACGTTGCACAGTTACGGTTCTGTTCTCTTGTATTATTTGTCTTACAAAGTATTACAATTCTGAAAGTAAAATTGCCATCATCTAAAGGTTAAAATCATGTACAACGTTAATTTCCATTAGTGTTGAAGAGGGTGATTTATTAGTCTATTTATATTTGTGATTGATCCTCCGAATTCTGTGATAAGACCTGAAGCTTCTACCTGAAAAACCCTCATTTAAAATACACACACAGTATGCGTTTATTTTTAGTATAATTAAAAACCACCGTAGTGTTTTTAATGTTTCTGTTCTCTCCCACAGAGGATTGTGGGTACCGGTCGTCATGGCGGCCCCGCTGAACATCCAGACTCCCAGTAAGACCTGGGAGCTGAGTCTGTATGAGCTCCACAGGAGCCCTCAGGTGAGCGTTTTGCTGTATTATTGATCGATCTGTCCCTTAGAGGTCTGACAGGCCTTCATCACTGCTCTTAGTTTCATTTCATTCTGCTCCTGCAGACGATACAATAAGATCAAAGTTGTTTCTCACGACTGGCTCCGCCAAGAGTTTGATTGACGGATCCTTCCCCCAATCACCTGTTGGGTGTGTTTAACAAACGGCTCCTCGGAAGCTTCTGGTTGTCCGCTTGTTTCCATCGTCCATCATCTTTGAAGGATGTGAACATCTCGTGTGAGACAGACCGTGTCCTCACAGGCATGACGAAACACCTGTGTGTCCTCAGGAGGCCATCATGGACGGGACGGAGGTGGCGGTGTCCCCCCGCTCTCTGCACAGCGAGCTGATGTGTCCCATCTGTCTGGACATGCTGAAGAACACCATGACGACCAAAGAGTGTCTCCACCGCTTCTGCTCCGACTGCATCGTCACCGCGCTGCGTTCCGGGTGAGATCTTAACGTGGACCCAATAAAATACTTTAGTTCTTCAGGTGATTTAAAGGCTCCATTACTCTCTGCAATCGACTGTCCGTCACTGGTTTCATTTAGGCTCTATTTTAAATGCTGTGAAGATACTTTTTTTAAATGTGTTTTTACCAGCGGTCTAAAATATGGCCCAAAAAAAAAGTTGCATTATTTATTAAAAGATTGAAATAGAAGAATAAGAAGAAATAATAGTGTACAAATATAATCGTAAATGGACGATAGAACAACAATCGGGTTTAAAATAAACAACTGAAAAATCTGATGTATGAAAATGGAGGAAAAAAAGTAGAAGAATAAGAATGTTTCCGTCCCCCTCAGGAACAAAGAGTGTCCCACCTGCAGGAAGAAGCTGGTCTCCCGCCGCTCGCTGCGCCGAGACTCCAACTTCGACGCGTTGATCTCCAAGATCTACCCGAGCCGGGACGAGTACGAGGCCCACCAGCGCCGCGTCCTGGAGCGCCTCAACCGGCTGCACAACCAGGAGGCGCTGAGCTCCAGCATCGAGGAGGGGCTCCGGCAGCAGGCCCGCTACAGGTCCGGGGGGGGGGGTGGGGGCGGGGCTTTGTGCTATCGTCACGGTTACAGACGGGACCAACGCGGCCGCTTTGGGAGGCTCCAGATGTTGATGGAAAATATTTGTGTAAAGTCGGTTCATCGTCGTTGTGGTTCTGAAAGCGGCTTCTCGGGTGTTTCTGTCAGATGGCTGATAACCACACGGGGTCAGAGGTCGTTATCAGCCATCTGACATCAGCCTGACCCGCCTCCGCCCTGCAGGAACCACCGGGTGAAGAAGCCCACCCAGGAGAGCGACAACACCACCTTCAGCGGCGGGGAGGACAACGGCGACGCCCACTCCCACCTGTCTCACGACTCCGCCCCCTCGCACGCCCCCCCGCCTCCGGGCCGGACACCCTCAGAGGCCGGGCCGAGCCGCAAGCGCCCGCGGGCGTCGGACGAGGGCTCCGGGCCCGAGGCGGACAGCGGCAGCCCCCCCGACCCGCCGCCGCGGCGCCACAAGGAGAGGCCGGCCTCGGAGATTGAGCTGGTGTTCAGGCCGCACCCGGAGCTGGTCCAGGCTGAGGACTACAACCAGACCAGGTGAGACGGGGGGCGGAGGCAACGGCAGGGCTGAAGCGCCACAGGTCAAAGGTCAAACAGGTTCCACACAAAGTGAGTCACAGAAACGTATGTGACCGGCCGGTTCTGACTCTTATTTCTATACGTTTCCATGTAAAACCTCATGAGTCATTGTGTCACTGATCACATGAAATCACAGCGGATCCTTTTTCTTATTTATTACATAATGAGGTAAAACTCTGCGGAGGACCATGTGACCAGTCCTTCCAGTAGAACCCAGTGAGAGGACCATGTGACCACTCCTTCCAGTAGAACCCAGTGAGAGGACCATGTGACCAGTTCTTCCAGTAGAACCCAGTGAGAGGACCATGTGACCAGTCCTTCCAGTAGAACCCAGTGAGAGGACCATGTGACCAGTCCTTCCAGTAGAACCCAGTGAGAGGACCATGTGACCAGTCCTTCCAGTAGAACCCATCAACGGTTCCCAAACCTTTTCTATCATCCTGTTGATGATATTGGAACATATTTTCCCCACATTTGACAGCAGGATCATGTTATTTGTTTTTATCATTATGATCATGAGAGTATGATCACGTGATCATGGTAGGGGGTTTCCAGGTGTCAGTTTAAGGGGCTTCTTACTGCAGTCAGTATTTGAAGACTTGAACACGCTGGGTCTCTTCTTCTGAAGCCTGGAACCGACCATCTTCTGTAATGAGTCAAACATCTTATTTCTCTCTCAGGTACGTGAAGACGACGGCCAACGCCACCGTGGACCACCTCTCCAAGTACCTGGCTCTCCGCATCGCCCTGGAGGACCGGCGGGCGGACAGGGAGACGGAGGAGGCAGGAGGAGCAGGAGAGGGTCTGAGGAACATCAGTGAGAAACAATACACCATCTACATCATGACCAGAGGAGGACAGTTCTCTGTGAGTGGCTGCACGACGACACAGTAGCTTCATTTCATATTTACACCGGAGCGCCGTTTGACTTCTGTCAGACCTTCAGACCACAAAGAGTTCTTTGGAGAACACAAGCAACGTGGTTCTGGTTCTACCCCCCCAGACGCTGAACGGCTCTCTGACTCTGGAGCTGGTCAACGAGAAGTACTGGAAGGTGAGGAAGCCTCTGGAGCTCTTCTACGCCGCCACCAAGGACCAGCAGCAACCCCCGCCGCCTCCACCCCAGAAGTCCCCCCCCACACAGAGGGAGGGGTGAGAGCCGCTCTTCAACCGCACGACGCACGTTGATTTTTGAAGGAAGAACAGACACACTCAATACCAGCCCCCCAACACGAAGACCACGTCTGAGTCTCGTTCCCTCGCTTCACTTTAAATAGAAACCCGGTGTTTTAGTGCCGCTGCCAGAAGGACGAATTTTCAAATTGACAAATGTTAATTTCCTAACTGCTTCAGCCAGAAACATGATTAAAATAGTTTGGTTTTTTACGCATGGAATCGTTTCATACGAAACCACCAGCTTTTGTTTTTTAGTCTCTTCATGGACCTTTTCTAAACACGCTTTTATTCGAGGTCCCACACGTGTAACGTAGTGCTGTGGGCTGGACCCGATCCCAGCATGCACTGCGCTTTACTGTAGGATGGGAGCGTTTCCACGTCCTGCTTCAATAAGCCATAAGTCTCACATCTGTCTGCACTTTATGTCCTGCAGCCATAAACGTTGTCGCTTACCTCAGTTTCTATGGAAACGCTGCCCTTTTCCTTCTGTTGTGTAGTTAAACAATAAAAACCCATCTGGTGTGAAATGAGATGTGTGCTCATGGTTTATTTCCTTTCTCTAAACAATTGACACAAAAGCACATTTTGAGCGTCTGTTTTATTGAAACAAAAAGGGAAGCAGGGAGGTTTACTTCTTCTTGGACACGCCCACAGTGCGACCGCGCCGCCCGGTGGTTTTGGTGTGCTGACCGCGCACACGCAGACTGGGAGGAGAGAAAGACATCGTCATTATTCACCCAACAGGAATCATACAGCAATAACCAAGAAATATAAACCACGATGCCTGAACGGTGCAAAGACCCAAGCTGCCAAAGCACCGTGGAACCCTTTGGTCGGCATAACTTCAGGACGATAAATGGAGCTGGTGAGCATTTTAACGAGGGTCTTACCCCCAGAAGTGCCTGAGACCCCGATGAGCCCTGATCTTCTTCAGCCTCTCCAAATCCTCTCTCAGCTTGTTGTCCAGACCGTTAGCCAGGACCTGAAAACAGATTTTAAAAAGGTGACGCATGCAGCCGAGCCACGTTAATACATTATACAACACTTTCACTACAAGTAAAATCTAACCGCTGCTCATACGACATCATCCCCAAGATGGGATTTTACGTTGTCATGGTGATTGGGTTCCCCGCATGGTTCACCTACCTGGCTGTATTTGCCGTCCTTGACGTCCTTCTGCCTGTTGAGGAACCAGTCTGGGATTTTGTACTGGCGAGGGTTCTGCATGATGGTCACCACGCGCTCAACCTGGGGGAACAGACAGCGCCTTTAGAAAGCGAACACGCTGCAGCGTCTACAGACCGGAGCCAAACAGGACCTCACCTCATCGTCGGTCAGCTCTCCAGCCCGCTTGCTGAGGTCAATGTCAGCCTTCCTCAAGACGACATGAGCGTAACGTCTGCCAACTCCCTAGATTCAAGATGCAGAACCAGCCATCAGGTTCAGTCCAACACATTAACAACAGAGCGGCCGCTACATCATTGCTTCCGTGGGTCAAAGAAGAGTCACCTTGATGGCAGTGATGGCGAAGGCGATCTTCCTTCTGCCATCGATGTTCGTGTTGAGAACACGAAGAATGTGCTGGAACTTCTCAGGAATGACCAGAGACTGAAAACACAAAACCAGCGGTTTTTATGATGGAGATACAACTAGCAGGGTTAGAATGCACATCTGGATCTTCTGGCGGGGACTTGATTTTTCTTTTTAGATGATCACAACATCCAGAGGCATCAGAAACCGGGCTGCTGGCAAACCACTCAGGTTAATAAATCACTAATATAGAAACGTTGTACTACTTGTTGAGCCCAAATCAATAATCCCACATGATATTTTATCTCAAAGGCGTTTTACAAATAGCGGTCCGGCTCGCGGTGGTTGATACGAGTCTCTGCAGCGAACACGCTGCGCTCCTACAGCTTTTGTGCTGAAGATCAATACATCCCAAAAGTCAGAACAATGAACTTCACGAGGACGAAACCCCAAAAGACACGAACACCTTCTATCTGATAGTTTGCACCGGTGTAAACAATAGCGTAGTGTGATGCACTCAACATGCTACCTCTCGGCTAGTGAGTCTGGAGCTAGTTAGCTGCTACAGCTAGCCGCTTGCATTTTTTAAATTTCAACACAGCCGGTAACACCGAGGCCCGGTCCGGTTACAGCTCTGATCCATCCCGGGAGTTGACAGCACGTAAAGTATGTTTGGTTGAATCAGTATCATCAACATACCGGACAGTATTCGTCCTAGCTAGCCAGCCGTAGTTCGCACATACACCTCGGCTCAGCATTGAAGATAACCGGCAATAATATGTGAATTTCTGGTTAATATGCCAACAATTCAACATGCGCCCGGTCGCACAAACGATGTAGAATGTATCTAAGGTAAAAAAGGTAGCAAACAAGACAGACCGGAGCTAGATGATAGAAGATTTTAAAACTAAATCGGGTTGACATAAAGTCCACTCACCATCTTGGAAGTAGGTTCCGTGCGAAGAGGAAGTCGCCAGGTTCTCGCGAGAGTTTGACCGTGTGCTTGAACGGAAGTCAGTCCCTCGCTTTTAATCTGTCCGGCGAGAAACGTCAACGCTGGTCAAATTAAACAAACAATTTTATTGCAGCAGTCACACAAAATGAAAATAAACATATTTTTACTTTACCAGCCCCCCATTATATACATTACTTTAAATAGTGTGGTCATAAAATCAGCAACACTTATTGGTTTTGTTTGACAACGAGGCGGAACGTACGTTGAACGTTACGTCTGTTCTTTATAACGTTAGCATACATCGCCGCAATGGCGGACGTAGCTGCAGCAGCAGTGGGAGCTGGTCCCGAAGTAAACACAGCTGGAAACCCGACGGACATGGCCATGGCGTATTTACAGGACGAGGTGACGTCTGACCACCTGCATTTTAATCTTCTGTTGCAGTGAAATTATTAAAACATCCATCGCTGCTGTATCCTGTGAGGATTCACAACGAGATGCGATGTTTGCCGGAGAGCTGCGGATGTTCACGAAGCTTCTTCGTCGTTACCTGGACTAAGTGTCACGGGGAAATACAAATATGCTTTATAATAGTATGTTTTAATTAACGTTGCAAGTATTCGTGTAGCTAGGAGCTAGTGTCGCTGTTAGCCTCCTGTCAAAACACTGAAATCCTCGATTACTTCCTGCTGACCGTGTGACGTCATGGGTGCTTAATCGATTGGTCGACTGACGCACATTTGATCGATGGTAGTTTTCTATTAACTGCAGTCTTTCATAAAGAAAATGCTCTGTAAACAAGTATTGCACATTGTATCAACTAAGAGAAATTCTGTGAATATCCAATGTGTGAACTTTGAACATAACGTGGATTGAAATGGAAAGATACGGTTTATTTTATATGCTGTATTTACCATGTTACATATATATTACTTCATAAGAAAACCTAATTCTGCACTCTTCTCATAGAAAGGGAAGGAATATAAAAACATCAATTTAGTCGAGTTGAACTAGAAGTAAGTAGAGTTATTTAACATTTACCAGACATTCATTCAACAGCAGAAAAGAGATCACAAACAAATAAAAGACTTTATTTGCTGTCAGCCTCCTACGTCCTTTCCAAGGTCTTCCTCCATGTCAGACCGAGCAAATGTGTTTGGTTTAAAAAAGCTATTCAAGATAAAATACAAAAAACAAAACAAATTCCCTTTGGCTTAATTACCTCCTTTAACTGTGCATGTCGGTCTTTCCGATTGATTATTAATAGTATCTGCTGTTCTTTCCAGAACCCTGATGGAGAAATCCCCAACCTGAACCTCGGAGAACTGGACCTCACCACCGATGAGTTCATCCTGGATGAGGTGGACAGTAAGGCAGCACTTACCTGATGCAAAGCAGGCAGTTCTTATTCTTACAATAAACATAGTTGACTTTAGTAAATATATATATATATATATATATATATATATATATATATATATATAAGCTGCTGATTATGGCCGTTCCTCTCTCGTCTCCTGCAGTCCACATCCAGGCCAACCTGGAGGACGACCTTGTGAAGGAGGCGCTCAAAACGGTGAGATCCTCTGAAGAAGGGACACATTTCTGTATCATTTATAATTGATTTGCTGTCATCTATTATTTTATTACCTAAAACATGATAATCCAGAGACGAAGTGAGAGACAAACAAGCAAAGACCACGTTGATGGAGAAATAGTCCTGTGATCCCGGTGTTACTGACCATCAGACGTGATGATGAAGATGGTGATGGTGATGATGGTGGTGCTCTTCCCTCCTGCTGCAGGGCGTTGACCTGCGGCAGTACTCTAAACAGGTGGAGTCTGAGCTGCAGAGGATTGAACAAGCCTCCATCAAAGACTGTATCCTTCAGTTCGACATGTTACACACATGTCACGTGTTATGCTATATGTTGTTTCTATATTATAATTACATTCAGATCATTGTTGCTCAGTTACCTCTAAAGTCTATTATTGTGTCTTTCTAATTCCTACATTTCTCATATTTACCAGCTGACAAACAAGTTACTTGTGATTCGAGCTCCACAAAAACCAACTGGCTTTTATTTCCTGACATTTCTTCCGTCAGACATCAAGGAGAGTCAGAACATCGCTCTGCTGCACAACCAGATCACCGCCTGTGACTCCATACTGGAGGTAAGACCCACAATGCACTGCATGACCAGGACAGTCTGCCTGTTATCTACAAATTCAGCTCAATTTTAGTGCTGCAAAACACAAGACGTCCCCATGGCAAACGGGCGCTTGTTGTGGAGGAACCCAACGAGTCTCCTTTTAGGCCTCCCTCGTTCTCCCCGTTCCTGAAATACATTTCACACCAAAACTAAACTAAAAGCCCCCCCCTCAGCGCATGGAGGGCATGCTGAGCGGCTTCCAGAGCGACCTGTCCTCCATCAGCAGCGAGATCCAGACGCTGCAGCAGCAGTCCGTCAGCATGAACGTGCGCCTGAAGAACCGCCAGGCGGTGCGCAGCCACCTCAGCCAGCTGGTGGACGAGCTGGTGGTCCCCGGGGCCATGATCTCGTGAGTGGGGAGGGGTCTGGGGACGGAGTGTGGGAGGCGCTCTCAAGGTCTCTTTTTGACGTCTCCGTCCCGCGTCCTCGCAGCACCATCCTGGACAGCCCAGTGACGGAGCAGGACTTCCTGGAGCAGCTCCACGAGCTCAACAACAAGATCAACTTCGCCAAGGAGCTGAGCTTCAGGGAGACGCTGGCCTGCTCCGACATCCAGGACATCGTGGACCGCCTGAAGCTCAAGGTGAGGGACGGGGCCACGGGGGAGGGTCTGGGGACTCTGATGTGGAGCTTCACGGTGTCTCCTACGATTCCTTCCCTCCTCCCTTCAGGCCGTGTCAAAGATCCGAGAGTTCATCCTTCAGAAGATCTACTCCTTCAGGAAGCCCATGACCAACTACCAGATCCCTCAGAACACTCTGCTGAAGTACAGGTGGGCGGAGACAAGAGGACAAAACGCAAAAGAGGCGTGGTCTTAATACAAATGTGCTCGTTTGCATACAGAAATCTGAATATTCCATGAAGAGGTTTCAGAATTTCTTTTTCAGGTTGTTAACAAATTAGACTCGAATGTTTAAAAATACTAATATAATAATAACAATAATTAATTAATTGTTTTATTATAAAATATAGTTTTCCTCAGTTTTTATTACTAAATATGACATGAATGAGTCTGAATGAGGTGAGAACAAACCTCCAGAGAGGATTGAAGCCATAAAGTCTGGTGATGTAAAAGATGAAACGTCACCACTTCATCACCACATTAAGAGCAGCACTGATTGTTCCTGTTGTCATGGATCCAATGGTCGCCTCCTCTCTGCAGGTTCTTCTATCAGTTCCTTCTGGCCAACGAGAGGACGGTGGCGAAGGAGATGCGGGACGAGTACGTGGACACCATGAGCAAGATCTACTACAGCTACTTCAAGTCCTACAGTGGCCGCTTGCTCAAAGTGCAGGTCAGCCTGGTGCCGTGCGCCCGCCCACCCGCCGACCAGCCGACCAGCCGACCAGCTGACGCCTCACACGCTGTGTTTGTGTTCCAGTACGAGGAGGTCGCAGACAAAGACGACCTGATGGGAGTCGAAGACACGGCCAAGAAAGGTACGCGCTCGCACACGGGTGCAAAATACTCAAAATCATCCGTAAACGTTTTGCGGGAGGAAAATCCACTCACACATCTCAGGTGTTATTAATATTATTATTATTATTAATATTACTCCCACAAGCAGTGGAACCTAAGTTGTGGTACTTCTTCACTTTACTTTGTGATGCGTTCAGGCTGCTGTTCTGTTTCGATTCGGCGCTTTTCAGGGTGGAGACTCAAACGAGGGACCGTTTCATTTTCTTCTGCTCTGTAATGGCCCTCCTGCACCACCCCGCCCCCCCCCCCCCGCCGCTACATGCCAGTAAACAATTCACACAACACTGTCATTGGTGTTCATGTCTCTCACACACACACGCACACACACACGCACACACGGGTGTGGCAGCAGCATTCTGAACATGCCGATCTGCTCTTTAATTGCCTCCAAGGCCCAAAACACGTGTCAGATTTAATTGAATGCATTTGGGAAACGGTGAAAGGTCCAAACGCAGCGGCGAGGTCAACGAGACAGAGACGAGTCGTTGGTCCGGTAGAAGACGTTCTGTGTCTGCTGACGGAGGTCCTCAAACAAAGCGCGCTGATGTAGAAAGTCACACGGCCGATTGGTGACGGACCTCTGGAGCAAGTCGGAGGTCGTCTGCAGCAGCATCAGGTCTCAAGAGGACGTTTGATTACTGCGGCACAAAAGGCCGATTCCTAATCCACGTTCACGTTATCAGCAGGAGCTTTCTGTGCCGTCTAACAGAGACGGATGCAGAACCCAGGCGGTCGTTACCCACGGCAACACAAAATCTCCTCCTTGACGTCCTGCTGCAGGGTTCTTCTCCAAGCCGTCTCTGAGGAGCAGGAACACCATCTTCACGGTGGGGCAGCGGGGGGGCATCCTGAGCCCCGCTGAGCTGGAGGGGCCCATCCTGGTCCCCCACACGGCCCAGAGAGGAGACAGCCGGGTGAGCTAGGCGATAGGCGCTCGTCGCTGTAATAAGACATTATCACATAACTGTTATATAATCAAATCTGATATAGTAAAAGAACAATACAATTGGGATTGATTTATGCTAATATGAAGAACATACTGATGAACTAACTAAACTAAAACAAGTAGTAAAGGTGAGAGAACCCGCCTCCTGCTGGTGACCTCTGACCTCTGGTGGCGTGTGGTAGGTACTGCGCTGAGCTCTCGTGTCCCGCTGCAGTATCCCTACGAGACGCTGTTCCGCAGCCAGCACTACGCGCTGCTGGACAACGGCTGCAGGGAGTTCCTCTTCCTGTCCGACTTCTTCATGGTGACGGGGAACGCCGCCCTCGACCTCTTCAACAGCATCATGGGGAAAACCCTCAGCATGTTCCTGGTAGGGACGAGCCGCCGGCCCCCCACCCGGCCCCCCACCCGGGGCCTTCGTGTCCCCGGCCTCCAGCTCTCGGCAGCCTTTAACCGCCTCTTTGTCTCTTTGTCTCCTGCTGCAGAAGAGCATGTCCACGTACGTGTCCGACTGCTACGACAGCATCGCCGTCTTCCTCTGCATCCACATCGTCCTCCGGTTCAGAGCCGTCACCGGCAAGAGGAGCATCCCGGCCCTCGACAAGTCAGTGAGCTTCATGTTGGGATGCAGCCGCTCAGAAGCCCTGGTTTCACTGCTTTATACATTATAATAGAAAATGATTTAGTAACGTATAATATGATATTGATTTGATAGAGTAAAGCATAATACAGCATAAGTAAAGTCATATTTAATGCATTCATTTAATATAACATAATGCTATTTATTAGTGTAATATAATAATGTCTCTTAGAGAGTGATTTAATAGAATATAGCATAAATTAATGACATATTTAATAGAATATGATGCAATATAATATGAAACCATCCAGCTCTATATATTCTATCTCTCTATATATATATATATATATATATATATATATATATATATATATATTCTCATGATCTACTCTTCTACTTTTAAAGTTCTTAAACCTGAAGAAACATTTAAGCAATATTATTTTAGAAGTGAACCATTTAATAATCTGGATTAATTATCATCCTCATTAATTAAAGTGAAAAACGTACATATTTCTAAATCCCCTCCGATGTGGGCGGGGCTTAGTGCTGAGCCGTGCGTGTCTTCCTCACCTGTGTGCTCAGGTACTGGGAGGCCGTGCTGGAGCTGCTGTGGCCGAGGTTTGAGCTCATCCTGGAGATGAACATCAGCAGCATCCGAAACACGGACCCTCAGAAGCTGGGAGTGCTGGACACCCGCCCCCACTACGTAGGCCCCGCCCCCTCACGCACACACGCACACACACACACCCGCCCCCACTACGTAGGCCCCGCCCCCTCACGCACACACGCACACACACACACCCGCCCCCACTACGTAGGACCCGCCCCCTCACGCACGCACACACACACACCCGCCCCCACTACATAGGCCCCCCCCACACGAACACAAAAACACACACACACACCCGCCGCACTACGTAGGCCCCGCCCCCCTCACACACACACACACACACACACACCCGCCCCCACTACGTAGGCCCCGCCCCCTCTCACGCACACACACACACACACAGCAGAGGGTTTCAGAGGGTTTCCTTCTTTTTTAAGATCACGCGTCGCTACGCTGAGTTCTCGTCGGCCATCGTCAGCATCAACCAGACGTTCCCCAACGAGAGGACCAACGCGCTGCTGGGACAGCTGCTGGTAACACACACACACACACACACACACACACACCTAATCAAAGGAGCCAAAGAGCATTTGCTCATCATCTCCCCCTGCAGGTGGAGGTGGAGAACTTCGTGCTGAAGATGGCTGCAGAGTTTCCCTCCAGAAGAGATCAGCTCATCTTCCTCATGAACAACTACGACATGATGCTCAGCGTCCTCATGGTGGGCAGCTGTCCCTGTCTGTCCCTGTCTGTCTCTGTCTGTCCCTGTCTGTCCCTCCTCTCTAACCTGCTTGTCCCCCTTTGTCCAGGAGAGGGCAGCAGACGACAGCAAAGAGGTGGAGGGTTTCCAACAGCTGCTGCTGGCCAGGACGCAGGTAAAGCTCACAGAGGCATTGTGGGTAATCCGTGACGTCCTCTTTTATCCTACACTTAATGCACGCTTACAGCGACGGTGGGACGTGGGGGGGAGCCGCAGCGTTGCATGATGGGTAACAGGAGTCTGGGAGGAGTTTACACATCAGTCTCGTTGTTTTATTAATTCAATGTGTAAAAGTTACGCAAGAAACCTTTAAAGACAAAGCGTAGCACTTTATAGCCCTTAATACCTTCATCTTTTAAACTTTGATTTGTATTTATTCACTTCTTCCTCATCTCCTCCTCCTCCTCCTCCTGTAGGAGTTCATCGAGGAGATTCTGTCCCCTCCCTTCGGAGGGATGATCTCCTTTGTGAAGGAGGCCGAGGCCTTGATGGAGAAAGGGCAGCTGGACCGCCTGAAGAACGACGAAGGTGAGAAGTTCTGATGATGTCACAGAGGTGACGTCGTCTTTACACTCTCACTTCCTGTTTCACACATCAATGATCCTTCTTCAGGTTCCTTTCTCCTCTGAAGCTTCAGATCTCTGCGACCGAGATCCCCCCAAGTTAACTGTGTGTGTGTGTGTGTGTGTCTGTGTGTGTGTGTGTGTGTGTATGTGTGTATGTGTGTAGCTCGTATCACTCAGCTGGTTCGAGGCCTCTCCAGCTCCTGGAAACAGTCTGTGGAGGCGATGAGTCAGACGTCATGAGGTCATCACCACTTCAAGAACGGACCAGCATCATCAGGTAAACACACACAGCAGCTGAAACTACTGCACTTTTACTGTGAGATTCTTAGTGTTAACCAGTAGTCAGGAGTTTTCTACTTGCTGTTGATGTGTGTGTGCGCGCGAGGAGGAGTCACCACTTCCTGTTTGTGCCGCAGGGCGCCCTCACCCAGCTGATCCAGTACTACCACGGCTTCCACAAGGTCCTCAACCAGCCCACCTTCCGCAGCCTGGCGGTCCGCTCGGAGCTCATCAACCTGCACCACCTCATGGTGGAGGTGAAGAAGCACAAACCCAACTTCTAACGGGGGCGGGGCTTAGCGGGCGGCGGACCCGGCCACAGAGAACAATGACGTTAATTAGATTGATCACCTGAAAACATGTTCTGAACCCGTGAACACTGTTTTCTTCTTGGCTTTTATTTAATCTGCACTAATAAATCATCCGCTGACAATATGATGATTGGAATTATTTGGCAATGGTTTCCTGTCCGTCTCCGAAATGGATCCCCGCTTCCTGTCCGTAGCTCCGTCAGACGTAAATCCATCAAATCAATTGTATAGATTTGGGTTTATTGCAGTTTTTAAAATCCAAACAAACAAGATGAAACTGTTCATTTTTTGGGGGACTATTTTCTGCGGCGGATGAATCCACGATGTTTCAGTGTGGAGAGTTTTTTATTTAATCAGATGAATAATAGAAACATGATCATGTTTGAGTCTTTTAATTCAATGTTTATTCATACGTTTGACCAACAGGTTATTATATTATTTTATCTCAACAATTCACACCCAAAGGACGAATAATAACCACTGAACAGGTAATTTACCATAATTACCTGAAATAAAACGAGTTAAAGTGTAAATATGCATAAATACCTCACTGAAACACACACACACACACACACATCCATGCACATGAACACACACCATCACACCTCGTGTTTTTATGCGTCTAAACTTTAAATGGACTTATTGGATGGATTTAATGATCTTGGTGTATTTCTGAACTTCACATTAGGCTAGCAGTTTCCCTCTGCTTCCAGTCTTTGTGCTAAGCTAAGCTAACACGGGGACGCCAGCTTCACATTTAACTGAGGGGGGGTTTTGTAGACGTCGGGGGGCTTTAAAAGGACCTTTTCTTCACTTCACTGACTCAACAATCATTAGGAACACGACGTCCATCTGAGAACATCAGAAGATCGTTGGCTGGTTCCACGGTCTGTAGATGCGTGTTCACACATGTGTGTGTAAAGATACACTCGTGTGCAGTAGCGGTCCTCCGTTTCACACCCGTCCAGCGTGGAGCAGAGAGGCTGACGAGATGAAGACCAGGAGAGCTGAGCAGCTTCTTCTGGCAGCGCCGTCTGGAGGACACAGAGGATGGACGTTACGTCGGGAGGACACAGAGGATGGACGTTACGTCGGGAGGACACGGAGGATGGACGTTACATCGGGAGGACACACAGGATGGACGTTACGTCGGGAGGACACACAGGACGAACGTTACGTCGGGAGGACGGACGTTACGTCGGGAGGACACACAGGACGAACGTTACGTCGGGAGGACGGACGTTACGTCGGGAGGACACAGAGGACGGACGTTAAGTCGGGAGGACACGGAGGACGGACGTTACGTCGGGAGGTCCCCGGAGGACGGCTGTCACGTCGGGGAGGACACAAGACAATTGCCGTTACTTTCGCGAAGACACCAGAGGACGGCCTCACGTGGGGAGCACACGGAGGATGTGCCGTTACGTCGGCGAGACCACCGAAGACGGACGTTACGTCAGGAGGACACGATGTGACCCATTGATGTTGAGGGCGTCCTGCTCTCACCTGTCGGTGTCTCCAGGAGCTCCGTGACTCTGAGAGCTTTGGGCCTTTCTGTGGAAGAGGGACAGTGTCGTCAGCCGAGGTGGATGCGACTGAATAGAGCGCGACCCCCCCTCACTGAATCGAGTCAAGCGACCCCCCACCTTCCACGGAGAGCCGCACGGTGCTGACGGCCAGGCCGTGCTCGTCCAGCACCTTGTACGTCCCCTGGTCCTCCCTGCGGAGCCTCCTGAAGGTCAGCTGCTCCTCCTCCGGGTGTTTGAGCAGACGGCCCGCCTCCTGGTCCCCCCTGGCCCACAGAACCGACCAATCAGAGCTGTTCCTGCGGAGCAACGGCCACACGCTGGTCAGCGTCGCCACATGAGACCTCCCTCTGTTCCTGCAGGAGCCTCTTGTCTCTTCTCTGCTTCATCTGCAGGTTTGTGTGGCGCCGTAAAATGTCGCACGTTCTAAAATTCTGCGCAGTTTTGCTTCATTTAGCATTATCATAAAGGAAAAAACACGACAATGTTTATGTCACTTATTCAACATTTAGAGAGAAATTCATCCAATAACTTTTCCAAGCATAATGTTTGGCAAAGTTGTTAAATAATATACATGTTAAATGTAAATATACATGTTAAATGTAAATGTTAAATATAAATGCTAAATGTAAATATAAAATGTAAATATAAATGTTAAATGTTAATGTTAAATGTTCACTCTACATATCAGACTTGACGACTGAACATTATATTATATTTACGTGACATAAACATTGTCGTGCTTTTTTTCATAAAATAATGCTAAATGTACCAAAACTGCGACATTTTACAAACGGCGCCCATAACTTTGATCATGTGACTCATAACTTTGATCTGTGTTGGTTTTTATGTGGGGGGGCAGAGAGAGACAGCGAGGGGGAGACGGGGGACAAGGTTGTGTGATGCTGACGGGAGGACATCGGCTCACCGGTCCTGGAAGACGACTCTCACAGAGTGACGAGTGAAGAGGTCCAGGACCAGGTCCTCTCCGGGTCCTCGGGACTCGGTGGACTTGTGGTCTGAGGAGGAGATGAAGCTTTGAGCTGGAAGTCAGGTGACCCCACCGAGCACGTAGGAGACATTTAATTCACATCATGAAAGATAAAAAACACGGAAACAGGAGAGAGAGGGGAAGAGCACCCCCCCCCCCCTCTCTCCTCCCCCCACCTCCCCCTACCCCCCTCTCTCCCCCCCCCCCCCCCCTCTCTCCTCCCCCCACCTCTCCCCCCCCCCCCCTCACCTAACACCGACAGCCTGACCATCTGGATGAAGACCTGGCTCTTCGAGGCCCCGTCGTGGCCCCCCACCACCATGAAGCTCTCGTAGCTCCCGGCGTCACCGATCTGAACGTCGCTGATGACCAGCGAGCAGTCCCCGGACCCCAGCTTCTCCACCGGGACCTCCACCCGGCCCCGGAACTCCTCCGCCTCCCAGCGCTGCGCCCCGCGCAGCTCGAACACCCGGTCCGTCGGCGTGGCCCACTGGACGTGGCAGTCCGGCCGCGCCGCCGCGCCGAGGCGCTGCTTCCAGCTGCAGGGGAGCACCGCCTGGTTCCCCACCTTGGAGGTGACGGAGAGGAGGCGGGAGGAGGAGTCTGCGGGAAGAGGCGGAGGAAACACCTTCTCAGTGTCACAGAAGAATTAAACATGAATAATGTTTTCATCCCAAATCCTCCAGATATTCAAACCCCAAAGTGTGAATGACGTTGTGCATATTGTGAGTAATTAACAGCGTTGTGTTGTTTCTTTTTATTGCTCCTCGTTCCTGAACATGTGACCTGGACGCCACCGGAGACTCCATGTAAAACGTGATTTATCAGTCAAACTTTAAAATAAGCTTCTTAATAATAATAACACGAGCGACGCACCGGGGAGACGTTACAGGACACCCAGCTGCTGCCTGTTTACTCACCAACCACAGGGGCCCCCAGGAACCAGGCGAGGAGCACGAGAACCCTGAAGGAACACATCCCATGGTCTTGATACGTCTGAATATGATGAATCCTTATTTATTACATTTATATTCACATAGTTGAACCGAATAAACAGTTTAGTTTATGTATTATGCAGACGTCCTCATTTATTTATGACAAACGTTTCAACAAAAGACTTCGAGTTATTCATTATGATTCATTCTTATGCTTGTTAACCCCCCCTCCCCCCTCCTCCCTCCCCCCTCGTCCCTCTCCTCCCTCCCCCTCCTCCTTCCTCCCTCCCCCCCCCCCCCCCCCCCGGAGTTTCCCCCCTCTAGCTGAGAGTTCGGTTTCCCCCAGAAGGGGAGAGAAGAGGGAGCGTCCGGGTTCTTCTGCGAGTCAACGCGCGGTGTTCACCCCTTACTACTAGTGATACCCCTCACACCGGGAATCTGCTACCAGATCGAATACTACCGCGAAAAAGAGGGCCCCCACTAGTAATACTACTACTAGTACTACTACTAGTAGTAATACTACTATTACTAGTACCAATACTACTGCTAATACTAATACTAGTACTAATACTAGTACCAATACTACTGCTAATACTACTAGTACTACTACTACTAGTACCAATACTACTGCTACTACTAATACTAATACTACTAGTACTACTAATACTGATAATACTGCTAATACTAATACTGAAACTACTAATACTACTACTACTACTTATGAACTATGAATTTTTCCTGTCCTCTATGAATACTACCAAACATATTTAACCACTGACTCTTCTGCCTCTGAACTATAGAATACTACTAAGCAGAAAAGTACTTGGAAGCCCCGACTTTTCAAAATAAAGTATTGTGTTTCTCACCATTGTCGCTTTGTGGAGGATTTCATGATGAGCGCTGTGTGGAGAACTTCCACCTCCTCTCTCTCCTCTCAGATCCGACATGCGTAACACAGATCAGCTGAGCGACACTTCCGGTCCACTGACACGCCTTTTTGGGCTTGTTTACAAAGTGACGGCTGAATGAACTGTACAGTCTATATATATATATATATATATATATATATATATATAGCATATTAAATGTATATACTAGCAAATGCTATAGAGTACCATTAACATTCGGAGAGGATTTTAAAGCGGAAGCTGAGCCTCTCTGCTATCGGGGCTTTTATTTTGAAGCCGGTCCCACAACATTAGCACGTGGAAGTCAACGGGATTTCTGCAGAAACGAAAGCTTCCCGCTGCAGGTCGTCTGGTGTCGGGGGCGTTTCGTGGGAAATGACGACGGTTGGTGGGCTCATTCCTCCTCTCGACGATGACGGGGGTCGCGCGGCTCCTCGCTGTCATCTGTAAGTTATTGATTGATTGATAAGTCATTGATTGATTTGGGATTGGAGCTTGCCTGGGAAGCTTATTGTTTATTTAGTTTATTCTGCGCATGCTCATAATACTACATAATACTAGCTGACGAATGGGGGGGGATTCAGGTGACTTCTCAAAATGTCAAAAGGTGGTGCTGAGGTGTCCTCCCTCCCCAGGTATGGCGGGACATCACCTGTCCTCGGCCCTGGTGGCCCCGGCGGGGGGCAACGTCTCGCTCACCTGTAACCTGACGTCCAGGTCCGGGATCACGTGGTTCCTTCTGCGCTCCGACCGGCCGCTGCCGCTGCTCACGGTGAGGCCGAGCAGGCTGGGTGACGTCACGGTCAACCGGCACGGCGCGGGCGGAGGCCGCCTCGGCAGCAGGGGCCACCCGGAGGGGGGGCCGGTCCACCTGGACATCCGGCGGCTGGTGGAGGAGGACGCCGGGCTGTACTTCTGCACCGGCCGCTGCGAGGAGAGCGTGTGCGTGGGGGGAGGACTTCACCTGGTGGTGGGGGGTGAGTCAAGTCTCCCTGGGAAACAGCAGCGACCCCCCAGTGTTATAGATCTATAGATCTATAGCAGGGGTCTCAAACTCTTATATTCTGTGGCCCCCCACCTTAATATGAAAGTTTACTGTTGGTCCTGATGACGTAATGGTCCGGCCCGCGTTGGGTCGGGGTGGGCTGCATCTGGTTCTGATCTATAGATATATAATGTAAATATCTGGATTCATCTTCAACCCGTTTTTAACGTTTTAAAGGATGATGCAGGTTCTTTGAGTCATGATGGAAACATTCTGCTTCACGGTGGCGTTTCTGAGGAAAGCAGAAGTTTCAGTGGTGAAATGTTTCTTCTAAACCACACCGAGGACGCAGGAAACCGGTTAGCGGTGGTTAGCTCGCTGTTAGCGTAGCCTCATAAAGGTGGAGGGGTCAAGTTTTCGTTGATGACCTGAAAGGGTCTCGCCCCCAATTATTAAGCCGGGACTTAAGCTCGAGGTCGAGGGTCACATTGGAGCAGGAACAGAGGGAGCGGCAGGAAGTCGATGGAAGCACAAGTCACCTCATATTGCAGAAGTCATGCAGAAGTCCTCCAGACCTGAGGTCCTTAACCTTTTTGACCTCGAGGCCAACTTTCTAAGCCCCAGAGTGAAGAGCTGCTCCACCCAGCCGTCTAAAGTCCTGCAGCGTCTCCTGACCTGAGCTTGAAGCTGGAGGACGTCTCGTGCTGTGGAAGACATCGTCCCAAAGACGTCATCTCCATCTAGCCTCAGTGACTATCGACCAGTTGCCCTCACATCCCATGTGATGAAGGTGCTGGGGAGGCTGGTCTTGACCCCTGACCCCTGACCCTCAGGGACTCACTGAGCGTGAAAGTCTCCGAGGGCTTTAGATGGATGAGGTGGCCATTTGACTGTTTTTTAATGAATAAATGTCTCTTCATTCTGATTATGTACGTATCATATTTGCTTCCTGTCTTTCTGAACGGTTCACAATGACGGTCGTTGTCTCCCAGAAGCGATCAATAGGCGTGCGTTGACCCCGTGGTTCTGTGCCTCCAGGAGCCGGGGGGGCGGCGCGGCGGCCATGTTGGAGTCCGGGGATCTGCGCTCTTCCCGCTGTGCTCGTCTTCGGCCTCGCCGCCATCGCTGGCCTCTGCCTGCACTCAGGTGTGTGTCAGTGTGTGTACATGATGGTGTAATTGTAATCTTTCGGGGGGAGGTTCTGTTATCTCAATATACACGGCAGTGAATAAATGGAATCATTGGCTGAGAGCATATCGTCATATCCGGTACGATAGGTGGCGCTGTTTTCATTACAACTAGTTGTGATGCAGCCATTTCCGCTTGACCGCTTCACCACGACCAACAACAACAACAACATTAGGAGAAAGATGGCGAGCGGAGAGCGAGGTGAAGCTACGTCCCTCTACTGTCTGCATGATGCTAACAGGAGCACAGCGAAGGCGAATGGCGCTATTGGCTGATTTGATAACGGAGAGAAGACGCCGTCGGGATCTCGAGTCCAGTTCCTCATCCGATCCACCGTCACGTGCCGCGATAGTCGAACTACCAACCGGATCGGATGGAGCTATCCAGGCGTGTCAGTCGGATCGTAGTCGGACAAAAGCGTTTACATGAAACGGATCATTGGACTTCAGTCCGACTGAGCCAGTTATTGGAATCCACGTAACGGCGCTGAGGACACACGCGCTGATCCACGTTACAGAGAAGATCTCTTTGTCTCCAGGTGAAACCGCTGCTTGCTGCTGCAGAAGAAGAGTCAGAGGTCAGAAGGCCACAGCGGTCAGTGATGAAGACCATCTCTTCTTTTATTCAACAAACTATTATCAAATCTCATTTCATAAAGAGATTAAAATGAACTAATGGCTAAACATGGTAGATAAATAAAATCATTCTCCTGTTGTGTTTCCTTCCTTATCCTCCTCCCTTCCTTCCGTCTTTCCTTATTTGTTTCCTTCTTCTTCTCCTCCTTCCTTCCCTCAGCTGCTCTCAAAATCAAGTGAAGTTTGAATATTTCAAAAACAGCTGTACTTAAATATAAATCTTCAATCGCTGCTTGATCCAAACAGTCCGGATTGAGAATCGTATATTATTGATCAACGTTTCATTGTGTCTCTGCAGGAAGAGTCTCTGCACTATTCCAGTCTGAAGCATGGAGACAAGCCCCGCCCCTTCGGCCGAGGAGCAACAGGATTGGTCGAAGTAGACGTCACATACTCCACAGTGACGACTCGCAAGAACCCAAAAGCGTAACGTGAATGTAACTTAATGGAGATTTTATAAAGCTATATTTTTTTATTTTTATGCCTTTCAAACAAATCAATTTCTATTTTTTAACTATATTTTTTCTCTTTTTTTCGTACTAAAGCTCATTTGTTCTGTCAACACTTTGTATTTTCATCATTAATAGATCCTTTGACGTAACAATGCTTTAACTGGTCATTTATGAGACGCTTGCTAGCAACAAACACGTCTATGGTCGTAAATAAATGTTTAAAAGTTTGTAATAGACAAAATCATTTTATTAATAAAAGCAAAAGTAAAGTGGGAAACATTTCAACAATCCGTTTACAACAGTTTATAGGCTAACGTGAAGTCATGTGACCGAGGTGGAGTTCCTTTACACTTCAAACGTCATCAAAGTTCAATAGTGAAGAAAATTCTCATTCGTCACCGGTGTAAAATCCTCCAAATCAGATATTTAATGTTTGCAAACAGGTGACACACAAGTCATGCAGCACATGCAGCACATGCACCACATGCAGCACATGCACCACATGCAGCACATGCACCACGGCTACATGTCTTCCTCCAGAGCAGGAACATAAAGATGCTAAAACAGGCTCTGCAAACATCAACGCACAAACATCTTGATCATCAGATGACCCAGAACGCGTGTCCCTCTCAGTGGAGGAGGACAGACTGATGACTGAGGGGGAACATTATGGCAGTTTTTACAACAATTATCTTGGAAGAATCGGAGACGACAGTTTGACTCACACACACGCTGACTGTTCCAAATAGTCTTTTTGTGGAGGGAACCGCTGTGATGCTTGAAAAACACACGATGACGATCATCTGAGGGACCGAGGACACGCCCACTTTTGCCGTATTGGTGGAACAAATAAGGAGTAACATCCAGAGACCATCAGCAGGTTCAGTTGGCATCGCAGAGGCCAGATGTGTGCAGCGTCAGCATCTGGATCGAGAACGTTAGCGTCCGACTCCGGTGACTCATTCCTCAAAAACCTTTCAGTTCCCTGAAGGCCTCCTCCTCTGCTCTAGTTTAGACCAAAGCTCACGCTGCAGCTGCAGCATCGCTCACAATGTGTCTCGTCTGTTATTTACTCACAAAGAAGTGTACTCACGAAGAAAACCTCTAACTTGTATTACTAGTATCATGTTTGTGTATAATTCAGACCGTGGGAACTTCAAGTATTAAGCAATAAGTGCTTCCCTCTTTATGACCTCAACCGTCCTCCAAGCAGAAGAAACCAAAACCACAACATCAGACCAGCTTCCTCCAGACAGCTTCACTGCTGATCCATCACACCGAATACGTTCTGAATCTGAATATTTGGCTCTTTGATTCTGAATATCATTATTTAAGGAGCGAATAATACATTTTATTTGAACACATATTATCACCAAAAAAATTGTGATTTTTGTCAACTAAAGTGTTGAAGTGTCTTCGCCTTCAGGGTGGAACCCAGTTTCTTTATAAAACATTTTCATTTTTTTATAGAATTAATCGCTTCAATACACAAAAACAGATCAACTCACAACACGTGAGGGAAGAACCGGAGGTTGCTGCCTGGTCCAAAGCAAACGTTATCACGCTATTCACCTGTGACCCCCGTGTCTAAACGCCTCTAATCGAGGTGGAGCACTGAAAGAGGGCGTCTGTGTTGTTTGCAGGTCCTTTGGGTTCCTTCAGAAAACAATACGGGTTTTCAGGGAGCTGTGACGGACCTGAAGGGAGGAGATAAATCAATGAACCACCGTCTGCATCTCATTCAGTATTTTGATCAAGTAGAATTCACGTGATTCGTGCTTTGATGACTCGGGACCACGAGGGGGAAGAATGTGCCGTTGTTGTCGTGCGATCCACCGGTTAAAAGGTTTCTACCAATGAGCAGGTGGATAAGACGATCTCAAACGGCGGCTTTTCTTAATGCTCGTCCCTATAATATGAAACTAGTAACCTGTGAAATCTGCCATGCAGACTGAAGCTGTTGGTCCAGCCGAGCGTCCTCCTCCTGTTACAGATGCACGAGAAGATGTAAGATAAGATACTAGATCTAAAAAGTGGAAGATAACATTTATATCTGAATATGAGATTAGATGATTTAGGAAAACGGATCTTTGGTTTCTGCTTCTAGTAGAACCAGCGTGTGTGTAGCTGAATACACACGATGTCAGCATGTTGCCTCGATCATTCTACCAAAAGGAAGTCGTGTTTTAAAGAGGAAACGCTTATTATTATCTCTCACCATTTGTAGGCGTCATCGCAGGTCCTTCCTGTATCTCCTCATAGACGTTGCATATTTCTGCACTTCCTGTGGAACAAGAAACATCTTCATATTAATAATCCTCTTAGTAACTACTGATTATCTGCTTCAAGGCCTGATGATTAACTCTCTAAATCAGGTTCACCTTTCGGTGTTGTGACATCAGCCAGATGTTCTGTTCACACAAACCAGGGGAGGAACTGCTGGTGAGGAGGAGGTGGTTCTCTGCATTCACCTTTTTATGAATTAATAACGCTGACAAAACATTTCCAGGAGTTTGGGGAGAACCTGAGGAGTAGTGTCACACTTTAACTTAGCTTAGCTAACGTTGAGCTGGCTAAACTTAAGCTCAGTTTAGCTAACATTGAGCTGGCTAAACTTAAGCTTGGCTTAGCTAACGTTGAGCTGGCTAAACTTAACCTCAGCTTAGCTAACGTTGAGCTGGCTAAACTTAAGCTTAGCTTAGCTAACGTTGAGTTGAATTAAACCACCTCCTCTGGCTGTTATGGTCCAACAGGTGGAACAACTATGGCCGCGAGTCTAAGCGAGTAGCATTCATGGATTTAAAGCACAACGATAGCGTTCTTTGACCGAAAGCAAAGTCTGTGAATCAAAGAGAAGAACCAGTTATTCAACCTCCTCGTTAAAGACCTAATTTCACAATAATAAGATGTTAATCTTGCCCTAAAACACTCAGCGTGACCGTGACACAACGTTAACCACCGCCAGCGTTACAAATGACGTGACTGCTCGTTACCGCAGCGATAAACTCGTCACGTCACTACCCAGCAGCGCCGCACACAGGACACACAACCAGGATCTAACAGATTTTATATATTGATCCTTTAATATAATATATATTTATTATATGATATTTATAATAGTTATGATATGGTAGTTATATCATCCATCCATCCGTCTTCAGCCGCTTATCCGGGGACGGATCGCGGGGGCAACAGCTCTGACTGGGGGACCCGAGGCGTTCCCAGGCCAGTGAGAGAATCTCTCCACCTGGTCCTGGGTCGTCCCCGGGGCCTGGAACACCTTCCCAGGGAGGCGCCCAGGCGGCGTCCTCACCAATGGCTGAGCTTCTCTAAGAGAGACGCCACCCACTCTCCTGAGGAACCCTTTCACACCTCGTTCTTTCTGTCATGACATAGTTATTTTATCATATTCAGAATATTGTTTCAAATATATACAGGTATATATTCATTAATATACCGAATAGTTTGAATAATACGTTAAACTGTAGGAATAAATGTTAAATATTGAACTGCAGAGTAATAATGCGTGTTTGATACCCTTTTTGTTGCATTGAATCACACTGTTAACTGAAACTGATTAGCTAACCCTACAAAATAAAATGCACCAGCTGCCACTGGTAGCTGTCAAAGCTTATTAATACAAATGTATCTTTTATTCATACTGTTTTGATGTGGATACATGAGAAGTTTCATTCACCTCGTCTTTCAAGCCTTCGTCTCCAAGCAAAGTACACAACGAAGATGATGATGATGATGAAGATGGGGGAGACTATTCCAACCACCAAAGCAGCGTGGGGGTCTTTCTCTGGAAGTCAAAGGGAGAATAATTAACTTTCAACAAGCCACCTGGAAACAACAGACGTGTGAAGTTGTGCTTTGTGTCTCTGGTCCTACCTGTGTGTGTCCCCGGTGTCGACGCTGCACTCGTTCTGGTTTCTGGTCTTCTGCTGGTCGAGGTCGTTGTTGTCTCTGTGTGGGACAGACGGACAAATACAATATATTTTATTTCTCTCAGACTGATCCCCTTTTCGTCGACTTCATGTTCAGATGTCGTGCGTCTCACTGTTCTTTTTGTGTCTCCGTCTCTTGGTTGTACTCGTGTCTGTGGTCAGACTTGTTTTAGCTGCAGAGGTTGTGGTTTTAAAGAGAGGACATAAATACTCATCAGGAAGAAGCTCTGCACCTCAGAAAGTGGTGAGTTCATCACACTCACTCACTCCCAGCAACACAACCTTCTCACAACTGGAACCAGTTAAATGCAAAGGTTGTTTGATGGATTGATAATGAAGAAGCAGCTGTAGGACAAAGCGGGGACACATCTGGCCTGTTCCAAAGACGTAGAACCCCCGACTGGTACCGATGAAGATCACTCGTTAAGGTCTTAGATCGATGAAATATACATTGTGTAGTGAGACCACATGTTCCTGGGAGGTTTGGTGAGGTACAAAAGAAAATGATGACTGTTGCTAGTTGTCATGGTTACCACACAGAGGGAATTGCTAACTAGTTAACGAGCTAATTGGTTAGCCGTCTCCACGGCGGTGGTCAGTGAGCCGGAGGGACTGTTGGACTTCCTGTCCCCAGATTAGCACTAAAGCGCGGTGGCGTTGAGCAGCTAGCTAACTAGCCTGGTGGAATAAGTTAATGCTACTCTGGTCACAGGAGACCTTCTCAATGGGAGCAGATGAAGTGTTGAGGTGAGGATTTTCACTGATAGACTCTGGACTTTCTGGTCTACTTTCTGTTCCTCCTGGTGCACCATCATAAGGTGCTGGTGCCCCCACATGGAAAAGTTAGTCTGGAGCTCTTTCTTGTGTGTTTACAAACCACAGAAAGAAGCTTAGAAGGTTAGAAGGTTGGTTCTCTGGCTGAAGGATGAGCAGTCTGAGAAGTCCGCTTTCCTTCTGCACATATCGCTTCGTCTTCTCTGACGTCTCGTGTCTCACCTTTGGTCACATGCAGATACACAACAGGTTTCCCATCACAGCTGTAAAGGCCAGAGTTGTTCATCTCCACGGACGTTATGGTCAACGTCTGGTCAGCAGGAGAAACATGGAACCCTTTCTGGTCTGTTATTGCACCAGTGTGAGTGGTGCTCCACCTTCTAGCAGGTGATCCACCATCAGGAGGACACGTCAGAGTGACTCGTGTCCCCTCCTCAGCTTCACGTACAGCGGTTCCTGTAGCACACCACACAAATAAGAAGAGCTTTAGGGGTATTTTCCATTTACTATGATCTCCATGTACTATATATATATATATATATATATATAAAATGCACACTATAAATTCACCATTTCATCAGTGTGACAGAGTTAAAGAAACATGAAACATGTCCTTTAGAGAGTCTGAAACAGGAGGAGGAGATGCTCCTGAGCTAGATGTTACCTGCTGGGATCACCGTCAGCTCCACAGCGTCTTCTCTGTTACAGAAGTATCTCCCAGAGTCTGAGGTGGTGACTTTGAGGATATGCAGACTCTTATCTGCCTGTGAACTGTATCGTTTGTGCGGGTCCTCAACGTGTTTAATGTCCCGATCACCTCCAGGTGTCAGTATGTCCACTTTGCTTCCACCAAGCTCTCTGCTCCAGGTCACCTTCTCCTCCACAGGGTGAGGACAGCGCAGAGTAGCTGAGGCCTTTTCCTCCACTATTAACGGGATCACTGCTACAAAAGAAAATACGTTTACTATCGGCAAACGCTCTCGTTTGTGTCCACAGGAAACCAGGTTCATTTACTAAAGCAATGACGTTATTCCACTTGTGTACTTTACTGACCTCGGTTACGTAACATGTCATTCTGAATACTTTAGTGGTCTAAACCGAAATAAGAGTTTAATCTATGAGAAGACACGCTGTCCCTGAGGTTGCATTTAACCTTCTCTGTGTCACGATTCAAAGCGAGGAATCACTCACCTGCGGCGACGTGACAGAGCAGCACGAAGGCCGACAGGCCGACATCCGTCCTCCTCCTCATCATCACACCGACTGAGTCCACTGGCCACAAGCGAGAACAGGAACTCAGCCGTCTGTGCGGAAAGGTTCTCTTCCTCTTTGCCGACCAAAAAAACACAATGATGAATCATAAGGTTTCTGTGATGAAAAGTGTTCATCACTGATTTGAATGTGACATGATGAAGCAGCAGTGCTAGACACTAGATCACTGATGTGTTCTACAAGACACCAAAACCTTTAACACATACAGGAGCCCCAGGTCTTTTACCCAAGCTGTGTGATGTGGGTTCATCTGCTACGTGGCTTTTGTCACTCGAGAGTCTGTCAAACATTAGTCGTGGTTAACCCCCCCACAGAGGGGTCCATAGCAGAAACAGAAATTGCTTCCTGTGGGCGGAGCTGCTCGCGGTCCCTCTTGGTGCAGGAGGGACGGCCTCTCGTTCAACAAGTTGAGTCTTCACTGGGTACAAAGGGGAGAGAATGAATTATGTGGTCTTGGTGCTTTATGGGTTTTCTCTGATACTTCGTCCTTTAAACATGTCATCTGTTTGTGCAGTTGTTTTATTTCCTCACGTTCACGTTCTGGTTCTCATTGAAACAAACACTTGTGTTTTTTCTCCGTTATATAAGTCTTTTTTCTGAGTTCAACCCAAGTTTGAAAGTGGCGAGTCTTTCTGAGGGATCCATTTGCAGGAAACACAAACGTTTTAACCATTAACAGAGAGATTCTAGAGGACCCTCCTCATATTTCTGTATCTTTCGGCCGGGGTAAGTACTTATATCATGTAAATATAGTCGTCATTGGCTTTCTTTTTTCTCTTATTGGTAAAATCACCTCTCTGGGAACCGTCACCAATGGGTGGGGGGGTCCTTGCTTGGGGCCATCCAATCCTCGTACGCCCAAAGCGAGCGCTGTGTTCGGGTGCTCGGCAGTAAGTCGAAGGCGTTTCCGGTGGGGGTCGGCCTTCGCCAGGGCTGCACCTTGTCACCAATCTTGTTTGTGGTTTTCATGGACAGGATATCGAGGAGTAGTCGGGGGGAGGAGGGTCTACAGTTCGGGGAGCTGCGGATCTTATCGCTGCTTTTGCAGATGACGTGGTCCTGATGGCATCTTCTGTCTGTGACCTCCAACTCTCACTGGAGCGTCTCGCAGTCGAGTGTGAAGCGGTCGGGATGAGGATTAGCACCTCTAAATCTGAGGCCATGGTTCTCAGCAGGAAACCGATGGATTCCCTACTCCAGGTAGGGAATGTGTCCTTACCCCAAGTGAAGGAGTTCAAGTACCTCAGGGTCTTGTTCACGAGTGAGGGGAAGATGGAGTGTGAGTTTAGTTGGAGAATCGGAGCAGCGGGGGCGGTATTGCACTCGCTTTACAGCACCGTTGTGACGAAAAGAGAGCTGAGCCGGAAGGCAAAGCTCTCAATCTACCGGTCAATCTTCGTTCCTACCCTCACCTATGGTCATGAAGGCTGGGTCATGACCGAAAGAACTAGGTCACGGGTACAAGCGGCCGAAATGGGTTTCCTCAGGAGAGTGGCTGGCGTCTCCCTTAGGGATCGGGTGAGAAGCTCAGCCATTCGCGAGGAGCTCGGAGTAGAGCCGCTGCTCCTTTGCGTCGAAAGGAGCCAGTTGAGGTGGTTTTGGCATCTGGTGAGGATGCCCCCTGGGCGCCTCCCTAGGGAGGTGTTCCAGGCACGGCCAGCTGGGAAGAGGCCCCGGGGAAGACCCAGGACTAGGTGGAGAGATTATATCTCTGCACTGGCCTGGGAACGCCTTGGGATCCCCCAGTCAGAGCTGGTAGATGTGGCCCGGGAAAGGGAAGTTTGGGGTCCCCTGCTGGAGCTGTTGCCCCAGCTACAGTGTCAAAGAATCTGATCCAAGACAAAGATAATATTCATCCAAGTGCAACCGTTACATCACATTACTCGTCCCTGTCGTACGTATCGGTCGAGGTCGTGACAATATGATCCCTGAAGAAACGTCATAAAACAGAAACATGTCACGTCATTTAAAATGACTGATTTTAGTCAGTAACACCCATCAAAGTAGGAAAAGACAAATGATCATACGAGGACACAAATGATTAAAAACTCCTTCCCCTAAGAATTCAAAGATCACATTTGTAATTTAGCTTTGCTAACGCTAGTGTTGTTGACGTGTCTTCGGCACTTAGAATAAATGATGTCTGTAAATGAGCCGCTGCCACGTTCTGTCATCAGCGACGTCACGGCCCATTCAGTGATGTTGCAGATCGGCTTCTTGCAGCTACTCAGTGACGCTCTCTCGTTCTGCCGCTGTCAGTTCGGTCGTATTCTCTGAATGCTGCTCTCAACTGTCTATTGACACGTGTGTCTCTCAGAGACCAAGTCAATAATACATCTCATCAGTAGCTGCCGTCAACAGAACTATTGCCCCAACGGCTGATTTGGTTCATCTCACTTCTGGTAAACCTCTGTAATGAATCGCTGCTTCTCAGCTACTTCCAGGAACTGACAGTTTACTTTCCAGACCCTGGATAATCGGTTCTGTCTGGGCAAGTAAATAGGAAATAGATCAAAAAGCATTTCATACCAACCCAAAAGACAGGAAAAACACAATGTTAAGGTAAGGTGACACAATTCAACAAACACTTTATTTGATAACCAAAAAATAACACTTTAATTTCTTTAAGCAACAGAAAAACAGAAAAAATACTGTTTGAATTCACATAATAATTTCAAGTTTAGAGTGACTACGTCCAAGCACTAAAGCTGTTCTATATATGCAAACAGCTTCCATTGGTCCTCAGCTGTCCCAATGTCCCCGCAGGACGTCGGCTTGCAACAGGAAGGTCCTCAGCGAGCTGCCGGGGCCACGATGGGCACTCGGCCTTTCTCTTCTGCTCTGGCTCCATCTGGGGACCAAACCCAGAGTCCCTGCTCGCCCAAACAGGCCTCATCAGCAGCACAATGCTTCCGATGAATAAAGCTCCAGCCCGAAGCTTCTTCAAGCAAAACATGAGATGTATATCAACACATCCATCATCTAACACACCAATCATAACACATCCCACATCCTCATATTTCACAACATCATACGCATAACAGTTAACTCATTTCATATTGTCCAAAAGCAACTTGGGCCGCGCAAGAAAAACTCCCCCCAAAACCCGTCAATGGGGATGAAATAAGGAGGAATCTGTTGAAGAAGAACCAACATCTAAGTGAGTAGGATTCATGGATTTAAGCACAACCATAGCGCTCTATTAGAACGAGCTCAGTGGTTCATCTTAAGAACAAGAGACTCTGGAAGAACAGTTCTGTAATTTCACGGTTGAAAGACGTAACCGTGTCTTAAAACCTTCACTGTGACGTTACACAACTTAATCACTAATATACTTTTATTACGCGTTACAACGTTAAGAGCCAGAGAATTCAAAATGAAGAAACGAAACACATCATTCATCTTCATTAACAAATAATGATGTGAATACATGAGGAGTTTGATCCACCTCGTCTTTCAATCCTTCGTCTTCAAGAAAAAGTACATGATGCCGATGATGATGATGGTGAGGAGGAAACAGGGGAAGAAGACTATTCCAACCACCAAAGCAGCGTGGGGGTCTTTCTCTGGAAGTCAAAGGGAGAATAATTAACTTTCAACAAGCCACCTGGAAACAACAGACGTGTGAAGTTGTGCTTTGTGTCTCTGGTCCTACCTGTGTGTGTCCCCGGTGTCGACGCTGCACTCGTTCTGGTTTCTGGTCTTCTGCTGGTCGAGGTCGTTGTTGTCTCTGTGTGGGACAGACGGACAAATACAATATATTTTATTTCTCTCAGACTGATCCCCTTTTCGTCGACTTCATGTTCAGATGTCGTGCGTCTCACTGTTCTTTTTGTGTCTCTGTCTCTTGGTTGTACTCGTGTCTGTGGTCAGACTTGTTTTAGCTGCAGAGGTTGTGGTTTTAAAGAGAGGACATAAATACTCATCAGGAAGAAGCTCTGCACCTCAGAAAGTGGTGAGTTCATCACACTCACTCACTCCCAGCAACACAACCTTCTCACAACTGGAACCAGTTAAATGCAAAGGTTGTTTGATGGATTGATAATGAAGCAGCAGCTGTAGGACAAAGCGGGGACACATCTGGCCTGTTCCAAAGACGTAAAACCCCCGACTGGTACCGATGAAGATCACTCGTTAAGGTCTTAGATCGATGAAATATACATCGTGTAGTGAGACCACATGTTCCTGGGAGGTTTGGTGAGGTACAAAAGAAAATGATGACTGTTGCTAGCTGTCATGGTTACCACACAGAGGGAATTGCTAACTAGTTAACTAGCTACTTAGTTAGCTCGTCCGTCTCCACGGCGGTGGTCAGTGAGCCGGAGGGACTGTTGGACTTCCTGTCCCCAGATTAGCACTAAAGCGCGGTGGCGTTGAGCAGCTAGCTAACTAGCCTAACAGGGGAAGAAGACTATTCCAACCACCAAAGCAGCGTGGGGGTCTTTCTCTGGAAGTCAAAGGGAGAATAATTAACTTTCAACAAGCCACCTGGAAACAACAGACGTGTGAAGTTGTGCTTTGTGTCTCTGGTCCTACCTGTGTGTCCCCCCGGTGTCGACGCTGCACTCGTTCTGGTTTCTGGTCTTCTGCTGGTCGAGGTCGTTGTTGTCTCTGTGTGGGACAGACGGACAAATACATTATATTTTATTTCTCTCAGACTGATCCCCTTTTCATCGACTTCATGTTCAGATGTGGTGCGTCTCACTTTTGTTTTTGTGTCTCCGTCTCTTGGTTGTACTCGCAGAGGTTGTGGTTTTACCTTCAGCTAGAAAGAGAGGACATAAATACTCATCAGGAAAAAGCTCTGCACCTCAGAAAGTGGTGAGTTCATCACACAGGTCTCCTGTGACTACTCTGGTCACAGGAGACCTTCTCAATGGGAGCAGATGAAGTGTTGAGGTGAGGATTTTCACCGATAGACTCTGGACTTTCTGGTCTACTTTCTGTTCCTCCTGGTGCACCATCATAAGGTGCTGGTGCCCCCACATGGAAAAGTTAGTCTGGAGCTCTTTCTTGTGTGTTTACAAACCACAGAAAGAAGCTTAGAAGGTTAGAAGGTTAGAAGGTTGGTTCTCTGGCTGAAGGATGAGCAGTCTGAGAAGTCCGCTTTCCTTCTGCACATATCGCTTCGTCGTCTCTGACGTCTCGTGTCTCACCTTTGGTCACATGCAGATACACAACAGGTTTCCCATCACAGCTGTAAAGGCCAGAGTTGTTCATCTCCACGGACGTTATGGTCAACGTCTGGTCAGCAGGAGAAACATGGAACCCTTTCTGGTCTGTTATTGCACCAGTGTGAGTGGTGCTCCACCTTCTAGCAGGTGATCCACCATCAGGAGGACACGTCAGAGTGACTCGTGTCCCCTCCTCAGCTTCACGTACAGCGGCTCCTGTAGCACACCACACAAATAAGAAGAGCTTTAGGGGTATTTTCCATTTACTATGATCTCCATGTACTATATATATATATATATATATATATATATATATTTAAAAAAGCACACTATAAATTCACCATTTCATCAGTGTGACAGAGTTAAAGAAACATGAAACATGTCCTTTAGAGAGTCAGAAACAGGAGGAGGAGATGCTCCTGAGCTAGATGTTACCTGCTGGGATCACCGTCAGCTCCACAGCGTCTTCTCTGTTACAGAAGTATCTCCCAGAGTCTGAGGTGGTGACTTTGTAGATATGCAGACTCTTATCTGCCTGTGAACTGTATCGTTTGTGCGGGTCCTCAACGTGTTTAATGTCCCGATCACCTCCAGGTGTCAGTATGTCCACTTTGCTTCCACCAAGCTCTCTGCTCCAGGTCACCTTCTCCTCCACAGGGTGAGGACAGCGCAGAGTAGCTGAGGCCTTTTCCTCCACTATTAACGGGATCACTGCTACAAAAGAAAATACGTTTACTATCGGCAAACGCTCTCGTTTGTGTCCACAGGAAACCAGGTTTATTTACTAAAGCAATGACGTTATTCCACTTGTGTACTTTACTGACCTCGGTTACGTAACATGTCATTCTGAATACTTTAGTGGTCCAAACCGAAATAAGAGTTTACGTTACTCTAACTACGAGTCCACTGGCGCGTAGAGACACAGTGGATATAAACCGCAGGGCACAAATGATGATTTCACCATTTATCAGTTTGATAATGACAAAGAGACACACAACTGTCTGAGCAGACGAGGACGTGTGCTCAGAAGATATTTGATTATGAACCTCCAGCTGAACGAAGGAGAAGTTATCGCTCTTCCTGAAGGCGTCTCGTTGAACCCTTTTCACACGGCCTAAAATCAGCCGTCAAGCTCCTGATAGGAGTCAAACTACCGACCACACGCATCAAACCCTTCAATCAACGCGATTCAAAGCGAGGAATCACTCACCTGCGGCGACGTGACAGAGCAGCACGAAGGCCGACAGGCCGACATCCGTCCTCCTCCTCATCATCACACCGACTGAGTCCACTGGCCAGCGACACGTTTCATCAGCAGCGAGAACAGGAACTCAGGCGCCTAAAGGCGCGTAAAGGTTCTCTTCCTCTTTGCCGACGAAAAAACCGCCACGATAAATGATAAGGTTTCTGTGATAAATACTTAGTGGTTGCTCTCATCTGAATGTGACATGATGAAGCAGCAGTGCTAGACACTAGATCACTGCACTTTTGTTAATGTTTAGACACACAGACTTTTTTCGGCAGATTTGCTCATTTAGATGTGACTGTTGCACGTTCTTCAATAGTTACATTTTAGGAACTGCTAGTCACTCGATCTGTATTCACTTCAGCACTCTACCTTAGTTATTAATGTACATGTAGGAAGTGTGCATTGGTAGAAGTGACTTTGTTCAAATGTTCATTTTTTGCAACGGAGGAGGTGTCCCGACCCACGCAGGGTTTGATGAAACAAAGTAGTTTATTCACATTTGTTTTGGTTCTGGAAATATAAACAGAAGTTTGTTTCTCTTTTATCAAAGATTTCCATACTGTTCAATCAGTGTGAATTGTGTCATTAATAAAGTCGTGTGCTAATCTGTTGCTCTTTGCAGCTTTGTTTTCACACAAAGTGGAACAACTGAACATTCAACATGTCACTTTTTGGATTGTTTTAGAGATATGTTGTATTTAATACACTGAAACAGCACATTATAAGCTTTTCATTCAAAGTAACAGAAACATTTCCAATCGCAGGCCTCAAGGAAGTGTCGTTGATTTAATTCAGATATTATCCATTATAATGTAGCGTGCCTTAAGTTCATAAATGTCAATATTGTTCATTATCATGCATTCACGGTGGCAAATAGTTTCATTGTGTCATGTTTTTCTCGCGTCATCTGACTCAAGTAATCATTACGTCCACGTAAAAAAAAGCCAATTATCCAAAACTGTTGATTTACACTCTTGAATCGTAATTGGCTAGTGCGCATGTCACTTCGTCATAGGGACGCAGAATTAATCCACGTTCATTGGTGTGTTGCTCCTGTCCATCAAAACGCGCTTTTGTGATTGGACCGAATCACCTTTAAAATGGCGTTCTCTTCTGCGCTATCAACAATAGGTTTGTCCGGCACTCCAATCTTATTGGTCTTTCACTTAGTCAGTCACACCCGTCCTCCGTTCTGATTGGTTGTTCTGTTTCAGAGTGGGGCGGTGACTTTCTGGAAGTGCGTTTCCTTGTTTGTCATATGCGAGGCGACGGGGAGAACCGATAGATCATCGGGAGATGCAAACTGATTAAATAAATCATTTCACCGACGAGGGAAACACACTTTAGCCGCAGCGACAAATGCTATTCACGGCTAAAGCTCCCCGGGATCCTTAATGCGAAACACAGCGGCCATATTGTTCTAGTGTTTGTTATCGCGTCGCTATCTGGCTGCAGCCCCCCCCCCCCCACACACTACACCTCGCCTGTGTGGCTATGAGTACGGACCTCCTATCTGACCTGGACAGTCGTTTCTTCGCTGATAACCTCCTGACGAGCGAAGATTGGGGTACGTTCACGTCTTCGAGCCGTTCTAGCGGTAAGCTAGCGTGTGTCCTGCACGCTGCTAAGCTAGCGGCTACGGTTGCCCGTCGCAGCTCACCCGCTAAAACGGCTAAATCTCCTGCAACGTGTGCGTGTCATTCCTCACGCTTTAATATCATTTAACGGGTGAATTGTGCACGCGGGGAAGTGTGTATTTGTGTGCACACTTCCTACCTCAGTCAGAATACCCGGATGTGTCAGTCTATCTCTGGGGCGGAAGCGTGACGTCACCCGTTAAAGAACACGCGTCTCTTCTTCTGCAGCGTGACGCGTGCGTCGTTAATGCACGCGCTGTGTGTGTATGTAACGTGTGTGTGTGTGTGTGTGTGTGTGTGTGTGTGTGTGTGTAACGTGTGTATAATGAAGTAAATGTACCGTTATAGTAGTAATGAACCTGGTGTACATGAATGTCTATGAGACACCCAAGTAGAAGTACTTAATGTAGCATAGAATGAATATACTGTGTGTAGAAGTACGCTTTATACAGATACAGCCGCAGGTATTACACAGGAACAATAAATATACGAATCTAAACCAAAGATATGTGTGTATAGAATACAACAGTCAACACAAATACATAATCAAATGTAAATATACTATTTGTACAGTAGTATGAATAAGAAGTTTATTGTATTTAAGTCAGACACATGTTTGCTTTAACAGCATGTGTTTGTATGGTTATTACAGTGATAGTATTTGTCCTTAATAAGTGGGACTGTGTCTGTTAAGTAACTCCTGTGATATACGGAGGTACTGGTGATGTGTGACTCACAGGTGAGAATGAAGATGATTAGTTTGATACATCTGTATTATTATTATTATCATTTAGTTATTAATAACTCTCTAATGTCTCTTTGACGTATTAACTCTGTCTCATGTCTCTCTGGGGTCTAATAACTCTTATTGTGGTGTTTGGGTCCCGTCTCTGCTCAGATGCCTGTCTGTACCAGTGTGAGAGCATGGAGGAGGGAGAGGACGCCGCCGCCGCCGGCCGCCGGCCGAAGTACGAGCCGTCGGTACGGAGACGCACACACACACACACACACACAGAATACACACAGAATACACACAATACTTAACAGCCTTATGAGAAACTTCACATCGTCCGTTCTTAATCACAGATCAGGTCACTGAATGATTGTTTTAAACAGATCCTGATGATTTGTGTTGGCAGATGCAGATTGTTTTTGTTGTTGTTGGTCTGTGAAGCTTTTCCCCACCAAGTCACTTTCTATTGATTACATCAATCCTGTCATTAGTAGTTGTGATGTTGCTGCTCATGTCTCATCTCTAACGTCTACTTCACGCGTGGAAACGTGACCTCTCCCTCAGTTCGACAATGACCTCGTGCTCACCCTCGACCCCGACAACCCCACGTCGCCGTGGCAACACCTCGACGACAGCCTTCTCACAGGTACGGACGGACGCGTCGGAAGGCTGAGACGCCGAACGCCGAACCTCATGGATTGTTGCAATAAGAATCGAATCATTGATGTGAAGCTTTTAAAAACCTCAACGGCTTTGTCTTTGTTTTCCCTGAAGGAGAAACTCCTGTGATGGAGGCTGAGATGACCATCGCTCAGCCGCTACCGGTGGAAATGTGTTAGTTCTCCTTCTTCTTTTCACATCTGCTGAACCACACACACACACACACACACACACACACACACACATTGTGTACGTGTGTTTTACTGGTTGATGCGTTTGTTTATTTGTGTGTCCAGTGTTCCAGGTTAAAGCCGAGCCTCCTTCTCCTGCTTCCTCACTCGGGTCAGACTGCTCCTCCTTGTCCCCAGAGCCACAGGTGTGTGTGTGTGTGTGTGTAAAGTGTTGTTTAGTTTGTGTTACTTTACATCCACTCTTGTTGTACTGATGGAAACATCGCTAGTAAGACGACACACCTGCGTTATTAAACGTATTTGAGAATATTCGCGTGTCCTTAAACTGTTTGACGTTCCCGTAATCCGACTCCAGGTCACCATCAAAGGGGAGAGCCCCCCGACCCCCCCCTACATGTACGGGGACGTGCTCTCCCTCCGCTGGGCTCCATGGAGATCACCGTGGCAACGACGGCCGTGCGCGCGGTTAGCGACGCAGATGCCGGCGTGGTGGGCGGAGTCCAGGCGCAGCCCGGTGGGTAACCGTGCCGACGGCGGCCCGGGGGGGGAACTCGGTCACGTCTGAGTCGTGACGCTCTTTGTGTGTCCCGCAGCGCTGCCGGGCTCGGCCACGCTGAAGGCCACCTCCATCCTGAGCACCAAGCCCCCCATCCAGCCCAGGCCCGTGTGCGTGGCCGCCCTCCCCCTCCCGCAGGCCCCCCCGCCGGCCAAGACCCTCGTCCTGCAGGGCCTGCCCCCCTTAGACCACAACCGACCCGGTGAGTGTTTGGATCCCTGAAGCACTTGAGTTCTGATAGAGTCAGAGCGCTGATGACCTCGTCCCCCTCGTCCCCCCTCGTCCCCCCCGGCAGTTGTGCTGTCCCCGTCCGTCTGTCTCGGCTCGGCTCCGGCCATTGTGAAAATGGAGCCCGTCTCTCCCGGCGTCCCCCAGCACTGCTCCGGCCCCACGGCGCCCGCCAGCAAGCCCATCGTCCCGGCGACGGCGGCGTTGCCCGGCAACAACTCCAACGACATTGACGTGAGTCGGATTTACTGTCACCTGAGCTGCAGCTTAAAGTAAATAAAATAGTCTGTCCTTCAGAACAAAGGCTTTGTCCCTTTTACCTCCTGCTGCAGATGAAGGTGATGAAGAGGCAGCAGCGGATGATAAAGAACCGCGAGTCGGCCTGCCAGTCGAGGAAGAAGAAGAAGGAGTACCTGCAGAACCTGGAGTCCCAGCTCAGGGACGCCCAGCAGGAGAACGAGCGTTTGCGCCGGGAGAACCAGGCGCTGAGGGAGAGACTGGCTGGCAAAGAGGTGAGGGGGGGGGGGGGGAGGAGGGGGCGACTCTTCGTCTCCTCTGTAGCCACAACTGCTCCTCCTCATCGGTAGCATCATCAGCTAAAGCTTCGCTTAGCATTAGCTGTCATGGAGAAAAACAAGGCAAAGGGTAGAAAACAACATTAGAAAGATCCTTATTTAATCATCATCATCAGATGAAGAACAGAACTGCCAAGTTACAGTGAGTTTCAAAGAACATCTCAAAGGCCTCAGTCAATGAAGAAGTATGAAATTATAAAGCGCTGGAAGACTTGTTACAGTTCTGGTAAATTTCTCTCCTTTCTTCTTATTTGTGTTGACACGGAAAAAGGACCTCTGGCAGAGAGGGAAAGTGATGCATCATGGGACTTGTAGGGTTTGAATCATCACCGCATCTCAATCATTGAACCAAATGAAGAGTAGTGAGGCCCTTTGACCTCACGTGAGGGAAGAAGGCCTACAAGGTCATTCGTTCAGTCAGCGTCCTTCAGAGGTTCATCTTCCTGTTTCCTTCCTGTTGTTCGTCAGGTTCTCACTTCTTAGTTGACGGGTTAAAGGACCTTTTCTCTGCAGTCGTACTGCAGGATCTCCATAAGCAATAATGGAACAAATGTATCTTCAGCTGCTCTCTGATGTTACAAAGTCCACAACTTGGTTACCAATTCCTCTAAATGTTTATTGTCTTATACAAGATTCACAAAGTCGTGGAGGAAAATACGGGACAAATGTGTCCTTGATGAAAAGCAGCAGTGTGGATGCACGGGGCAATAAAGTCTATGATCAATAAACAAATAAATAAATACAAAGACGTGACTCTCCAGGTCGTCTTCAACAGAACACGTGACTCCACCTGTTGTTCTGGAGGTGAATCGCTCTGCAACACACGCACGACTTTACAACCAGGAAGTGAAACCAGCGCGTCGACGCGTGAAGACGCAGAAACACGCGGCGGCCTTCAGTGTTGATCTCATATTCAAAGAGCTTTTCTGTGTTTTTATTGCATCATTCAGATGATTAATTAGTATCAAAGACGTAAATGAGGAATGCTCAGTATCTGTCTCGGTCAACAACAACAACAACAACAGGAGCACGCCGTCCTCACACGGACCGAACACACAACCGGAGCAAACTGCTATGCAGATCACACGTTGTGTTCATTGAATTGATGTTGGTTCCTTCAGGGCGGCGACTCGGCGAGCAACAAGAGAGCCGTGTGTGTGATGGCCGTCCTGCTCTTCATGACCTTCAGCTTCGGACCCGTCAGGTACCGATAGCGTCCTCGTCCGCTCACGCCAAGACGTCGCGTCCATTAATGTCCAGTCTTCTCTCCGGCAGCATCTCGGACAGGAAGCTGTCGGGCCTGCAGGACGGCGTGGTGAGCTACACGGGGCGCCACCTGCTGGAGACACCACCACAACAACAACAACAACAGCGGCGACGGCAGGAGGCGGTGGCTCCGCCTCCCAGCAGAGTGGAGGACAGGGCGGAGACGGAAGAGGACGGAGGAGACGAGGCCGCGGAGGCCTTTCAGTTCAGGTGAGATCAACCTCTTGATTCATGTCCTCAAACTCCTGCATGAAGATCAGAAACTCCTTCATGAAACATGAATTAAGTGAATAAAAGCGGTAAAACGTCCTCATTAATCTCCTCTAACGTGTAGGAACCTCAGCGACGTCTTCAGTGACATGAAGGATCTGGTGCTTCAGGACATCGACCGTTACTTCAGCTCTTCAGACTGCAGACAGTTCAACCGCTCAGAGTCCCTCAGGTGGGTCACACCGTGATGTTGGTCCTCCTCTGGTCCATCTTCACCTCCTCCTCTTCTTCTTATCACAAACACTTCACATAACAACACACGGCGAAGCCGTTAGAGAATCTACTTTCATCTAGAATGAAGTGGACTTTTTTTCTCCTCTCGGCTCCTCTGGTTCCTGCGGTTCTTCAGGCTGGCAGACGAGCTGAGGGGTTGGGTTCAACGGCATCAGATCGACAGGAAGAAGTCTGGAGGGAAACCCAAAGCTCCAAAAAAAGCCAAGATCGCCCAGGTTCAGCAGAACTCCTTCTTCTCCATCGCTTGTCTTTGATTCATTCAAGCGTTTTATATGTAGAACTCAGTTTATATCAATTGTTCTTCTGTCTGGTTTCGTCTTTGCAGAAAGCTCAGCTGAGGAAGACCAACTTCTCCAGATATCTGCCCATTCAGGCCCATCGCTCCATAGAAAGGTTTAAGTAGAAAAACCAGATGTTCTTTGGTTTCTCTGGAAACCTCAGATCCTCACGGAAAGTTTAGTCTGACTGAGGAAGAAATAAACTCGATGACGATGAAAACGAGAAAACACATCCAACATTTCCAGTGTGATCAATAGATAAAGATGTAAATGTCACCTTCGGTCTTGAGGGAATGTTTTGAACAAACTCGTTCCTGTCTGCAGTCAGCTGCAGGTGCTTCCTGGTCCTCAGCTCACCTACAGCGACTTCATGGACGCCATCGACCGCAGAGAAGACACGTTCTACGTGGTGTCCTTCAGACGGGTACCGATCACACTCCATGATCACTAACATTTAACGCTTAGACGAGGGTTCGATCTGTCAGGACTGAAGAATAAAACACACGACGACACGTGATGCTTTTAAATCGATGAATCAGACGTTGGACCTTTAAAGCATCAGATATGCAGAAACTCGATTCATCTTAACGTCTTGATTCCGACGTGCTGCTGCTGTTGGCTGATCTAGAGGCAGCTTTTCCCATTGACCTCTGACCCCTGCGCCCCCCCCACAGGATCACCTGCTGCTGCCGGCCATCAGCCACAACAAAACCAGCCGGCCCAAGATGTCGCTGGTGATGCCGGCCATGTCTGTGAACGGTGAGAGTTAAACGAAGGTTGTCAAAATATCTCAATTGAAATCGTGCTGGAGGAGAGACGTCAACTACAACTCCCACAATGCACCTCAGCGAGAAGATCCAGTTAACTTTAAGCAGCTTCGGTTCATTGTCCTGTTTGTGGTCCTCTGACCTACAAAGCGACAGAGCAGCGGAGGATCATGGGTAATGTAGTATTCACTCCGGTGACAAAGCAATAATCTTTTGTGACCTTTGCCCCCCCCCCCCCCCCCTCAGAGAGCCTCTACAACTCGTCTCAGGGCTACGAGATGATGATGCAGGTGGACTGCGAGGTCATGGACACCCGCATCGTCCCCATCAAGTCCTCCGCCGTCCCGCCTTCCCTCCGCGACCCGCCGCCCCCCCCGTCCTCTCCCCACCACCACGGCAACCACACCTCGCTGCGGGGGCGCCACCAACACCACCACTCGTCTCCAAGGCAACCGTTACCCGCCCGCCGACGGACAGCGGAGTATCTCATCAGCCAATCAGAGGGGGTCTGAGGAGGGATGCCGGTTTCACGTCGACAGGTAACACACACACCTGTGGAGTCCTGCAGGAGGCCCCCGCAGGAGGACTCTGATGACTCTGATCCATAATCAATAAATCTCTGTTCTGAACACGATGTTTGGATATACGAGAATCTGTAGACGCACTTAAGAATAAATACTGCGTTTTCCATGTTTAGTGGTGAGTGTCCAGGCTGAGGCAGGCGCGGGGGACAGGAAGTGACATCACACACCTTCTGATCAGCAATAAACTCGTTAAGTCAAAGGTCGTAGGATCGGGTCACTTCCTGTTTACGTTTGTATATTTGTGTTGTTTTGTTGTTAGTCGGTTAATGTCAAAGTTAATGTCAGCTGTGTGTGTGTGTGTGTGTATCATATATACACACACATTAAACATTATTATCTGATTACAATATATTTTAGAAGCGGAAACATTTGGTTGATTCATGCTGGTTTTTCAAAAAAAGAAAGTAATATATACAAGATCGATCGATCGATACTTGTAACAATAAATAAATAAATCCTATCTACTGATTGGTAACATATTTGAAAATTTAAAAAATAACCAATAATGATGATAATAAAAATTACATATAACAAAAAACAATTTAACAGCAGAAAACTAAATGTCAAAGCATTATTGGTAATAAAAAAAATAATTATTGGAGTCCTCGATTAACTTTCTAATTTATTCCATTATGAATGAAACATAATTATATACTTAATTTTTTTTATATATTCCATCACCAGATGGAAGATGACTAACGAGGAAAGAAGGAAGTGAACGTTCACTCTTCTTCGCTATGCTGCTTGTTAGCTTAGCATCAGGCTGCTAGCATGCTCTGAAGGCCAGATTCCACTTCCTGTTCCCCGCTTCATGCAGCGTCTGCTTTTATTTTGAATGTTGGTTATTTAATACTTGTAAATACTCTGTAGATACTTTTCTTTGTTTTTGCCAACTTTTTAAATATTTTTTTTATTTCTCTTTTTTGATCTTTTGACAAAAAAATCCAAATAATAATAATTAAAGTTTTTACAATAAAGAGACTCGGTGGGAAGGAAACTGACTTCTGGTGTTAACTTTTATATTTTTAATATATTTATGAAAACATACACACTTTTTTTTACTGTACAGAATCAACTATTCATTAAGAATAAAGACAACAAGCCGCCATCTTTTCTTTACCTGTAAAAATGTAGCTTTTAAAAATGTGTGAAACTTTTAACACTTCCTGTTTCTTCTAATGTCCAAAACTTGATGGAAGAGTTGGTTGGAGCAAAATGTAAAAAAAGAAGGTTTGGTGATCAAAGAAACGAGTAAATAATAAAATATATACATTTTTCTACTGGAAGGAAAGATTGCTGAATAGAACTTTGACTAACATTCTTTATTTCTGCCTCTGGGTTTTATTTATTAGTTTATTTGTTAAGCTCTGAACAAGAAATATGTAAATACTTTCTTTCTTTTTATGATGCAAAATCAATGTGCATGAATGTTGTGAAGCAGATGTGATGAAACACAAGATCATATTTCTGTTTGGCCTGTTTTTACTTCCTGTTTAAAATGATGCTTATTATTCTGAATAATGTCATGAAATGTCTCCAGACGAAAAGCAGCAAATATTTACTTTAATTCTTTCTCTTGTTTGTCTTTTTTACTTCGCAAAAATACTTAAATAAAGTACAAATTGATGAGGTTGAAAACCACCAAGCAGATATATTTGTTTACTGATCTGTTTTTATTGACATGAAGTCACATCTGAGAGTGGCGGCATGCAGTCACTACGGTAACGTGTGTGTGTGTGTGTACATGTGTATAAGTACACACACACAGTACGCTTTGTTGTCCTTTTCATTGTTTAAATATGTAAATACATCTTTTCTAAAGTTGTGATTTTGATAAAGTAATAAACTGACGTCGGCTCCCTGTTTGTTGTTGTTGATTAACAGATGTTAACGTCTCGCCCAGATGTCAGGAGTCAATAACTGATCAGCCGCTCTGGGTCCCGTTGACTCTCGGGTGTAACTCATGGCAGGAGGACCTGCAGGGCTCCGACCTCCTGGGGGCACCAGCTGCTCCAAGAGACGGGAGGGTGGAGGCACCTGACGGGTGTTTGACCCGCTTCACCTTCCAGAGGAACCAACACGGCCGACCGCCACGACTCTCCTTCCTCCAACCAGCTGCTGAGAGGGAGGAGGAGGGCGACGTAGCTCTGCAGACGGAGGCTCCGTCATCCTCTGGAAGCTGTGACCAGATAGAACCTGTTTATAGGCGACGTGGACCTCGTGAGGGCCTCCAGGAAGCATCTCCTCCACCTATAGACTTGGATTCGGCGCTGTGAGCACTTCCTGTGGTCGATTACTTTTATGGAGGAGGGAAGTGAAGGGTTTCATGGACGCGTTGTTCTCACAAACGTTGACCTCATGGTGGCGCTAGAGGACCCTTCCAATGACCCCGACGGATCGTCCTCGTTTCCTTTCTGTTCACACAGAATCACATTAAGTGGAAGGAAAAACTGTCTTTTTATTAACATTGTTATTAACAGATTCAGGTCATGTGAATAATATCAATTCAGCTATTTTTGTTTTTTATTTCAAGGTAAACAAAACAAATCTAAAAGTTTAACAATTGCATATAATGTAAATGTTCACTTGACTGTAATAAAATGTAACAAACATTCCTGCATTTTGTCTTAAATATTACAGATTGAAGCTTTTGTTACAAAATCTTTGAGCTAAAAATATAAAATATATATAATAAAAATATAAGTCTTGTTTCAAGTCGTTGAAACACATTTAAAATATTTAAGCTTGAATTGTACCTAAAATGTGTTTAAAAAGACAATCACTCGATTGAATGAATTATTAATATATAATGTATTTATTTCCAGACCTGAGCAGTGACGCTGAGCGCGGAGGAGGAAGTAAGAAGAAGAAGAACCAACTTAAAACCTCCGGTTCCTGCTCACAGGAGCATCAGCTGTTCTTACCGCTTTACCACGTGAGGCTCTGAAGCGCGTGAGGCTGCAGATACACGCGCGTGCACGTGAACATGCTCTCCGTTGTAAACACGCTGCGGTCTGAATAAACATTTATTATTTATAATCCAGGAGGTTAAAGGAGAAACGACCGCAGGTCTAAGACGAAACACTCGTTAGTTTTATGTTTTTATTCTGAAGGTTACGATACTTCTTGGTCTTATTCTGTTATTTACTGTGCTGCCGGGATCCCGGGAACCATTGACCTACAGCTGTTTTTTTAAGAGGGAGGCTTTAGTCATGTGACCCCAATAAATGACCCCCCCTCCATCCAGATGCTGAGGTCTGGCTGATGTTTTAACCAGCTGTGGTGCAATAAGCATCCATCACGTAACACGGGAGCCGGTTTGCTCACATGTGGATCTCTTTCACTTTTAGCACAATCAATCTTTCATAAGTCGTGTATTATTATATTTGGGTCACTAAGAGTTTCTCTTTAACATTAATATCCATATATATATATATATATATATATATATATATATATATATATATATATATGTATATATATGTGAAAGAGAGACTCTTAGAGATATATATATATATATATATATATATATATATATATATATATATATATATATATATATATATATATTTCACCTTTGGGTGAAATGTCCAAAAGATTAAACACACTCAACTCGTCCTGTTTAGGAAAAGATGATGAAATACTCAGTTAGGTTCCAATATCTTGTTTAGGTTGCTGAATGCTCCCCAATATCTTTAATATTGTTGAAGTGGAACCTGCACACGTGAGGAGAGACTCGGCGTGTGCTAAGCGTGTTGGGGGACGGCCTCCTGGAAGCGGTTTCCACGGTGACGGTCACGATCCATCTCACGCTCCCTCAGACAGACCGGGTCGACCTCCGTGTTCCACTTCACTCCACTGGAACATGGCTCACGTGTGCAGCAGCGTGGTGAAGCTTTAGGATCATGGGGGGCGGTGAGCTTTCCCTTAGTGTGTCCTTAGTGTGCGTCCCTGGTGGAGCTCATGGACACCTCATCTGTCCTGGGGGAATGCTGCTGGTTTACGTCCACGCCGGGACGAAGACGTGGTCCTCAGTGGGCCGAAATCTGTGAACTCAGTCGCTCATCTGGGCTGAAGACTCACGTCACGCAGCATCAGAACCGAACCAACCAAAACTACAAGAGATTTGATTTCCTCAGTGTGGACGGAGGGGCGGGGGTCCCCCTCTAACGGGACCCCAGAGACCCGTTAGACACGTCACATAGTGCTGGATGCATGACCTCACGCACACGCCTAACATCTGGCCAGAGGAAGCTAGTCGGGGTCTGCAGAATGTCCCGCTGGAGATTTTATTTGTGTTATTTTACATCATTGGTTCTGTCAAGAGATCAAGCTGAGATGAGCTGCTTGCTGACGGTGGGCAGTTACTGTTCTTTTTTATTAACTACCAGTTTAAAGAAGAATCAGGATGAACTTCATCGGTTCTTTGGGATCAAAGCGCTCGACGGGAGACGGAGGGAAGAGCTTCTGGTGTCAGAGGTCAGAGGTCACGGGCGTAAACTTAAGGGTCAATAAAGATTTCATCTTCATCCTCCAGACTTATGGAAGCATATTGATGGTCGCTCTCCACGCGCGGTGGACCTTTTATGAAACCAAATCCATTCACTCTATTTGCTTAAATAGAATGCAAAGTGCTTCAGTGATGATTTACAGATGAATCCACTTGATTTTTCCCTCATTGTAAACATGAGTTTATGGTCTCGGTCTCTAGTTTCCACACATGGCCACCATCAAATCTCTAGATGTTTTCCATCGCAAATCCTCCGCCCAACTGGGACCCGTAAAGAGAATGACATCAGAAAGAGAGAGAGGGGAGGAGGAGGAGGAGGAGAAGGAGGAGGAGGAGAAGGAGGAGGAGGAGGAGGATCAATTCTTCAGGAATGAGGCCCCCCCCCCCCTCCTCCTCCTCCTCCTCCTGTGTCCTGCTGGTCAGTTGGAGAGAGCTTCTCAGGAGAAGGTCAGCTGGCTCACAGCAGGTAGGTCGCTTCTCCACATCTTCTCTCAATGCTTCTTTCATTCAGAACCGTCCTGGCGTTTAAAACATGTCCAGTGACGTTATGGACACGGCACCGATGTGCCTGTGAATCCGTACGAGCTGAAAACAATAACAGATTATTGCAACTTCACAGACAACCGATGACGAGCAACAACGTATTTGTTCTACCGGACAGACAAGATTTATGCATAAGTCACAAAGAGTGAATGTTATGCAATGATGTAATATTTTAATATCTTCTGTGTAATCCTCGGTCTGCAGGTGAGCTCATGTCCGTGGGATCAATATTAATTAATCAGTGAGTGTTGCTCATGCTGCTGATTCCTGAGACGAGAGAATTGTTGCTCGATGACTGTTTTTTTCTCCAGATGTCACAATGCAGATGTTTTTACTTCACTGGCATGAGTCAGGTGGATTCTACTTCTCCATCAGAACAACGTCGTTCTAATGCAACAAGTTTACAAAAGTGCAGAAACAATTCAGTGATGTGTCAGTATTTTGCTTAAATCAGTCTCCTCATCAATCTGCATTTTATATCTCGTAATCCAGAATCATTTTAATGGAAAACCTAAAACATTTTCAACATGATCATGAAAAACATGATGTGTTTTTAAAGATGAATTCACTGAATCTGCAAACATTCCTAGTAAATCATTAATATCACGTAAAAAACTTTTACGAGAGAGAGCAGCTTTTTTCTTTTCACTGTTTGTGTGAAAGTCTCGTCTGGCTGCGTCATCGATACTAAACGAGGGGCGTGTAATCATTACATCACAAACCGCCAAACAGCCTCACAACACGCCGTTGCCCTGCAATAAAAAAAACAGTCCAGGCTCAAATTTCTGGTTCTGACAAGTGAAGCTAATGCATATTTGTGTTGTTGGTGTATTCTGTGTAGTGACCAGCGGGGGGCGACTCCTCTGCTCCAATAGAAGTCTATGAGAAAATAATTCTACTTCTCTCTTGATTTATTCCCATTGGTGTGGCTGAGTTCATCAGATGTGAAGCTGGTGAGAACGAGACATCATCAGGGTCAAAAGTCAGAAAGTGAAAAAAAATATTTTAAACAGAGAATATCAAAAAATAGTGAAGATTGAAAAAATTATAGAACTGCACCCACTTAGTTTCATTTTGAATACATTTTTCAATGTTCAAGAACAAAACTTTGACTTTCAGGTTCACATTTGTTTTTTAAATGATCCAAACTTTTGGCCTGGATTTGGCTCCATAATCCTTCTCCTTCACAAAAGCCCCATAAACTACTAAAACTATACGCAGCTTCACCAATGAGGAGAGACTCTCGAAGGAATGAACCAATCCCAGAGAAGTCGTCTGTCTGAACTCCTTGTTGCCATGGTGATGACCTTCAACACGATCCAAACTTTTCTGTTTTTTAAAAAGGAGAGGACGTCACCACCTGTGTGGGATCTGAGCCACCGAACGGAGATCTCCTCCACCTGCAGCTCCACCTCCTCCACCTGCAGCGTCACCTCCTCCACCTGCCTGCTGGAAACAATCCGCTCCTCAGCTCTCTACCGGTCCGAGCACAGCCATGCTTCCCTTCGCCTCCCCCCTCCTCCTCGTCCTCCTCCTGGCTGCTCCGGCCCTCCCGACCCCAATGCCCTCCAACCAGCTCCAGGTCAGAGGTCAAAGTTCGTCGGGGGACACCAGGCAGGACTCCATCAAGGTGAGAGATGGTTGCTTGTGACATTGTGATTACGGTGTTTTTTAAATACCTGTGTAGAGAACCATGTACATGTTTAAAAAATGGGAAAAAGTATTCTATCAAGTAAAAAAAAATGTCTTAGCACAAATATTAATACTATAGTTTTCAGTTTTAGTTTTGTAGTTTTAGTATTACTGGATTTGACACGGTCGACCATCCCATACTACTGGATCGACTAATCAACTGGGTGGGACTCTCTGGCACAGCACTTAACTAGTTTGAATCCTACTTGAAAGACCGAAAATACTTTGTGTCTGTAGATAATTACACATCAGAGCTGCAGAAAATGACATGTGGTGTCCCCAAGGTTCAATACTGGGGCCCCTTCTATTCAACATCTACATGCTTCCATTGGCTCAGATTATGAAAAACAACAGTGTGTTATCATAGTTATGCAGATGACACACAAATCTATATAACTATATCTCCAAGGGACTACAATCCAATACAGGGGCTGGATAAATGCATTGGACAAATTAACGTGTCAAATCTTTCTTCAATTACACAAAGCTAAAACAGAAGTAATTGTTTTTGGTAACAAGGATGAACGATTGAGTTCAGTCAGCGCTGAGCTTCAATCACTGATGTTAAAAACCACAAACCCAGCTAGAAATCTAGGTGTAATTATAGATTCGGACCTCAACCTGAACAGTCACATCAAGACAGCTACAAAATCAGCCTACTATCACCTAAAGAATATATCAAGGATTAGAGAAAACTGAAAACTACTGCTGGTAGTTTCATCTAAAACAATCCATCCTGTATCAGCTGATTATGTTTTTGACATCAACGCTGTCCTCGCTGCAGGTGGTCGTCTCCGAGGGCGGCGTGACTCAGGAAGACGGGTCTGACAGATCGGGAGGTAGAAGTCACTTTCCTTTGTTCATCAGTTTGACATCTTCTCAGATGCTGCTTCTGAGTTCTTCTGAAGTTCCCCTGAAGTTCTAATCCCTCCCGGTTCTTCTCTCAGGAAAAGAGGTCGACCTGACCCCTGGTTCCCCTCTGGTCCTGACCCATCGGATCACACTGGTTCCATCCTCCGGGTCCAGGTCCGGTTCTTGCGGGTGCGAGGCGGACTTCGCCGCCCTGCGGGGGCGTCTCGAGCATCTGGAGAGGGAGGTGTCGACCCTCAGGGAGAAATGTGGAGGAGCTGACGGAGGCTGCTGCACCTCCAAAGAGAGCAAAGGTACAACAATATAATTATTGTTTTTAAGAGTACATTTTTGTGTATTTATTTGTGTTGTTGGTGCTTAACAACAACAACAACAACAACAAAGCGCATAATCCAGTCAGGAGGTGGTGGAGACCAAAGACTGAGATAAAAGAGAGTGAATATTAAGATGTTAAGATGAGCTGCGGGATGAATAAATATGAAATAGTTTTCCATGTTCCATGTTTGCACTGCCTGCAAGTCCCCAAAACATCTGTTAGTAAAGATTTCTATTAAATAAAACATAAAACATTATAGTTGGTTTAACCTCGAGCCGCAGCCACCTCCCGAACCACGAATACTCAAATCTGAAACAGCGTCTGGAGCAGCGGGAGTCAAACTGAGGTGCCGGGGTCCCCGGGGGTCCCGTGACAACGTAGCAGTCCGTGTGCTCACTTTAACACACAGTGCAACACATAGTATAACACACCGTGTAACATACAGTTTAACACATAATGTAACAGAAGGCAGAAGGACGTCACGAGGACACAATTAAGGAGAAATAAAAGTCCTCCTCTTCAAAAATCAGATGCTGCATTCCTCCAAATCATGGTTTTAAAAATAAACATATTGAGGAACCCAAATCAAATCCAAAAAGATTTACCTAGATCTGATCACGGTCACCACGGCAACAAATACAAACACACACACACCAGCCGATGTTCGAATATCAAACCAGTCTAGACTGGGTTGTTTTGTGTCTTTGTGTTGTTTACAGCAACATGCCTTGTGTAAACGTTGATGTCCCAGACAGAATACCTCAAACGTTTATGCATGAGACATTCATGCTCCGCAGGGAACGAATCCTCAAGACTCCATGTGGATGATATTTGTGTTTTGGAGTGAAATGTTTGGCCACAAAATTGTGCACAACAAATCAGCAGAGGAACCTTTGAAAAAAGACGCATTGTAGAACAGCAGAACCTCAGTGTGTATATTAAAGATGCTAACGGAGTCTGCTATCAGTCCATTCTGCACACTTTTACTAAAAGAATGTACACAAATGGAGGCTGACATGTGAGCATGTTAGCATTGTGAGCATATTAGCATTGTGAGCATATAAGCATTGTGAGCATGTTAGCATTGTGAGCACGTTAGCGCTGTGAACATGTTAGCGCTGTGAACATGTTAGCACTGTGAGCATGTTAGCATTGTGAGCATGTTAGCGCTGTGAGCACGTTAGCGCTGTGAGCATGTTAGCACTGTGAGCATGTTAGCATTGTGAGCATGTTAGTGCTGTGAACATGTTAGCACTGTGAGCATGTTAGCATTGTGAACATGTTAGCACTGTGAGCATGTTAGCATTGTGAGCATGTTAGCACCGTGAGCATGTTAGCACTGTGAGCATGTTAGCATTGTGAGCATGTTAGCACCGTGAGCATGTTAGCATTTGTCCAGTTTGTCACCATCTTTAGTGTTATTTCTAGTCCACATGTTCTCCTGTTGTTTGGATGGTTTTAGCTCATTAACTCACATGAAGTCAATGAGACAATAAAATGATTCAGTCCTTTAATATTCAGCCAAACTGAATCGAGTGTCTCAAAATAATAAAGAATAACATGAATAACAACAAAAGATGTTATTCCTGCTTTTAAGGCAAACAGATGTAAATATGTATCTAGATTTTAGATTTTCTACGATAGACCTTTGTTGATTTTAAACATTTATGAAACAAGAAAACCAACAACAGAGAAGTTGACAAACATCCAAACAACCCAACTACACAATGATGTGACGTGTAGCCTCTTTTTCACTGGTGTGAGTTGTTGTGTATATCTTTGTGGTTGTTTTCTATGTCTGTGGTGTATTGAATACTTCTCTCTGGTATTCATTATTTCTCACCGGGCTGTCAGTTAAATCATTTTCAACAGATTTCTGTTCTCATCACTCAGGACCTCGTGGACCCATTATAGCCTGGCAGAGCTACAAGCTGAGCTAATGCTGTGTGTGTGTGTGCGTGTGTGTGTGTGTGTGTGTGTGCGTGTGTGTGTGAGTGTGTGTGTCCTCAGTCAGTCTTCACCTCTGACCCTCTAATTAGTGAAAGCAAAGCAAGTTGCACCGTGATTAGAGAGGATTAGACCCCCCCCCCCCCCCCCCTCAGGACTCATGTTTCTAATTAACCTCCACTACTAAACAGGATTTTATGGAGCTGAATCCTTGTTTACAACCCTTCGCTGACGAGCTGCTGAACCGGGATGTCCCAAACTGTCCTCAGCCTTATCTGTCATGCTGTCACTCATGATGACACGCCCCTCGCAGTCGATGCCCCGCCCCCTGCGCCACATCAGGGTCAAAAGTCTGAATGTGAAAGAAAACGCGAAAATAAGTTTTCAATCTGAAAATTAGAATCTGCAATCGAATATTCTAATACAGTGCATATCAAGGAAATGTATATATATATGAAGTGAAGATTGAAAAAATATATTTTCTTAAAAAAAAGCTATATTCATTTTTCATCCACTTATTTTTATTTTGAATACATTGTTGTATTTTTCAGTGTTCAACAACAAAAGTCAAACTTTCAGATTCACATTTGTTTTTTAAATGAACAACACTTTTGACCATAGTAGTCGGTCCATCCATGTTCACACTGATCATGACTGACGAACAGATGTTTCCAGATGTTTTGACACTTTAAACGTTACAGAGTGAATACAGGCCTGTAAAACCAAAATATCCTGGTCTCAAAGTCGGATGGATTATTAAGTAATATTATTTGCATTATTGATTTATGAAAATAATGTATTAGAATGTCAAATAATTTATACTGTTGTTTGTAAAATGCAATGTTTGGCTTTAGTTGCTTTAGAATAAAAATAAAATGTCTCATAAAGACCAAGTGACACAAAATAACTGTTTTATTCAGAGAAACAACAAATGCAGAGCGGATTTGACCCGATCATTAAACGGAAGATAATAATCCAGCATCTCGAGGGGTAACCATCCCTGTCTCTTGTCCCGCTGTCTCTTGTCCCCCTGTCCCCCCGCTGCAGGTTCCGGCTGCTCCATCCGAGGGGACGGGGACGGGGACGAGTGTCCCAACGAGTGCAGCACCAGGGCCGCTGCTCGGGGGGGACGTGCGTCTGCTTCCCCGGCTTCCACGGAGCCGACTGCGGCCAGTCCAACTGCCCCGGGAACTGCACCGACAGGGGGCGCTGCGTGGGCGGGGAGTGCGCCTGCGACCGCGGCTTCGCCGGGCCGGACTGCTCCGAGAGAACGTGCCCGAACGACTGCGGCGGCCGCGGCACGTGCGTCGGCGGCAGGTGCGCCTGCGACGCCGGCTTCGCGGGGCCCGGCTGCGGCGCCACAGGTTGCCCCGGCAACTGCGCCAACAAGGGGCGGTGCGTTAAAGGGAGGTGCGTCTGCCCGCCACCGTTCACCGGACCGGACTGCGGCCGGTGTGACGACGGCCTGGCGGGACCCAACTGTGACGGCGGTGAGTGAGACCCGGCGAGGACAGTGTCCTCCGCCAGGACCTGTCCAATGACGCGTAGATCCATAGCTCCGATGGACTCAACATGGGGATGTTCCATTTGCACCTCATTGGGGTCCAGATGTTTCGATCCAGATGCATTTACACTAATGAGCACCATGGAGTCTTTTGTGTACATTTACACAATCAACACTTTGTGAATATATTTAAATATGATTTAAAATCACCTCACTCAAAAGGAAGCAGCAATAAAAACACAAAAGTTCCTATTGAATCATTTTTATATATAAAATACTTTGCTAATAAGATAATAACTTTATTAATCCTGCAGGAAAGTCTCGTGCCAGAGTTTGATTATTTGCTATATATATATATATATATATATATATATATATATAATACAAACATTGAAAATGAGATGAATAATTATAAAGCAGCAGGTAAAATAGAATAGCAATAAGATATAATAATGACTCATCATCAGAGTACATCCAAAGTAACCAGCGACTAATAAAAACGTAATATTGTGTTTTATTAAAAAGCAATCAAATAAAACTGCACAATAGTTGAAGGAAGAAACCTTTGATTTGTACTTTTTTGCACTTTATTGTCTGCAGTTTTTCCTAAAAGTGCAGGATTAAATATATACAAAATGAAAAACATGAATCGAATACATAGATAATCCATCTTCCATCTTCATCCCGCACACGGGGTCGCGGGGGGCTGGAGTCGAGAATACATAGAGAATAATGATTAAGTACATTAATAACAATTACATTAACAAAGTAGATGCATGAATAATACTGATGATTGAATGAATGATTAAATGAAATGTGTAAACTCTCTCCAGTGATGTCGGGCGTTCCTCAGCTGAGCGCCAGTGACATCACAGAGACCTCCGTCCTTCTGCTCTGGACTCCACCCGGCCTCCAGTATGAGACGTACTACGTCACCTTCAGCAGCCAGGTAGGACCGCGTCTTCTTCCTCCTCCAGAACAGTCTGCCTCTTTAGGGCGGGGCTTCCTGTGATTGACAGGTCTCTGCCATATCCGGCCTCCTCTTCCATCCTCATGTTTTTCTAAAGGGTCACACTTCAACACTGCTTTACTTTACTGAACACTGCGTACACAACAACAAAACCATCTGACCTTTGACCCTCATATTATACCAACGGTATAACAACTGAAGCCTTTTTAATTCTCAAACGTACAAGAAAACGTACGAGATCCGGACCTGAGGATTTGCGCAGCTGAAGGAAGTGACATTCAACTTTCCAGCCAGATTAGATGTAAAAAACATCTGCGGGACGGTTTGGATGAAGACGTATTTCATCCGGTTTCCACGGCAACAAGGGAAACCATGAAATCCCCACGCAGCCATTCAAAGACGATTCATGAACGCTCACACAGCTGTTCACTGAAGCTTATGAAGTGAAATATAACAAACCGCTAAATTGATCCTTTAGTTTCGTTTTAGCTCCTTTTATTTCCTCATAAGAAATGCAAAGATTTCCTCAGTGAATTACTTTAATTACTGTAAGTCATTCCAATGTATAAATGTATAAACTAAATGTTTATAGGTTCTGACTGCAGCCTCTTAAAAACCAGTAAGGAAACTACATTCAACTCAATTCATCCTTATTACCACTAAAATATACATATTTTATGAAAGTAGTGATTAAAAGTTACAAGGAATATTTTAAAAGTGCACTAAAGTAAAAAAATGTTCTTGTTTACTCACATTGTGTACAAAAATATACCATGGTGGCATTATGGAATCTCCTAAGGAGTTTAAATGTAAAAATGTGTTTTGTGTCTCTTTTTGGACACATTGTGTCTCTTTGGAGTTGTGTTGTGTCTCTTTTTGGACACGTTGTGTCTCTTTGGAGTTGTGTCTCTTTTTGGACACGTTGTGTCTCTTTGGAGTTGTGTCTCTTTTTGGACACGTTGTGTCTCTTGTGGTCCTGTGTGCGTTGGGCCTTTATTATCCCTCGCAGGATGAAGACGCACTGAGTGAACAAACGCACACCTGTGAGACTCTTTTCTCTGGCGTCTCTGACGGGAAACAGATCTGATTTGTTCATTTTGTCCAAACAAAAGGCCGAAGTTGTCTCGTGGATGAGATCATCGTCCGACGCCCACAAACACCTCATATCTCCTCTTTAATTTCCTGCTGCGCCACTTTCCGAGTCCAGATGTTCGTATTGGCCTTCATGCCTCCTCCAGACGGACCCTCGAACCGGCAGAGACGGCGTCTCCATGACGACGGCGTTTGGCAGCGCGACGGCTTCAGGGTCACGCGCCTCCCTCCGGTCTGCCGGACAAACATTCAGTGCAGCGTAGCGACGAGTTGACTGTTAGCTTTTAGCACTGTTAGCTTTTAGCACTGTTAGCGCTGCAATACGGCGTTACAAGCTGAACAAAACAGTCCTTGAAGTCTTCTCTATGTGCGAGTTGAAGGTCACATCCTGGTCCAAGAGAACTGGGTACCAGAGACGTTCCAGCCACAGAACGCTGTCAGGTGACAGCTGACTCCGACGGCGCTGTGGATCCATCGAGATAACTTCAGCATCAGGAAGCTGCCGGTCGTCTCTCAGGAAGACGTTCTCGTCCAACAAGCTGGTCGGTCTGTAGTTCTGCCATGAGAGGCAGCAGAAAAACACCTGAAAATAGAATGATTTTTCATATTTGTTGCTCCAGTGTTGCAGTGAAATGTCAGAACCAGAGAACGCTGCGTGTGCGTCGTGGTGTTTTGTGGTTATTTAGCTGACGTACAACCTCACAATATCTTAATTACAGTATATTTTCAAGTGGGAACCGTGTTTTTGGTCTCGGCAATGGAAGGTTGATGCTTGGTTGCCCGGCAACCGTTCTTAAAAGCAAGTATTTATTCGTCGCCGGGCTCCACGGACCGGTGAACCTCGCCGGTTTGTGTGTCCTCAGACATCTGCGACCAATCGGCAGCAGACGGCATTAAAGTCGTGGAAAATGGGAAATCAGGCCGGTTTTCATGAGCGGGAGAGAGAACAAAGAGGAGACTCACTTCCTGAAGCAGACCAAATCAAATCTGCCCTCACGGAGGAATCACATCACCGGACGGCTTCTCAGGCATGTTTCACACGCAGTCACAACGTTCACCTCAAGAGCGCCGACCCCGACTCACCTTTAGTTTAGAGTCCATGAGAAAATGAGAGAGACGAAAATAAACCGAGAAAGAAAAAGTCAAAATAATGGAAACAGAACATGAATTCTCAAACATGTCTGATTGAATGTAGACATGCTGGTTGAAGCCAGCAGGCGGCTAGCAGACGGCTAGCAGCAGCTAGCTTAGCTCCACACAAGATATGCTCAATATATTATTAAAATATTAAAACGCGAAGGAGGGAAAAGAAGAGAACGGGAAAAAAGAGTCAAAGCTCAGAATAGAGAACCGAGCGCTGGGAGAGAAAAAGGATGCAGATGTGGGATGCTTGTTGCCGCGGAAACGTGTAAACACCGTAAGAAACATGGAGTCTGCCAGAAGGAGGACGTCCCCGCCGGCCCACAGCTGGGACGCAGAGACAGAGAGATGTTTACCCGACCAACTGAGTCACAACAACAACAGCTGACCTGTCTACAGGGACACCAGGACGATCCGAGGGGGACGACAGTGAACATCTGTCTGGAGGAGATGTTGGCTCGATGACGCGCTTCACGATCCGTGTGAGATTTCTCCTTCAAACGTTCCCGAAGCCAAAGTTACGTCTTTAAGAGACTTTTCCTGTAAAAAGCCCAAATATTCAGTTAACAATATTAGAAAACAGAAAGATCCGAGCTTTAAAAACTATTATTGGATCAAATATGTTGTTTCTCCGCTAAATATAGTTTATTCTTTTTTTGTAGTTTATGCAGTTTAAACTTTTGATTTGTGTGTATTTATATTAATGAACATATTTCATGTTTCTATCTCACCGTCATTAATTCACATTTTCCCCAAATTTCAGGACATTTATAAACTGTATTATTGTTTTTGTACTGAGGTATTTTTACTTTACTCAAGTATTTCCATTTTATCCTCCAGCCAACGTCAACCTCCAGTTTAGAAAAGCACGCAGTGTCTTTAACCTGCCTCCTCGGTGCTGGTCATCACCATGACAACGCTTCCAAACCAAGATGGAGACGGACAAAATGTAGAACTCCGTTTTCCAAAGCCAGTTAATATTACTACTGATGAGGTCGGGACTCAACTAATATGTGAAGGTGCCAATCAATCGAATAACCGTTAGCTGACACATGAATGGGTGATGATGAAAGATGAAGTAGTGGAAAGTCTCTCTGCTTCTTGCGCCTGGTGTCCAGTTAACGAGGTGCGTCTCCTTCACTTGGACGCTTGGATGTAAAAAGGCCCGAGAGGACCAGGCTCTGTGTCAGGAAGCCCTGCTGTTGCCCAGCGACGGTGATGTGGTTGGTTGTGCGAGTCTGTGAATCATCTCAGTAAAACGCCTCAAACACGTCAATCGTTCTTTTATTACAAGTTTCATTGCCTCGTGCTGCAGTTTCCCAGATGAGAGATCAGCGTTACACAGTCGATACTCTTCATGGGAGAACTGAGAGGAACGAGGCCTTTGTGTACACGCATGCATGTGTACTTAAACATACATGTAGATGTTTACACATGCATCCACATGTATGCACACAGAGCGAGTTTATTGGAGTCTCACGTTTAACGATGTCGCCCTCATTAATGTGAGCGGCCTCTGAGGCTCCGCTGGCCAGTCGCCACGGCAACCGGCCTGGCAACCATTTACTTCAGTGTCCTTTCATTAGAACCAGCGCTCCCAGTTGAGTTACTGGTGAGGAAGCGTTTCACTCACAGGAAGTTACAGTATTTTCACAATAAACAACGAGAACTTGTTGTGACCTGTTTGAAATCTAGAAAATGACTGAACACTGAACACAGTCAGCAATCAATCAAAGAGGATTTATTCCTGATAAATAAATCAATAATGCTCATGATGAAAAATGTATTCAAATTCAAACAAAAGTAGTTTACATAAACAAATGCAATTTATGATATAAATATATTCTAGAAATGATTCTATATTCTATTGGTTCATGAACAAAAGCGACAATAAAATCATAAAAACTTTATTGACATCAAAATACAACCAAAAATGATGATATTTAATTATACATTTCTCTCTGCAAGCTTCTGTTGTCTGGTTACCGGATCACAGACGCCATCGTCCTGCTGCTTTTTATGCACACACACACACACACACACACACACACACACACACACACACATACATACACGCACACACATACATACACACACACACGCACACACGCACACACGCGAGATGCCCTACAGACTCCACGTGCACTAATAACGAGATCATCACGTGGTTTTTGTCACTATTAGTGAGGGTTTGTTTGATACGATGTTTTTCACATTGTATCAGTCACTGTAACACTCGCTGTGCGTCTCGTCACGGTGCAGCATTTCAAACACTGCACCGTTGACAGAGGGCAGAAACTACTGCACATCCTCTCTGCGGCTCTCATGACTGCTCCACATACTGAGATTTAAAGGATTCATTCCAGTGTAAGTTCACAAACAGGTGATGCAGATGAGCTGGTGGTTGGAATTTGGCCAGAAATACAATGTAATGAAACGAATGGACCATCATTTCAACCAGTACTTTAATGTCACATTGAGTCACATTGAACAGGTGATTTTAGTTCAATGAACCAATGATCTGGTTTTTGTGGATCGCATCCAATCAAATGAAAAACAGTGTTTTGCAATTTGATCATTGGTTGTGAGTTTTGGCATCACGTGGCATCACGGTTCTGAAATCAGAGGCAAAGTGACTGTGAAAGCTTTAGTGCGTGTTCTACTTTCTTTATTCCCCCTGGTCCGAACAGAAGGAGACTGAGCAGCAGATCAGCGTGCAGGTGGACGGCGGCCTGACCACCTACAGCCAGACGGGCCTGGCAGCCGGTCAGGATTACACCGCCACCGTCGCCGGGGAGATCGCCGGCCAGAGGGGAGCCGAGAGCTCCGTGACCTTCACGACCCGTGAGCGGCCCGCGGTCATCTCTTCCTATGAGTAGAAACCCTCAGCAGGCAGAAGACAATCGGCTCACAGTCTTTTTCCATCGCTAACAAGCGCTTACGCGTACTTCAGATTCTTTTTCTAAACTCTTAACACAGACTCACACCTTCAAAACACAATTGGCCAAGTGGATCATTTTCTTCTTCAGAAACACATTTTGTTCAATATCATTTCCAAATAGAACACATCTTTCTCTGCACACACTAACTTCACCAAAACACTGGAAATCTGACTCAAAATGAAATTATTCTGTCAACGAATAACACTTGTTTTCACTTCACAACAGGCAGTGAATCAAAGTACACCAGGTTTCATTGTTGCCACATGTTACCCGGCAGGATGGAGGCTGTAAAAACTCTTCTTCTTCGCCTTCCCCTCCAGTCACGCCGGGTCCCACCAACCTCCGAGTCGTCAAGACGACCTCCACCTCCGCGGTGGTCCAATGGGAGCGGTCGCAGGGTGAGATCGACAGGTACCACGTGATCGTCACGCCCACCGACGGAGCGGGGAGCAGTCAGGAGGTGACGGTCCCGGCTGGACAAGACTCCGCCCACATCCGGCAGCTGGAGGCGGGGCGTTTGTACGACGTGGTAGTGGTGGCGGAGAAGGGGGCGAGTCGGAGCAAACCAGCGACCAGTCAGGTTACTCCAGGTGAGCTGGAACGTTGACGCCAGGGAATGATCTCATGGTAGCTCACAAGTCGTCCATTGTCGTCCTGTCTGCTGTTACCCAACAACCGGCAAGTCAAATTCCTTGTATGTCTGACATATTATGCAATTAATTATGCAATAAATGTTTCCTGATTCCTGAAGAGGTCACAGTTTATTGTGAAATTAAATCAACAGGGTTATGAAAACCTTTCAGACAGTTGTCTCTGCGTTCAGTGTGGATTAATCCGCTGCAGAAAATAGTCCCCAACAAATGCAGCGCTTCCATTGTTCTGTTGAAAAAAACACAGCGGTTCTGTAGTACAAAATATGTATTTGTGTTTTTCAAGATTTACGTCTTCAGTTGAAACCAATGGACCCGGAGCTGAGACGAACTAACGTGTTGTGGACAAAGTAGAATAACAACAGACTTGTCCTTTAAGTTTTTAGTTTGGTGCAACACTCACACTACTTTGCACATAATCAGCAACTCAAACTTGTTCCTCCTGATTTCATCTACATGAGACTACATTCAGCATCCAGACACCAAATTATTCCAACGAACAAACAAAAAAAACATACTCCAACATTTCTCAAGGAGTTTGCCTCAACCGTCCATGAGCAAATAATAATTCTAATATTCCTCTAAGTGCTCTGTTTCCTCTGTCCGTGTTTAACGTTGTTCATATATACATTTCCTCCTTGCAGGTTCGACTGCGCTGAGTTGTTTGTTTTTCACTATTAATCAATTTCCCTTAAAGGTATCGTAAAGAACATTAAAACTGCTTTTCTCCCTTTATTAGATGTGAGCTCCTCTGGATTATTAGCAGCAGTAGCATAGGACGACCTAAACACTGAATCCAAATGCTCGCTCCTTTCACATCTTTAGGGAAGACCTTACCAGGGGTTACCACGGCAGCTTCGGCGTTAGCACCCGGACAAAATGTCGACCACGGACTCCGAGACTTTAACCCCTCGGACGAGGTGCAGGTGTTTGACCAACAGGAGAGGAGGGAGGAAGTGAAAGTCGGAGGTGTAAGTGGCCACAACAAAGACTCGCCAGTCATCGCAGGAACTAAGCCTCTGCTCAGCAAAAAGGTGGAAATAAATGGTACCATACCCAAAGACACAGAAAGGTCTTCATTGTACAGGAAGCCAAACGTCTCAGGCCCTTTCCGTTTAAACACAACCAGACTTTTGTCCAGATGGAGACAGTTTGGTCCAGGTCCTTTGAAAAAGCTCCCGGTGGGCCAAAAGAAGAAGCCACCGACAGGACCCCTAAAACTTAAACCAGATGTACCCGCTAGTGGAGACAGGACAATGGCTTTGACTTTGAGAGACCCGGATGTGAACGCGTTAACGCCTGAGGCCTGTTCCAATACAAGCAGACGGAGTAGCTCCGAGAAACCGACCGCCGATGCTGGCACCAAAGAGCAAACAGATGTTGGCCGGGTCGGCCAGGGAAACGACACTCCAGTGTCTTCGGAGCCAACTGGGACCGGTCGAAGCCAACAGAAGAAATGCATGAACAAACTTAAAGTGACACCTTTTAGATTACCCAATCGGGGCACAGGCAGCGGGTGTAAAGGACATGGAACCGTACTGGTAGCAAAGACCACCGGTTCCGATCAAGGTTCTCCTGAAACAGATGATTTGAAACCCTCGGAGACAGATGTCGACTATTCACCCGATCCTTTAGTAAAACTCCTGACGGACACTTTTGACGATTTGAACATCACAACTTTTTCTGTTCACCTGTCAAAACCATCAAATCTCTCAGAAACAGCGACGAGGCAGATTTTAAGGGAATTGAGGCCGTTAGTGCCTTTCTCGTCCGCCTCACATTCATCCGCACAGTCATCATCTTCCTCATCCTCTTTATCCTCACCTTCACTTGGTCCGTCTTCTTCAACAGCAGCTCCCTTACCACCACATTCACCATCATCCTCTCTTTCCAGCTCAGATAGATCAGATTTAATTGGAAGCAATGAGCCAGATGTTGATAACAACAAAAGTGTGAGTCACGTTACCTCACCTCAGGACGGAAAACTGCAACCCACAGGAACTCTTTTCCAACGTCCACCTGCAAAACATGGATATGTACGTCGCCTGCGCCCAAACTTTGGATCGCATCAGAACAAAACCCATCTGAATTTGGGAGTTCCTCACCATTTGACTCGTCGTTTAAATCTTGGCCCGAAAAGACAGACAGAGACGAGGCATACATCCACGATTCAACTACCATCTTCAACGTTTTCATCTGCCTCAGTGGAATCTTCAGTTGCGGTAGAGACACCAGTAAGGCATATGAGTGGAGACAAAGATGGGGCAACTACAATGGCATCATCTGGAGTTGAACAAAACCAGACAATGGCACCAACAGAAGGAGAACGAATTCCAGTTCGGCGTCTTCCTCCAAAGGGACGATACCTGCTGCGTAATCCGATTATCAGGGGGTTTCAGAATCGGACTCATTCAAATTTGAGGCAGGTGCCTTCGCCTTCACAACCTATAAATCCTGCATTAGATGCAAGAATAGACCAGGTATCTTCTGCTGTATTGCTGGCCACTTCTTCTTCTCCTGTTTCCAAAGGATCCTTTCCAACTGAAGGTCGGGGGCCAATAGTAGCCGAGAATGTAGACAGAGTAGAGACAAGTATGCCCTCAACAAGTATGTCCACTGAGTTCAATCAGACCATCAGAGGGATTGGAGTGCCTTCCTCTCATCGCCCCACTCACAGAGTTGGTTATGTCCGTCAACTGTATGCTAGACATTTCCAGGAGGCCCCCTTGCCTTCCCAAGGAGTCCAAACAAGACCATCAGGAGAACACAACACTGCAGAGGTTATTCCACATTCCCTAATGGATGACCAGAATTCAACGGTCAGACCCCAGATTAACAAATTACAAGGCTGGGACAATGCTCCAAACCAAACCACTAAATTGGGAGCCGAAATAATTCACACCTCAGATTCAAGGTCTAACACCCACAAAGACAGAGCCAATGCTGGCAAAATCACAAGAGTTACAAGTCAAGGTGGACCAAAACTCCACCTGCCATCAAGAGGTGCAACCGCACAGCGTCACGCCCAGATAAGAGGCTACAACAGCGGGGAAACAAAAACAGATGATACCACCAAAGGTTTGTTGGAGAGTAAACCTGAGCAGACAAGAGGTGTTGATTCAACAGATGGTTCCTCTTCCGGAGACACAAGGGAACCTCTGGACCAAGTGGGAGTCACAAACCGGACCTCAGATGGATTTACGCTCACGTGGGACTCTCCGGAAAAGAAGTACAAGAACTTTGTGGTGACAAGCAAAGACGTTCAAACCAAAGGAACAGAATCTCAAAAGGAAGATAGAGTGACTGAAAGTGTCTCCCAACAAAGTCCAAAGATTCCAACCAGTACAGAAACTAAACATGTTCCAGGAAGCGACAAAACTTTGAAAAACATACTTCCTGGATCCGCTCGCTCTTTCCGGTTTGAGCATCTTCCTCCTCAGACCAAGTACACCGTGACCTTGCTCGGAAAGGGACCCGGCCTCCTGTCCAGACTGCACAAGCTTGTCATCAGTACAGGTACAAGTCATTGTGACAGTGGCCCATTGACTGCACAATGCTACAACATTACCGCCAATGTTGTGAGGTCCTTCATAGGAAACTCGCACCGGCACCTTGATTTAAACTCAAAAATACTCATTAACTAGTCAGTCATGTTGGGTGTGACTGGAAATGTTTGCTCGCCCACTAAATGCTTCCTCCATGTTTATCTCAAGAGCTTCGGAGCTTGCTCTTGAAAACTGTAAGCTCACGATTTACAGTTCCTCCCCCTTGTACTTCTTATCTCAACGATGTCACCTGTTGTTTTCAGTGGATCTGGAAGTTCAAAATCTAAATCTAATTGTGTTTTGTGTTAACGCTGTTTGTGCACTCATTCCTCAGCTTTTAATGAACATTCATGGATTAGCAGTCATACATTATAATCATCACCGACTCTCTCAACCATAAACACACAGTTTGATGTCAAACCTCAGTTGTGCTCTGGCAGTCTCTGACATTGTCGGCCATTGTTGCACTAGCTAGCATGTTGTGGCTTGTAGTTCTAGTTTAGCAGCCTTAGCGTGATTGTCGATTGTAGTTGGCTAACTTTGGTAGCTTGCTTTCGTCTTAAAATACTTCAGTATTCACTGCTTTAGGTAAATTAACCATTTCCATCCAAATATTTAGCAAATTCTATGCAAATATGGAGCAATTTAGTGGGAAACAAAAACAAGACACAAAGTTAACCATGCTTTTTGAGTTGTCTAAACCTCCACAGACCTAAACCATAGTGATAAATATTATATGAATTAATTAATTCATATAATATGAATTGATATTTGGATGTAGATTCAATAAGCGAACAGTATTAAATGGTAATTATTTTGATGATTGTTTAACTAACAATAAGAACGTTATTGTTCCAGCTTCACCAATATGAATATTTTAATCATATTAATTTATCTTTAAACATTTCTTAAGATGTATAAGAGTTTCTTATACATAGAGTATTTTTACTATTGATAAAACAAGTATGCTTTCCTGATAATACTCATCCTAAAATAGCCTCGTATGGTTTGTAGTATTACTGTCAGTACTTTTGAAAGTAAAGGATGGGTTCAAGTTACAATAAAGAATGTTAATACTTATTCCACCATGTACTATACTTGATTTGCAACCAACACATCTTTCATGAAAAATTGGAAGAAAGTGCACAAAGACGATCTACGAGCCCCGTGATTGGCTTTAACCTGAGAACGGTCTCTAGTGAGACCACCTGCTCTCCTTTAACTGAGTTGACATCAAATGAGCTCAAGCTAACGACCGATTCATTGCTGCTGTGGTTTTCTCTCATTCAGGGTAAGCTAACAGCCATCTTCACTGACAACCCGTCACCTCTCACCCGAACCAGGGTAAGACCACGTCTGGTCTCTGTACGCTTCGTCTGTCTCCTCCGCTCACGTCCACGATTCGCACAAATACCAAAACAGAACATAATGAAACGTCACACTTTTTCCTACTAAAGTCCAGCAGCGTAAATCAATTTAGTTTCTCCAACAGTGGTCTCCATTCACATGAAATCACCAAGACTTTTCTCATCGTTTTGAGTCTGAGGTAAAAATAACCGTCTCGTGGGTGAAATATTTCTTCAATCCCACGAGTTTACAAGAAGAGTAAAAATAAAGAAATAACACAGCAAAGTTTGATCATTTAATCGGTCCGACTCTTTTTTATAGATTGTGTAATATGTTAAGATATGAAAAGCGTTCTAGGATGATACGCCCCACACACGGGTTCCTAATCTGCCTCCCGGAGCTTTTCTGTGAGGAATTAAAGTCTGAATGTGTCTGTTTTCATTCTTCTTTTGTCTCTCCGGCTCCACTTTCCCTTCCAGGTGTGAGCGAGCAGCCGTCAAACGTTCCTCCGCTGCCCTGCAGGGTCCATCCTCTTGCTTCTGGCTGTCGTAGTTCTACGTGTCCCCATATGATTAGTATACTGTAAATATACAGTAAAAAAGAATATATATATATTTATATATATATATATAGTATACTGTATATATGTCTGCATATATACACTCACTGGAGCACTAATGGCAACGTGTGGATGGATGAAATAATGATGAACTCCTCATGAAACCTTCGTCACTACTCTTCATCACAAACTTTGCTTGCCCCCCCTCCTCTCCTCCTCTGGCTTTCATCCGCCCCTCTCATGGTTTTCTTCGTGCCGTCCAGGCCCCGAGCCTCCGACCAACGTCGTATTCAGTGAGGTGACGGAGAACTCTCTGACGGTGTCGTGGACCAAACCCAGGACTCCCGTCAGTGGTTACAAGGTCACCTACACCCAGACGGAGGAGGGTGAGGACCGACGCCCGTCCTGGATTAAGTCCATTTTATTAACATCCTGCTCATTTGACCTTGAGATGAAATGCGTCGTTCCTTCTCGGCCTCCTTGGTGACGCCAGGTGAGCCGGTGTCGGTGTCCGTGGACTCGGACGACTCCACTCTCGACCTCAGCAAGCTCACCCCTGGTTCCGCCTACGAGGTCAGCGTCATCTCCCTGCTCGGGCTGGACGAGAGCGACCCGACCCGAGACCTCGTCGCCACGCGTGAGTCCCGATCCGTGTTCCTAATGTGGGTGTTATTGTTCGTATCGCTTATTCACAAGTCTTAACCTAAAACAAAAAAACATTTACACTCATTTCACTGCAATTAATAAGGGAGCTGAATGAAGAACCTCCTGATGCTGATTTGTGAAAAAAATCTGAATTCTCTCCTCTTCAAGTCTGCAAAGAAGAAGAAAGCAAACAAGTTTAGAAAATTCTGTTTTCTGGAGGTAGTTTGGATCCGTCTCTTTGGTGAATTCCATCAATGTGTTGATTATGACTCTCTTCTAGTTCCCGACCCGCCCACCGACCTCCGGGCCTTCAACGTCACCGACACGACGGCCTTGTTGCTGTGGCGACCGGCGCTGGCCACCGTCGATAAGTACATCATCGTGTATGGTGCTGGGACGGGTGAGTGATGTCATCGACCCGCCTAAACATATTATCATGACTTATTCGTTGATTGTATTTTGTATTGTTCATCTGAACCTGGAAAGTTATCAATCAATTAGGAGGCTAAAACAATATTTATCTCCACTAAATTACAGCTTTCTCTTACTTTCTGAAAATAGAAGGAATATCAAGTCATAAAAATAATAAAATATTAATAATAAAAACATCATTGATAATTATTATAACAACAATAATGTTATAATCTAAAATAATGATAATAAAATAATAATACTAATGAAATATTAATAATAAGAGAAAATAATAATCAATCACACATTTTGAAATTAATTTATCTCGATTAATGAATGTTTGTTTTCCTTCTTAGGACTAAATCTTACAAGTAATGAGTAATCACTTTAGAACGCGTGTATTTTAGACACTATTGTTCAATTGTTAATGTTATTTTAAATAACATTAAAAAACGACACATCATCTTGGAGGCAGAACTCCACCTGGTGGAAGATGTTGAACTAGCGACTCTTCCTGTTGTCCTCGTGCACTTTGCTCTCAACTCTCCATCATTCAATTCAAGAGTTTGAAGTGCCACATTTAGCAGGACGTTTTCAAACCACGTCTTTTAGGGACACAGTGGTGGTCCTCTCCAGCTGTGTGCCGCGCAGGGTAACGTTAGATGTTGAGATGGAAGCAACCTAGCAGCTAGCTTGCCTCTCTTCATCTTGAGCCACCGTTAAAAATAATTACACTCTAATAATGATGTCTTAAATAATAAGAATACTCATAACAAAATCTATACCATCAAGAATACAAATAATATTAATATTAATAAAACTACTGATGGTGGATTCAGACTCCGAGTTGAGGATCAGCGTGTCTGGAAACGCAGCAGAGCTGCAGCTGAGCGGCCTGGAAGGATCCAGCACCTACACCGTCACCGTCACCAGCCAGCGGGGCAGCACACAGAGCTCGGCGGCCTCCACCAGCTTCACCACGACCGGAGGTCCACACACACGCACGCATGCCCACACACACCTTGTAGTCGTGGAAATAGCTAGAAACGCCTCCACTATTCCGCTCCAGGCTCCGGAGGCGGAGAAAGCCCACGTGACCTCCGTGCCGACAACCTGACCCCGCGCACAGCCATGTTGTCATGGAAACCGCCCTCAAATCCAGTAGGCAGCTACAGGCTGACCTATCAGAGCGAACATCTGGGACTAAAGGTGAGTTGTGTCGATTATGACAGCACCTCTACCCACTATACCTGCAGTAGGTAGCTACCCACTATACCTGCAGTAGGTAGTACCTCTGCCCACTATACCTGCACTAGGTAGCACCTCTACGCACTATACCTGCACTAGGTAGTACCTCTGCCCACTATACCTGCACTAGGTAGCACCTCTACGCACTATACCTGCAGTAGGTAGTACCTCTGCCCACTATACCTGCAGTAGGTAGCACCTCTACCCACTATACCTGCACCAGAACTAAAAGAGTGATACTACCCACTATACCTGCACTGGTGGTTCTGGTTCTGTTCCCTCTCGGTCTGTACACATACGACATCCTCTCTCCCGAAACCCTCACATCAGCACAGGAAAACTCCCCAACAAATGAAAAACCCTTCCAAGAGGGAAAACAGGGAAGAAACCTCAGTGAGAACGTCAGAGGAGGATCCGTCTCCTGATGGACAGACTACAATGGATGCCATGTGTACAGAATGAACAATGTATAATACATGAGACTATATGACAGAAATGATTCAAGTAACTGTGAGTAGTAAACCAGACGCACAGCAGGACCACTGCAGGGGCAACCACCATCACATAGAACCACCATCACATAGAACCACCATCACATAGAACCACCATCAGATAGAACCACCATCCACAGAAGGCTGTGGGGAGGGAGAGCACAGAGACTTTAGGAGAGTGCAGTCACTTATAAGTCACTTTGGATAAAATCCTCATCTGGATGATGAATCTAAATGTATTTTAATAAGGTAAAAGTACCATTACATCAGTGTCAAAACATACTCTGTCTTTGTGGTCACAGGAGGTGATGGTGGACGCCTCGGTGACGGAGTACAACCTCACCAGACTTCATCCCGGATCAAAGTACTCGGTGCAGCTCCAGGCCGAGAGAGGAGGCCGCTTCTCCGCTGCCATCTCCACTGACTTCACCACCGGTAACGGCCTGGAGCGATGTGCACCGCTGTCACGGCGATTGACTGACGGACGCTAACGGGCCTCCTCCCGTCTCTTCCTCAGGCACCCTGAGGTTCCCCTTCCCCACGGACTGCTCCCAGGAGCTGCTGAATGGCATCAGGACGTCCGGCGAGGCCGAGGTCTTCCCTCAGGGCAAACAGGGGACCCCGATGGAGGTTTACTGCGACATGGAGACGGACGGCGGCGGCTGGACGGTACGGTGACAGAGTTCAGCGCTACTTTTGTTGTTGTTGTTTTAATCAACAACATGAATAATTGTGGGAGATAAAGGAAGTGAAGTTGTCCTGCGTGCTTCCTGTCGGCAGGTCTTCCAGAGGAGGAAGGATGGCTCGGTGGACTTCTTCAGGGGCTGGAAGGACTACACCAGAGGATTCGGGGTGCTGAGCGGAGAGTTCTGGCTAGGTGAGAAAACGAGAAGGACTGAGTGTATCAGCGGACGTGGTGGTCGACCTGGATGACGTCACTAGTAGAATGAGGTAAAGGTCACGGCGACACCTCAGAAACGTGACTCAACTGAAAGAAACGTCCTCTAAACTCCAACAACTTTCTGTTTCTAAATGTCCTCTCTTCTCTTCATCTCTTACAAATGAGCAGGAATTTTAAATTCACCTTTTCAGAATACCTTTTTATTTGACCACATACGGAATACTCAAGGGGATTCTGGGTAAAAGAAGTCTTTTCATCAAACGAAAGGTTGCGATCAAAAGTTCAAAGCATCGACATTTAAATGGCAGGAAAATTAGAGGAGCAGCAAAACGAAACAGTTTTAATTCCAGAAACAGCAAAGTGACGTTTTGCTCAGAAACAAACTGGTCTTTGCCTCCTCAGGCCTGGAGAGCATCTACAACCTGACCGCCATGACCAGGATGAGCCTGCGCGTGGACCTGCGGGACAAAGACGGGGCGGCCTTCGCCAAGTACTCCACCTTCGAGCTGGTGAAGAGGAACTACAAGCTGATCGTGGGCGGATACAGCGGCACAGCAGGTGAGCGGGAAACGTGCTCAGGTACTGCAGAGGAAAAGACAAATAATGGTTTTATCCGTTTGAATTGAGCAATGAATTAAAAATATGTGTTATAACTTTTTATGGATTATGAAATAATTGTTTGCAAAGTTGTAAAAATTGAGGCGAAAGAAATAGTCCTTAAAGGGCCAATTCTGTGGGCGGGGCTCCACGTCGAGCAGTGTTAAATCTCACGTGGTTTCTTGAAGGACACTGTATTTCATGTGCTCCCCCAGGTGACTCCCTCAGCTACCACAACCAGCGGATCTTCTCCACCAAAGACCGCGACCTGGCGCCCTTCCTCACGCGCTGCGCCATGTCGTACCGGGGAGGCTGGTGGTACAAGAACTGCCACGAGGCCAACCTGAACGGCGCCTACGGCACCGACCGCAACCAGCAGGTGACATCATCACTGCGCGCCGCACATGTGGCACTTTGTTCAAGTCAAACAAGGATTAGTTTAGATAAACTGAAGTCACAGTTTAAAGTTGAGCTTGTTTGGTTCACGATCGTTTTATGAAGTTTTGTATTTAAACGATATTATCTCATAATATTAATGATCAGCTGTTTATCCACCTGTCAGTCTGACACCCCAGTGTGTGTGTGTGTGTGTGCGTGTGCGTGTGTGTGCGTGTGTGTGTGTGTGTGCGTGTGTGTGTCTGTGCGTGTGTGTGTGTGTGTCTGTCAGGGTGTGATCTGGACCGCCTGGAGGGGAACAAAGTTCTCCGTCCCGTTCACCGAGATGAAGATGAGACCAGCAGCCTTCAGTCCTCCGACCAGAATATGAAGACGATGAACTGAAACACACACACACACACACAATGCGTGATATGGACAGCAGTGTGTACACACACACACACACACACACACACACACACAAGGAGAGATGGAGACGTGTCTCTTTTCATCTGTATACAGGTCAGTTATCTGTATGTAGTTGTACAGTTCTTTTTTATAACAGTGCTGCTTCTTTTTATTTAAAGGGCCAGAAAAACGCACCAAAGCTCGACGGCCGGCTTGTAGCTTGTAGCTTGCAGCTCTTAACTTGTAGCTTGTAGCTTGTAGCTTGTAGCTTGTACCTCGTAGCTCGTAGCTTGTAGCTTGTAGCTTGTAGCTCGTAGCTTGTAGCCCCAGTTGTGAATGAAAGATTTGGGCAGTTAAATGTGTGTAGATCAAAACAGGAAGAGCTTCCTGTTTCAGTGTGTTTCACAATAAAACCACCGAATAAACTGGAATTAACGTGTTAAAAGAGAAACCGACTCGAAGTTTACAGTTTGAAATGCGTCACGTGTTTAGCATCTTTGAGAATAGTTATTATGGAGGTAACAGCTGACTCACTTTATGTTTCCTTACTTCCACCCTGTTTGGTGACGCAGGCTCACCTGTGGATGAATCCCAGGTACGCACCAATACATGTGTATTTCTTTATGTAAATAAATACCTGCCAAAGACTTAAACATACAGTAAAATAAAAAATGGCTATATTATTTGTTGTTGGTCGAGCAAAACATTAAAGACATTGTTTTGAGCTTGAATTCCTCCAAAAAAATCCCGTTGCTGTTTCTGATCGAGTCAATCTGATCTGTGGAATAATTCAGATATTTAGGTGAACCCGTCTGTGGAAACCAGCAGGTGAGTCACGGAGACCTTCGCTTGTCCCTCTGCGTCGCCTTTGCAAATATCTCCATGTTTCAATTGTTATTTTTAATAAAGGTTTTAAAATCATTTTTTGCATCGTTGCTTTTCTCGTCTTCAGAGGATAAAACACTCGTTTAGAAAAGTACTGATTATATTATTTCATTATAATCCAACGTGCTCATCACAGCGATGAAGGTGGAGATAAATTGAATAACTTAATATTATATATATATATATATTGTATCTGCTTAAGCTGTTTTAGTGATTTAAATGTCGTCAATGTTGTTAAGTTTCACAGGGAAGTTTATTTTATTAGGTTGGAAAGTTAAGAAGTTGAATTACTGTCTCTTTTCTCTCTGATGTTCCCTTTAGAACTGTTCTAAATACTTAGTTTGTTTCATTCATCCTGACGTTTGTCTTCATGTGTTCAAAGCGTTTATGAAACCATCACCTTCAGGTTCTCACGTGTGTTTGATGCTCAGTCTGTTGATGGAGGAAGATGTGAGACGGCCTCTGATGGGGGAGTCAAACACCACGGTGGTTCCAGCCGTCCTTCTAAACACCCTTTTGTTTTATTTAATTGGTCCCCGGGGTGCAGCGTCCCGCCCCACCCATCTGCCAATGGCCTCGTCTTTACCTGCTCCCTTGTTTACAGGTGTGAGCCGGGACGCCACCTGGGACGGAGGCCCAGGTGGCGTCTCGTCTGTTTATTGGTCAGAGACCAGGGGGGGAGGCAGATCTCAGGGCAGCGCTTCCAGCAGAGTGGAAACTGATCCTTAAACCACAGGACAGGTGGGGGTGAGGGTGTCGAGGGGTGAGGGGGGGGGGCGCTCAGGTGGTCGAGTGTTCTTGAGGAAAACCTGCCGCCGTAAAGGAGACGCTGAGGGAGCCACAGGTGAGACCTTGTTGGGACGGAGCTCAGCGAACCAGGTAAGGACACAACATGATTTATTGACACTCTATGAGAGTCTGCTGGTCTCTGTTAAATGAAGAAGCTCATTTACTTTCTCACTCCAGAGACTGTCGTCTTCACGAGAAGGACGTCTGTATTCATGTCGCGTAATGAAGCTTCTTCTTTGTGTCACGCTGACTCTGAGTTGAGATGAATGTGCAGCTCCTCACGGTGTGTGTGAGACAATGCAGAGGAAACACTCGTTTACACACAATTAAACGCCGTCAGACAATAAAGTAAAAGGTACAAAAATAAAGCTTATCAAGAAAATATTTAATTAAAGACCGAACAAACGGAATAATGTTTCATTTTAAGCGCGTGAGAAACCTGGAAAGTCAAATTTGACTTGATGTGATGTGAGTGAGCTGAAGCAGAAAACAGACACACGCCGTTGTTGTTGTTGTTGTTTATTAACGGGACATTATCTCGCTCTGTTTACAGCTCTGACGAGGACTTTGATTACCTGCCGCTGATTACAACCTTCTCAGGGCACTCATGACGTCACCAGACGAGCGCGCCCTGGAGGAGCTGCTGTGCGGCAGTGACCTTGGTGACGAGGCGGAGGGGGCGGGGCTTAGCGGCGGCGGCCCGGCGGGGCCGCGGGACGGTGCGGCTGCAGACCACGTGACCATGACAGCGGCGGAGGAGGTGAAAGTACTGTGAATATACTGGAGTCTCTACCAGCGAGTGAAAGTATTGGTGTTTGTGTGATTAGAACTGATGTTTCTGGATTATTAGCAGATTATTTAAAGATGATCCGCTTTAAACAAACAAAGCGCTGAAATGTGTCACGCTTTATGTGATTTAGTATAAATATTAACTTACTGCTCTCCTCCACTTAAAGCCACGACTGATTCATCTGAGACTTCACGCTGAACATGAATATATAAAACATGTGGAGACGACAGTAGATAGTTTAAAAGATAATTCAAAAATAATCCCAAAAAATTCAACTTGTGATTTTTCCTTGTTTATTGTTTATTCATTGTAACTATAATTCTGTTTTAAAGACATGATTGAGGTCCGCTTGGATCGGTTTTATTCCTGTGGTTCTTGTCCTCTGTGTGCCGAGCATCATCGGGGTCACGTGACCCAGATGAGGTCATGAATTCATCAAGGTCACGTGACCATGAAAGCTGAGGAAGAAACGCTGCTCAGCTCCTTTACTGCAGTAGAAGTTTAAATAAAAAACGAATCAATCCTGTTTTTTAAAAGCTCTTTGACTGATGTTGGCGAGAATAATAATCCGGTGGAGATTATTGATCCAAACCTTCTCTTTTTGTAATCACGTCCGGTGTAACACGCCTCGATCCTTCTGCCCAGTAAAACTCACATGAAACGATCCCAAATCTGTCCCAGACTCCCGCGGCCGTGTCCCTCCGGGGGCCGATGACGTGCGCCGGCTGCGGCGAGCAGGTGTGCGACCGCTTCTTCCTATTGGCCGCGGGCGGCGTGTGGCACGGCGCCTGCCTGCGCTGCAGCCGGTGCCGCTGCGAGCTGCAGACGCACGCCTCGCTGTTCTGGAGGGAGGGGAACATCTACTGCCAGCAGGACTACTGCAGGTCAGCGCGCCTCGGGCCTCTTTCCCGCCGCCGGGCGACCTCCGCTGACGCCATTTTCTCTGGCTCCTCCCTCTTGCTTCAGGATGTTCGGAGGCGGCCGGTGTGCGCGATGCTTCCAGCCAATCCCAGCGTCCGCTTTGGTCATGAGGTCCGGGGAGCTGACCTTTCACCCTCACTGCTTCTCCTGCCAGGTCATAGCATGTGACAACACGTGTGCGACGCGCCGTTAAAGTGACATTTTCCTGATGACGGAATGTTGTTCCAGGAGTGTGACGTGACGCTGACACCAGGGAACCTGTACTGCCTCCAGGGCCACAACCTCTACTGTCAGTCCCATTACCATGGCGACGAGGGCGGAGTCCAGCGGCCACGTGACCTCCAGCCCAACCCCAACCTGAGAGAAGGTGAGGCGTGTGCGTGCGTGACCTCTTTGTGTCAATAGAAACATTCTCGTCTTCTTCGAGAGGAGGCAGAACTATTTTGTCCAAATTAAACTGTTTTAATGAATTTTGGCTAAAATAGAAAGTGGCTGAAGACTCTTTGCATGGTGAAATAAAGCGTCGCCATGCTTAAAACACGCGTGTCGTATGATTAATGAAGCATCGTCCTGTGGTTCAGTCAGCGTTCAGGCTCTGATCCATCGACAAAACTGTGTGTGTGAATCAGCTCTGAATCCGGTCTCAGGAGACGGGGAGGAGTCGGTCAGCAGTCCTGAGCCCCGATTGGATGACGGGGAGGCGTGTGGGCGGAGCCACCGCCGGACGAAGCGAATCAGGACGTGTTTCCGCAGCGAGCAGCTCAGGGCGCTGGAGTCCTACTTCGCCCAGAAGCACAACCCGGACGGGAAGGACTGGAACTGCCTCGCACACAAGACCGGCCTCCCCAAGAGAGTCCTGCAGGTACGGACGCCATGTTGCTTCATCAGGAAGTCGCCATATTTGGACTGAGGAGGAGTGAACGATACCTGTATCACCTGTAGCTACAATTAAACACGTATAACTGTGACATCTTCACACATCCCAAGTATTTATATTAGAAGAAGATTGTGGCATTTACAGATATTTTGTACCTCATTAAATGTTCTTCTTCTGCTCTTATTTTTCAATTGTCGAAACCCACACGCACACAAACACACACACATTAACACACGCACACATGCACACAAATAATACACACACACATTAACACACGCACACATGCACACAAATAACACACACACACATTAACACACGCACACATGCACACAAATAACACACATTAACACACGCACACATGCACACAAATAACACACATTAACACACATTAACACACGCGCACATGCACACAAATAACACACATTAACACACGCACACACTCTTCAGGTGTGGTTTCAAAACGCTCGCGCCAAACTGAGACGCTCCGTCACGGCGGACGACTCTCAGGTCAACTCGCCCTCAGCTCCCCTTGGAGGCGTGGCCATGGCGACCGAGTCCCCGCCCCTCTCCCCACCGGACCAATCGCAGGCCTTCTCCTCGGCCAGCACCATCGACCACCTGCAGCTCTCCCTGCTGACCGCGCCGCTCGGCGAGCCTCCCGGGAGTCCGGCCGCCGGCCCGCCGCATCCGCTGCAAAACCCCACCTTCTTCCCGGACTGCGATTCCCACAATGCACCGGGGTGCATGTCCTCCCTGGAGGCCTACGAGGACCTTTACGAGGCAGGAGGAGGAGCAGAGGGCGAAGTAGATCCTCATGGTTCTTTTAGACCACATTACTGCTAGTAGGGGTCTGTGCGCGGACAGATTTTCAAAGTAAGAGAACAGCAAAAGATTTTAGTTAAACGCTTTTAATGTGAAACAACAGAAAATGAGTAGGATTCGTTTTTAGTTTTTTCCTGATCATCAGTCACTGAATAAATAAATAAAGCTCTGACAACACAGATTGATGAACGTATCAATACATAAATGCTGCATCGCTTCCTTGTGAATTATATTTTATCATCTTAAGTCATTGTAATAATTACTTTTCCACTGAGTACAGTTTTGAAAGTAAAGCATTTTACTCGTAGTGTAAAGTAGTAGTAGAGTATTTTGTGGCATCAGTACTTTAGCTTCACGACCCCGAAGAAGTCGTAGTAGATGTAGTTTCACTTCCTGTGAATAAAACGCTTCCTCTTCCACTGAGTCTCATCTTTGTGAATCCAGATGTGAGGTCCACCGATCAATGCATTGATTGGCCGTTAGTTACTTTTGTTGCAGCGTTTTCTCTCGTTTTCAAAACGATTTAACCCCCCTGCGTCCTCTAATTGGTGAGGACGAGTCGGCGCTTGAGTTGCATTCCTTCCGGTGCCGTCGCGTCCTCACGGGGAGACGACCTTCACGGTGGACAAAGGAAGCCCCCCCTAATGAACCGGCAGCCTCCCCTGTCATGTGTCCCCCAATCAGCCGGCCTTAATCACCCGGGCTGAAGTGGACCTCCACGTTTCCCGGCCGCAGGAATGAAGGTCACGGGGCCGGGCGTGCGTCACCGGGCCGGTCGACCAATCAGGAGCCGGCGGCCTGGTCAAAGGGGCCGGGGGGGTTTAAAGAGGTGAGAGGGGACGGACCTCAGGTCAGACACCACAAAGGTAGAGCGCGACTCAAGGTGAGAAATGTGACTTATTCCTCAGAGCTGTTTCGCTTTCAGAGGTTCGTTTATGGCAAAATGTTTGTGTTTAAACGGGTTAAAAACGCTGCTGTTCTTAGTCAACAGACTTAATAATGTATCAAAAATAATCATTATTTCTATTATTCAATGTTGTTTTAGTTGATAATAATGAATAATATCAACACTACATTTAGTTAGTTTAGCACTTTAAAAAGTACTTAAACTATCCAACTTAACAACATGAAACAGAAAAAATTGAAGCTTTGATTGAATGCTGAAAGCAGCCGAGACGTTTGGCTTTTAATTTGTTAAAAAAAATGTATTCATTCATTATTATTGTTTTTTATAATTATTAATAAGTTAGTTCTTTAAAGACTTTTTTCTGTGGTTATTATTCTCTTATATCTCTTGTTTTGAATGATTACATCTCAGGTGTTATTGATTATTTCTTTGCTTCTTGGACGGTTTGAAAGAGAATAATAATTGAGTTACTCTCTCAACCTCAGAGACAAGTTCGTCATTTAGGTTTGTTGCTTAAAAAAAAAAAAAGATTACTTCTAGTTCAAAGTGTAAAACTTAACTTAGTACCTAACAAAGTATCTCATGATCTTTTTCCCGAACCGAAGGACATTTGTTTCCTGTGAAGAACGAGGTTTATTTTGAAAGGACTGTGTGCATACGAGTGGAGAACAACGCGGTTTGATCGACTTAAAGCAGGAAAATGATGATTCTGTCCGATATCAGACTTCCTGTTCGATCCGCTGCTCGTTGTTCTTCATTGAATTTTTCAAAGTCTTTTTATTCACATTATTTATTTAAACTACCTGCTCTGCTCTTGTTTGTAATGTTTTCGTTTTTCCAAGACTGCACTTGAATGCACCTGGAAGGACGATAACGTTCATTCCACCCAAGAGACGCTGACGTCCCCTCGACGTGTTAATGGTCTGAAGCGTAATCACACACGCGCTTCTTCCTCTCGTTCCCAGATGAGACCTTCTCTTCGTCTCGCTGCTTCAAAGCTCACCCTCCTCTCCCTCGCCGTCCTCTGCCTCCTCCCTCCGACCGCCACGTCCTACCCGCGCTCGCCCGCCGCCCTGCTGCACCTGCAGGTGGCGCTGGAGGACGAGTGGCTCGTCCGGCCCGATGGGGGGGCCGAATGGCCTCTGGACCCCCTGCTGGCCCTCCTCAGCCCTGGGGAAGAGGAGGAGGAGGAGGAGGAGGAGGAAGAGGCCGTGCTGAGGGCCCGGAGAGGAGACCTGGTGGGCCGGCTGTCCCCCTTCCCCGCGGGCCTCTCCCTGGGGGGCGTGAGCTATCAGGAGGGGGGCGAGGACGGGGGCAAGAGGAACGAGGCTCTGACCTCCATCGCCGGAGGCCTTCAGGCCGTCGGCCGGGAGAAAGGAGGGATCGCCTTCCGCTTCGGGAGGAAAAGATGGACCAACAGGGGGTGGATGGGTTAAGGGGGAGGGAGACCCGAGAGGAACCCATGAGGGGGGGCTCTTTTAGGGGGGGAGGGGGGTCAACGAGGTTCTTTTCCATTCACCACGGCGGTGATGCACTAACGACGACGTTTGCGACAAAGTCTTTAGCTGATTAATGGCAACCAAATGTTGAAAAGTTTCCCAGTGGATCACAAATCCGATTAATTAAAGAAAACATCAACAACACGTCCTTTAGATCCCAAAAACAAAACTACACACAACGAGCATTGAATTGAAACACATGATTGTTCCAAAGAGGGATATAATCTTTCTTCTTCTGTTGGCCTCAAAGTTCATGTCAAAATGTCTCTGTGGAATCCAAAGTCCAACGTCTGGAATAAGACATAAATACAGATGTATTGGAGAAATGTGTGTTACTTTGTTGGAAATAAATAAAGATAACATACAGAGTTACTGGTGCAATGTAACCAAGTACATTTACTCAGGATGAGAAACATTTTACTCTGCTATATTTGTATAGCAGCTTTATACTTTATATGTGTATATAATGGATAATCGAACACATAAAACTAAGTGTCTAACGCTGGATTCAAAAATATACAGTACAAATATACATTCCAATAGTAAAGTAACGTTAAAGTACTTTATAAGTACCTAATTTGTGTATTCTACCTGAGTAAATGTACTTCAGTATGACTCCTGTGCTCGTTGACAACCTGCTGAAGTGTGGTCTGCCTAGCAACCGGCAGCGCGTTTTCTGATTGCATGATTTCTGCGTAATAATGTAGGCGGCGCTGCGCGCGCACCCGTCTCTCCGTTACGAACCACACTGCCACAGGCGTGTTGCGTTCACGGACGCTTGGGAATCTGTTTCTTTTTTCTCTTTTTTTATATATTCACTAGCACGTGACACAGGAAAAGACTGATACTCCTCAGTTTTAGAGATTATAACCAGTTGATACTTGGTGTTACACAGTAGATCAACAATTTAAACTCTCTCCTGGCGGGATTAATAACATGACTATCTATCTATCAAATAAACTGTCTACAAATCAAAAGTAGTTAAAACAACAGTCAGAGATATGAGACGCTATTATTACTCTGCTTCATGACGAGTGAATCAGATGTGACAATAACGTGACACCTGTAATGTCTTGAAGACATATTTCAGAGTTCATTCACCTTGAAAACAGGTTATTTAATTCTTCCCATAAACTCCTCCCTGAAGTCAACCGCACTTAGTGAAGAGTCTCTGACGTCAAAGAGCCACTGCTCATGTTCCAGCCCTTTCCTCCTCCCCGCAGCTCGTTGCCAATACAGATAGAGAGTGGAAGCCCAGATGTTCATGGTATTTAAACATCAGCACGTATTTTATCTCAGTATTGCAGCAGGCAATAATAGGTAATAGACAAGGTAATACCAAATCCTTGAGTACAAACAACCAGTTCATTGATTGTACATAACATTTTATATTGTTAATCAAAATGAATTAGCGGGTAGAGATTAATGTTGAAGTTATATTTCAAGCATAAAAACATTGATACCAACCAATTGATTATTCTAGTAATTCACTAATGGCTCAAACAAGAGAGTCCATCATGTCTTATATAAATAGGACCCCAGTGTTATATAGATAAATAAATAAACTGGGATTTATTTATTTCGCAGTATTCGTAGTTCTTAGTTCTATTCCCGCAGTTTTTGTTATTTCTTTGAATAGATTGAAGATTGAATATGCTCGTTTTTTACATGTAATTACTGTAAATAGTATTATTCACACCACAACGCAAGTAGCTTTTTGAAGTGTAATTTCATTTGGAAAGATAAGAGTCGCAGTTACTGAAAGGCGGAGTCTCGTCTGTGAACGAGCCGCACCTGAACGCACCACGAACACCACACGCAGACGAGCAGCAACGCGGAAGAGACGTCGCGTCGCGCGCTCACACCGAGTGAAAACGCTGTTAAACCGTCGCGTTATTCTCCGGCCGTGTTTGAGAGGATGTCCCCGGTGGACAGCGGGATGTCTCCGCTCGCCGTGCTGGTCCTTCTGCAGGTGACGGCGGCGGTCTTCGGCGGTGAGTTGAGAGACGTTTGACTCGTCCGCGTGAGTCGGGCGGAAAGCGAAAGTAAAAGAGGCGAAGAAGAGAAGACGCGGTTTTCTGTTTTATTTCTTAAGAACTAAAGTTCGAGTCTTTATTCTTGTTGATCCGAATCTCTTCCGTCGAGTTCGCTGCTTCTGAACAAACAGCAGGACTCACGAAGCTCTTCTTTCCGCCGTTTATAGTCCGTGTCTGAAAATGGCGTCGAAGTTCAATTCCGGAAGTTCTTGTGTTTCCAAATAATAATAATAACAATATTAAACCATTAATATATCCGAACCGTAGCGATTATTTTCACGATATGTTGATCTTTTCAAGAGTTCTTCCTGATTATCAGTTTTGTTTAAAAGTATGAGGAAAAAGTGAAAACATAACTTAAAAAAAAGTGAATTGCTGATATTGTATATTAAATTTATTCATCATATGTATTATATGTGTATACATATAAGAACTGATTAATCATTTCTTAATATATATTTTTTATAATCAGAAAATTTTGGGGGGAAAAAACGTAATTCCTAGAAAGAGTCATTTGTCACAATAAAATATGTATAATCTCTCAAAGTGACTCAAAATAATTAACACTCAACAATAACTCCACCAGTAGATTGTTTACAAGTAATTATTTGGCAAACCATTTCAGAAGTAAACAAGAAATATAACAACATTACACTGTTTATTTGGTCAGATAATTTAATATTTCTTTTGTAAATAGTGTTTTTTTACTTCTACTGTCACATCTTTGCGTGTAATTAGTTCCCTTTGCTGGATTAATAAAGCAAATATCGACCTATAAACGTCCAAAGGAGTTAAAACAACAGTCTTTAGAGTTTTTTCGCAGGTTCCTCCTTCCTTGAAAAACCGGTTATTTAAATGTTTGGCTCCATCCCATAAACTCGTCTCTGAAGGGAACCGGTTAGTGAAGAAGTTTGTGTACCAGCGAAAAACACAGATGATCATTGCACACACGTATGCATTTCACCCCACAGGAAGTGGTTTAGTAAGCATGTTGCGTGTCGGTGTAACGCGCTGCAGAGAAACCGATCAGTAGAACCGCAGCACGTCATTTGTGTACCACACAACTACACAACCGGTACATCGTCTTCAAGGTCAAAAGAATCCCAAGATTCAACAGTAATTAGTATTTGCAGTCGTGTTGATCATCATTAATAGTGAAGTAATGTCTCTCCTCCCCCGTAGTTAAACACTCCCTCACCTACACCTACACGGCCTTCGCTCACAAGCCCGTCGGCCTGCCGGGCATCCACGAGTTCACCGCCATGGGGCACCTGGACACCCGCATGATCGACTACTTCGACAGCGACCAGCAGCTGAAGGTCCCCAAGCAGCCCTGGATGGGGGAGCGTCTAGACAAAGACTACTGGGTCAAGGGCACGCAGTCCCGCCAGAGCAAGCAGCAGTGGTTCAAGGTCAACATCGGCATCCTCATGAACCGCCTGAGGCAGAATAAGAGTAAGAGGGACATCGCTGACTTCAACTGCTGCTGTTTGTTACACGTACGTCAGGTTTTTCTTCATGGTTTCCTTGTTTGCTCCGCCCCTTCTCTCTCTCCCTCCCTCCCCCTCACCTCCCCTCCAGCCTCTGGCCAACACGTTCTGCAGTGGCAGCACGGCTGTGAGGGCGAGATGCAGCTTGACGGCACGTTGAAGTTCTCCACCGGCGTCGACATGTACAGCTACGACGGGTATGACTTCCTGTCCTTTGATGACAGTAACAGCGCGTGGGTCGCCGGGGCCCCGGCGGCGCAGCAGACCAAGAGGACGTGGGACGGCGTCGACGTGCTGAAGGAGTACACCAAGGGCTACCTGGAGAAGGAGTGCATGGAGTGGATGGAAAAGTTCCTGAAGTATCAGGGGAGCGTGTTGGAAAACGCCAGTATGTAAAGACCATATATATAAATATATATTTATATATGTACATAAAAATGTATGAAATAACTTCTGATTTATGGTTCAGTAGTGTTGATCACATGTGAATTGTCTATGCTCAGGTTCCACTGATTTATTTCATATGGGTTAAATGCCTGTTTCCTCTCCATCACCTCCCGGCTCCTCCTCCTCCTCACAGCGAAACCAGAAGTTTACCTGTTCGCCTCGAAGGCCAAAAAGGAGGCAAACGTCATCTTGACCTGCATGGCCACCGGCTTCTACCCAAAAGAAATCCAGCTGTGGATCAAAAGGAATGGCCGTGTCCTGAGGAGAGAGGACGGAGTCATGTCCTCTGGCTCGCGGCCCAACGGAGACGAGACCTTCCAGAGGAAAGACTGGGTGGAGATCCTGAAGACTGACCAGTCTCAGTACACCTGTGAGGTGATCCACAAGGCGACCCAGGTGAACATCGAGAAGGAATGGGGTAAGTCGTCTTCTTCTTCTTCTTCCGTCTCATGCTAACAGAATACAAAATGCAGGAAGGGAACCTTTTGAATGAAGGATTAAAATGACAGAAATGTTGTTGTTGTTGTTGTTGTTGTTGTTTACCCGAAGGAACAACGTGTTGAATGTTTCCTTTGTTTTAGATCATAAACTCCCTGAAAACGGATCACCCATTGGAGTGGCTGTGGGTGTCCCTGTCCTTGTCCTTGTCCTCGCTGTGGTTGCTGGAGTGCTGATTTTCTGCTACAGGAAAGGTTTGTACTATATAAAACTACTACTTGAGTGAAATGTACTTTTCCTATTTTGTGTTTTAATATCCAAGTTGAAGCTTCACAATAACATTAATTATCATGTAATAATAATAGTATTTGATATATTTGAGACTCTTCCAGAAAGGTGCAGTGTCTTTATTTTGTTTTATTACTTACGGACGTCTTGAGGTGCTGCTGACTTCACTGTGTTCATATGTTGTGTTTGTTTACAGGATGTATCCGTCAACTTACCTCCAAGAAAAAGGGTAAATACTTTAATGCTCTTTGAGGAATCGATGTGATGTTGGTGTGAGGCTCCTTCTGCTGGAGACGTGTTTTAGACGCCTAAAAGAACCAGAGTCTTTAAGAAGTTTTAAGATGTATTTTTTAAATAGTTCCGCTCTTTATCTCGATGTCAGTCAGATGAAGAGAAACATGATTTATATTTTTATATTTATATTTGGTTTATATTAAGTGTCGATTATCTGATTCTGTCTGAAACTTTATGAAAAACAAAATCGACTTTCTTATTTCCACTAATAATATTAAGACATCCGACAGCATAATTGCACAAAATAATCTTTTTTTTTAAGTTAAGTTTAAATTTTTTTTTAAAAACAGTTGTAATAAAGCTGTAATGCTTTTTTCTAAATGACTGTATATTAATGCTCTTCTTCTTCTGCTTCACAGGCTCAAATGACCCTATCATCCCCATTGTATGCAGTAAGTATCTTAATGTCAGGTGCTGTAACCATGGAAACCATTAGTTGACCCCCTCCCACTTATTTATATGAATCCAAGCTTTGGGTTGATCAACCGATGAATATTGAGCTTCCATCTTTTATGTCTCGCTGTACGAACTTAATCATTTATTCCGTGCAGCCTCCTCCACCAGCTCCACCAGCTCCACCAGCTCCACCAGCTCCACCAGCTCCACCAGCTCCTCCAACACGGACTCCATCTCAAAGATCCCAGAGGCCGTGAGCTTCTTGGCGAGCAACGCAGATCCTGCGGAGAGCCAGGAGGCTGAGCCCCTGAACCCTGACGCTGAATAGACCACTTCTGCTGAGAGGAGCCGACACAGGTTCATAAGATTACGATCTCTATCATATAATATTCAGCTTACACGGCACGTTGTGGAATCATTTTACTTCAGATACAAAGACCACGTGATATACCTCCAAAGTTAAAAACAAAACAAAAAGTAAGGTTTAAGTGAGGAACTTATGTCCTCCTGATGTTTCCTTACACATCAAATAAGGAATCCTCACCCAGTCGAGCTCATAGCAGCTCATAGTTAATGAATCTGAATATGGAAGTGAAGTGTGGCCGGTGCGTCTCGGCTGTTATTCTCACAGCGTGTTTGATCCCACAGTGGATCTTTGTGTACTCGGGTGGGTTTTTTTCTTCTTTCCCGCTAAAGACGATACTATAAAAACGTGGAGACTGAATCCAACCAATTGCCGAGTCCCCTTCTAGGTTTAATGTATTTTTCTTCTAGCACTTTAAAGGTAACTAACATCACGCAGGAAACAAAAAGAATGAAAAGGCATCCAATTTAATAAAGATAAAAAGGTAGAAAAGAAGGTGCAAAAGATATAAAACAAGAAAAAAAGGTTTACGTTCAATTTTTAGATCAATCAATCGATGCCTTTGTTTAATGCAATCCATTAGTTGCAAATCAAATGATACGTCACCAAAAATGTTCAGTCTCTGCTCCTTCATTCAGTTTTCCCTCGTACTTTGGCTTGAATCAATTAATTTGGTGTTAAATTGTATGTTTGTTGCTGGGATGGTGTAATCTGTCTGAAACAAATACACTGATTTCATTTGCGTAGTTTTAAATTCAACTGAAATAAACAAGAAACAATAATCATAAACTATTTTATGAAGATATGTTTATTCATTTATTGCTCTGCTGTAAATACATCCTCTTTGTTTTAATGAGAATTACGGTAAAAATAGGAGAAATATACCAATGTGAGGACTTTAATTGTAATTTTAAGCAACCTAAATTGTTTCACTTGATGATTTTTTCAATGTATTTTTTAAAAATCTTGAATAAATTAGAATCAAAGAATTCATTGTGAACTAAAATATTAAAATATAAGAACCAGGTTTTGGTCTTTAAGTGTGCTGAAAGGTTATATGAGTCAAACTCATAAATATCCTAATTTTAATTTCCAATGTCAATAGGATCTTTTTATATTATTAATACAGATATATTGTATGTTTTATTTTCAATTAACCTTCTTGATTATAATGCACCTTTTCTTTTGAGTGATATTGCTACATTCTCTGCTTATGAAATAAATAAATGCCTTTGAAGCCGTCAAACAAATGTATTGCCTCATTGTGATAAAATAATTAATAATTACTGCATTATGTGCTCATCCTTTAACTCCTCAGAGCTTATCTTTTTACCTTTTTACATCCGCTTTTAATGCTGTATTTGTATATGATGTCTTTGTTTCATGTTCATTTTAACCATGTAAAGCGTCTTTGAGTATTTTGAAAAGCGCTATATAAATAAAATGTGTTATTATGAACAGAAAAGACCTCTTACGCGCGTTACGTCATGACGTCACTAGGTGGCGCCAGTACGCCGCTCTTTGAAGAAGCCGCATCAGTTGGTCCGGTGGTCCGCTCACGAAGAGACCGTTTGGGCTGTTTGTTGTTCCAGCTTCCGCCTCGAGCAACCGGGGAACAAACCCGCGGGGCCTTCCACGTGTTCACCGACGTTTTTACGGTGTCTTTACCGGTTTGTTGTTGTTTGTTTTTAACTTAATTCACCGGTAAGCTAGAAAACGGTCTGCTAGCTTGTGTGAGATTCGCGTTACCATGGTGACGTTCCGCACCGGAAGCCGCGGGGACCCGGATGTGAGCATCGGGCCGCACCGGAAGAATCCCAAACCGGGAACCCGGGGCCGGGACGCCCGGGAGGAGACCCCGGGACTGTCCCACCCGAGTCAGGTATCCGAAGGGTTTCTGGAGTTCAGAGGCGTCACCGCGTCACGTGACGTCATCATTCATCATCATTCAATTTGACGTTAAATCGGAAACTTTAGTGGGATTATTACTAAAGAATATAAAAAGGTTTTTTTTTTTCATAACTGTGATTATCATTATTAATATAATCATTATCTTATATGTGTACATATATTTTATATATGTATACATATATATGTATTTATATTTGATTTATTTATTAGTCTCAAAAGGAACCATTCAATTAAAGGCCGAATTATCATTTGTCAAACTTTCAAATATCAGTATTGGTATCAGCCAAAATAGTAAACAACAAACCTGCAGATTGAATAAATATCACTCTGCAACTTTAATTTAGTTAGTTTGATTAGTATATTTAGTTCCATTTAATTGACATATATATATATATATATATATATATATATATATATATATACATATATATGTGTGTGTGCTTTTTAATTCTAAAGATACAAATGTGATTATAATAAAAAAGTAAAATAATTGAACTTTCTCAAGAACTATTCAAAAAGGTTATAAACCACATGTAAAAAGCGGACTACAATCCGCCTTACACTGAATAAAACAAACAGCATTTGCTCACCTTTCAGAATAAAGTGCTCGTGTTTGCTGATCTGAATCTGACTTCTGAAAAGCTCAACGTGTTTTTTCAGGGAACTAACGCTGAGGAAGAGGAACGTGACCCCGATGGTTCAGGGAGGAAGGCCGAGGATGACGGGCGAGCGGTGGCGGCCTCCATCAGGTGGACGCCTTCATGAGCGAATGACTACGATCGGTTCTCCGTTTTAGAGCCGTCGGCGGCTCCCTCGGATGTTTAGTCTCCGTCTTAATGTGACACGACAGTCGATTTAATCACACTATGTGACATTGAACCTTGTGTTGTTTTTTTAGGAAGTCTCAGAGGCGTCAGAACGCTGCCGGTAAGAATCCTAATAAGGACATTGAACACACCTTGCAAAGCGTCGCCATGGAAACGCTGAAGCGTTGCATTTGGTCACAATAACGTAAAGGTTTTTTTTGAGGCTTTAGGGTCATGTGATCCCACCATGTGATGCTTCTCTGTGTGAGTCTCCCAGGTGGAGGAGGGAGGAGTGGTCTGAGGAGAAGCTCCCGGCCGGTGAATCCCGTCAGCAGATATCAGACCTCCGGCCGCTCAGTCAGCTCCAGGTGAGTCAATCAGAGAAAGTCGCTCTGCTCCAGCAGCGACCAAAGGAATGAACACCATCTGCTTGTTTTTGTTGCTGTTGTAAAGAGGAAACGAGGAGGACTGAAACTCTACTGACACCAGATCAGCTTCTTCAATGAGATCTGACAAGTGGAGCCTGTTTGGTGGCTGATCTGTTTTCGATTAGTTTGGTCTGAGCCGTTTGGTCCAGAGTTCTCTCCTCCACGGGGACGTGATGACCACAGCAGTGTGTGCCGACCTTTGTAGCTCAGAGAAAGGTGTGATTTTCAGAGAAAGAACAACTTGGATGTTTTCTGAGATAAATGCGGTGAATCAAAGAGAGAAATACGCAAATCAGTGAGTTTTCTTTTGAATGGACTCAATGCACCGCTTCATCTCGTCTCTTTACGGTAAAAGGTTAATGATCATATGATGAAGTGTATTTTCTTTTTATCACTCTGCTCCGTTGGCTCCCTAACAGTCCACTTTGATTTGAAGCGTGACTGTTGGATTCTTCTCTGCAGAGCGGACGCGTCGGTCCTGAAGAAGCGGCTCGTTAACGACGTCGACTCGGTGAGCGGAGATCATTCGTACCCGACCAGTCTGATGCTTTTGTATTTACGAGAGGAGCTTGGATCTGTTTGTGTCCCTGAGCAGGTCGTCCTTCATGCTAACGAGTCTTTTCCAAACCGTCCAGGTTCTAGATAGTTTTATTTTTTCAGGTGCGTACAGTGTCTTTTCATTTCACTGTTGAGCTGCTTCGGGGGTTTGTGTGTCTTGTGTTGTTGTGTGTTGTTGTAGCAGAACCGCCCACACGGCTAACTAGATGTTTGTGACTCGAATGTGGAGACGGGACATCGGGACCAAACGTCTCTCAGGCGGGTCCAGATTTGTGAGATTTAGTGACATCTGGTGGAGAGTTTTCAGACTGCATTCAACCAAGTTTATTTAACACCTTAAAAACAAATAAACAAATAAATAATAAAATAAAATAATGTAGTTAAAATAAATAAATCAGCAAAGCGACATCAGCCTGTAAAAATACGTTTTGAAGAAGTGATTTAAAGGTTTATTATTATTGGAGCTGAGGTTAAAATGAAATAATAACCATCTATTAACACACATACGTTTCTTTAAGCTGAACGCCGGTGTGTGCGGATTGTGTCGTGTTTCTCACAGTGTGTTTGTGTGTGATTCAAACTGCAGAAGAGCTACTCTGAAGTGAGGAAGAGGAGGAGAACAGAGGAGCCTCCTCAGGTGGACATCAGCAGCTTCGAGAAGGGTTCGTACCGACGATGGTTGGAGACCAGCGAGGGCTGAAGGGGAACATCTCCTCTTACTCATCTGTTGTCCCCAGGTGGACTCGTGGACGAGGACAGGAAGCAGGAAGCGGCAGCAGAGGACAACAGCTGCGGTACAGCTGATCTCAGATCAGTTCCACGCTTACAATCACCCAGAGGCATAAATCCTGCTTTGTGTTGCGCTGCGTTTGTTCCCGCTCAGAGGAAACCGCATTTGATGTTTTCGTGTTGACCCCCTCCTCCATCTTTACAAGTCACACGTGTCCTTCAGAGGTCCCGAGAGCAACGTTCAAGGTCGGCGGCGCCGGACCGAGCCCGGCCCGCGAGGCAGCCTTCAGGTCAGTCAAAGAGGGAGAACTGAGAGAAAAGCTGACGCAACGTTGTCATTGACCTCGATGAGAGAAGATAAGAGTGTTTCTGTCCCGTTGGGCCTCTTTGATCGTGGCTTTTATTTGATGGAAAAGTTATTGATCAGGTCTCCATCTAAAGCATTGAGTTCAGAGTTTAATGCCCCCGAGGAACCCTTGTCTCCTTGTTTCCTCTCCTTGCTCCTCCAGACTCACAGACAGCGAGACGTCGGACAAAGACAGCGACGATGACAAAGACAGCGACTCCGAGGAAGACTCGGAGGATGAAGAGCGCAGCGTGGGGAAGGTCTCTGGAAGGTCAGTAGGTAGATGATGATGTATCTCCATTCATCTTCTGAGTCCATCGGATCGAGGAGAGAAGTTGATACGCTCTCTTGTCTGTACGCAGAATATGAAGCTACAGCTTGTTAGCTTAGCTTAGCTTAGACAGGAACTGCTGACCTGCTTCCGTCCAAAGGGAACAAAATGTAAAGCAGCTCTAAAGCTAATTAGCATCTTGATTGAACAAAACGAATGTGTAATAACCACTTTTTGTTATTACACATCGTAAGAAGTTATGGGAAATATTTGCTGCTTCAAGTCTCCTAAAAAAGCCTCGCTGAATATTGTGTTGTTTGCTTTTCAGCATGCGACAGATTTCTATGTCTGTTGTGGTGGTTTTTAATTATTCCTTTCAAAGTGTGATCAATCTTCATCCAGCCGCCGGCCGCTCGGCCTCCTCGGCGAGGACCTTCTGGAGACTCGCCGAGACGAGAAGATGAACGGAGGAGCCGAGCTGGCAGACATCGATCCCGCCGCCATCCACCAATCGGTTCGTTCTCCCTGTTCCATTGTTTGAGAAGAGAGTCTGCTCATCTCACTGCCTCCCCTCTCTCCTCGCTTCCTTCCCCCTCTCTCCTTCCCCCTCTCCTGGCTTCCTTCCCCCTCTCTCCTTCCCTCTCTCCTTCCCCCTCTCCTGGCTTCCTTCCCCCTCTCCTCCCCTCTCTCCTCCCCTCTCTCCTCGCTTCCTTCCCCCTCTCCTTCCCTCTCTCCTTCCCCCTCTCCTGGCTTCCTTCCCCATCTCCTTCCCTCTCTCCTTCCCCCTCTCCTTCTCCCTCTCTCCTTCCCCCTCTCCTTCCCCCGCCTAGGGCGACTGTGGGTGAGTGGGGAGCACGGTCGTCCTCCAATCAGAGGGTTGTGGGTTCGATCCCAGGCTCGGCTAACCCGCATGTCGTTGTGTCCTTGGGCAAGACACTTAACCCACCATTGCTCCTGTAGCTGCGACTACAGTGTGTGGATGGTAGTTACTGATGGCAGGTGTCACTGTCTATGGTTCTCCTGTCATCAGGGTATGAATGGGTGTGAATGGGTGAATGATGTCGTGTAGTGTTAAAGCGCTTTGAGTGGTCAGAAGACTAGAAAAGCGCTATACAAGTACAGTCCATTTACCATTTACCATTCCCCTCTCCTTCCCCCTCTCCTTCCCTCTCTCCCTCTCTCCTTCCCTCTCTCCTTCCCCCTCTCCTTCACCTTCTCCTTCCCTCTCTCCTTCCCTCTCTCCTTCCCTCTCTCCTCAGGTGGGCTTTGACAGCATCGGGGGTCTGGCAGGTCACATCTTGGCCCTGAAAGAGATGGTTGTGTTCCCGTTGCTTTACCCAGAAGTCTTTGACAACTTCAAGATCCAGCCTCCCAGGTGACGCACACACACACACACACACAGACACACACACAGACACACACACACACAGACACACACACACACACACACAGACACACACACACACACACACAGACACACACACACACACACACACACACACACACACACATGGTGTCGGGCGTTCAGTCATTTTTAATTGCCCCTCCCTCCAGAGGTTGCCTGTTTTACGGGCCCCCCGGGACGGGGAAGACGCTGGTGGCCCGGGCGCTGGCCAGCGAGTGTAGCCACGGCAACAGGAAGGTGTCCTTCTTCATGAGGAAGGGCGCCGACTGCCTCTGCAAGTGGGTGGGCGAGTCGGAGCGGCAGCTGCAGCTGCTGTTTGAGCAGGTGACTCCACGTCCCACCCCCACCTGCCGAGGACCCCCCCCTGCTTAGTTTGACCACGTGTCCTACTCGTCCTCAGGCCCATCAGATGCGTCCCTCCATCATCTTCTTCGACGAGATGGACGGGCTGGCTCCGGTCCGGTCCAGCAGACAGGACCAGATTCACAGGTCGGAGCAGAGCGCTTGTTTTCATGTCATTATCGTCTCATCTTTGGCGTTCGGCAGTATTTCTGTGCGCCTCGTCGCGTGGTTGGATTTAACAAAGTGACCCAACCTGTGGGTGCAACACAAAGTCATCGCCATGGTTACAGATGGCGTCGATCCGCTGAACCAGCTGTCCATTTTTCTTCGGTCCCTCAGCTCCATCGTGTCCACGCTTCTGGCTCTGATGGACGGGTTGGACAGTCGGGGCGAGGTCGTCGTGATCGGCGCGACCAACCGCCTGGACGCCATCGACCCGGCGCTGCGACGGCCCGGGCGCTTCGACAGGGAGTTCCTGTTCGGCCTGCCCGACCGGGAGGTGTGACATCACACACTCAGAACCCTCCCTAGTGCCCGCGTGCTTCTGGATGAATGACGTCCTTGAGCTGATGTTCTCTCACAGATCCTTCGGGTCAACTGACTCCTTCTGTCATTAAGACCCTCGAAATCCTCTGGACTCTTATTCTGCTACATTGTTCCAAAGCTCTCTCTGTGACTCTGTGACCCAGCTGTTGGTTTTCTTTCAGTCCCGTAAAGAGATCCTGAAGATCCACACGAGGCAGTGGAGGCCCGGCCCGTCGGACGACTTCCTGGAACAACTGGCCGAGAGATGTGTCGGTGGGACGGACTTGACTCCCACCAGCGTGTGACGGAGTGTTTACAAGCAATGATGCACACAAAAAGAAGGACATACAGAACGTATAGAACGTATAGACCGGATGGAACATGTGAAACCTATAGGACATATAGAACGTATAACATATAGAACGTATGGAACATATGGAACGTATAACATATTGAACGTATGGAACATATGGAACGTATAGAACGCATGGAACGTATAACATATAGAACGTATGGAACGTATAGAGCGCATGGAACGTATAACATATAGAACGTATGGAACATATGGAACGTATAGAGCGCATGGAACGTATAACATATAGAACGTATGGAACATATGGAACGTATAACATATTGAACGCATGGAGCATATGGAACGTATAGAACGCATGGAACGTATAACATATAGAACGCATGGAACGTATAGAACGCATGGAACGTATAACATATAGAACGCATGGAACGTATAGAGCGCATGGAACGTATGGAACATATGGAACGTATGGAACATATGGAACGTATAACATATAGAACACATGGAACGTATAGAACGCATGGAACGTATGGAACATATGGAACGTATAGAACGCATGGAACGTATAACATATAGAACATATGGAACGTATAGAACGCATGGAACGTATAACATATAGAACGTATGGAACATATGGAACGTATAGAGCGCATGGAACGTATAACATATAGAACGTATGGAACATATGGAACGTATAACATTGAACGTATGGAGCATATGGAACGTATAGAACGCATGGAACGTATAACATATAGAACGCATGGAACGTATAGAACGCATGGAACGTATGGAACATATGGAACGTATGGAACATATGGAACGTATAGAACGCATGGAACGTATAACATATAGAACGTATGGAACATATGGAACGTATAGAGCGCATGGAACGTATAACATATAGAACGTATGGAACATATGGAAGGTATAGAACGCATGGAACGTATAACATATAGAACGTATAGAACACATGGAACGTATGGAACATATGGAACGTATGGAACATATGGAACGTATAGAGCGCATGGAACGTATAACATATAGAACGTATGGAACATATGGAAGGTATAGAACGCATGGAACGTATAACATATAGAACGTATAGAACACATGGAACATATGGAACGTATGGAACATATGGAACGTATAGAGCGCATGGAACGTATAACATATAGAACATATGGAACGTATGAAACCTACAGGACATATAGAACGTAGAACATATAGAAACACAGCGGCTGTGTGCTGTCAGTAGACTTCTGTCATTGTTTAAATTTGCTGTGCAACATTGACCCTTGACCTGCGGGCCCCACATGTGTGTCTGCATTGTGTGTCAAACTGACTTCCTGTCTCCCAGGCTACTGCGGCGCCGACATCAGGGGCGTTTGCACAGAGGCGGCGCTGTGCGCTCTGCGCCGCCGCTACCCGCAGATCTACGGGACGTCCCACAAGCTCCTGTTGGACGTCTCCTCCATCGCTGTCGGGGGACGCGACTTCCTGGCGGCCATGGCGAAGACGCTGCCGGCCTCCCGCCGCTGCGCCGCCTCGCCCGCCTCGGCGCTGTCGGCCGTGGTGCGCCCCCTGCTGGGCGGAGCCCTGCGCCGCGCCCTGAAGGAGCTGCAGAAGCTGTTCCCTCACGCGGAGCAGGGCGTGAAGAGGAGGAGGGAGCCGGGTGAGTCCCAGCCGCAGGCCGCAGGCGCTTCTCTTCCAACGTCACGTCTACTGAGCGGCGGGGTTTCTCTCGCTCCTCAGACGGGACCCCGGGTTTCCTTGACGACGGGCTGACGGAGGGAGACGACGAGGGCGCCTTCTCCAAAGCCTTCACCTCCAAAAGCCGCCCCTTCCTGCACTTCTCCAGGTGAGTCCACACCACATCAGCCTTTAGTTCAGAAACACAGCGAGGAGCCAACCAATAAATGGAAGCTAAAGGTCAACAAACCACAGACGTTGTTTAAGCAGCAGCTGCTCCCAAAATCAAGACGAAAAAAGAGTTTGTAAATGAGGCCCAAATGTTGCATATGCATTCTCTGTTATTCCATATTTATCCCCATATGTTTCTTCTTCTGCTTAACTTATTTTGTTTATTTATATATTCACAATAAAATCTCTGCTGTTTAATTTCATAAAAAAATGTTTCTGTCCTGATTTGTTCCGTCACATTTGTTCTTGCAAACAACAAAACCTACAAATCTACAAACCTCGCTGACTTTGCCTCCCCTTCCTCCCTCCTGCCTGCAGGAGTGCAGCCAAACACCCGACGTCCCACCGTCCCAGGATGCTCCTCGGCGGTCCTCCTGCTTCGGGTCAGACCTCCCACCTGGCTCCGGCCTTGCTGCACGCCCTGGAGCGCTTCCCCGTCCACAACCTGGACTCGGCGGTGCTGTTTGGGGTCAGCGGGACGAGCCCGGAGGAAGCCTGCGCCCAGGTGAGGCCTCGGCCCGAAGGTGTGAGCTGACGAGTGACACTTGGTGTCATCATAATGATCATCTCCATTCGATGAGCACGTCCTACACAGACTGTTCTGTGAAGAGAAGATGATGTATGAAGAATGCATTTTGCAGCGTTATTTGTCACATGACCAGGAAACAAACTGAAATGTGGATGCTGAAGCTCCGCCCTCCTTTAGTGACCCCTGGTGGCTCCTGGAGTCCTCAAACCCCTCGTCTCCTCATCTCCCTCAGGTGTTCTGTGAGGCCCGGCGGACGGCTCCCAGCATCCTCTACCTGCCCCACATGCAGCAGTGGTGGGAGGCCGCGGGGTCCTCGCTGAGGGCGTCCTTCCTCAGCCTGCTGGCCGCCGTCCCCTCCCTCTCCCCCATCCTCCTCCTCGCCACCTGCAGTGACAACTACCAGGAGCTGGACCCAGAGGTGGAGCAGTAAGGGACACAGATGTTTCTCTTTGCGCCTCCATGAGTTCTGACTGTTTCTCTCCTCAGATTCAGGCTCTGTTTCGGGAGGAGTACGGGGAGGTTCACATCGTCAGCGTTCCCACCCGGCAGGAGAGGAGTGACTTCTTCCAGGACCTCCTCCTGAACCAGGCGGCCGAGGCTCCGCCTTCCAAACCAGCCGGTGCGAGACGCTTCAACCGCGAAGGGTTAAGAAGTGTAAATAAGTCAGACGGTGTTTCTGACCTCACCTCCTTTCCTCCTCCCGCAGTGGCCGAGGCCGTGGAGGTGCTTCCCCTGGCTCCCATGCCCCGCCCCCGCCAGCTGCCGGAGCGGGAGCGCCTCCGCCTGGAGGAGCAAGAGGAGGACGTGCTGCGGGACCTCCGCCTCTTCCTGCGCTATGTCACGGAGAGTTTGGCTCAGGACCGCCGCTTCAAGGCCTTCGCCAAGCCGGTGGACACAGAGGAGGTGGGTGGACTTCAGGCCGCCTCCTCCTCCTCATGCTCCTCCCCCTCGCGCCCCTCCTCCTCCTCTTTTGCGTCTCGCTCCAGGTGCCGGACTACACTCTGGTGGTGAAGGCGCCGATGGACCTCTCCACGCTGCTGACCAACATCGACGAGCAGAAGTACGTCACGGTGGACGAGTTTGTGTGCGACGCCGACCTCATCTGGAAGAACGCCTTGGAGTACAACCCGGACAGCGACCCCATGGGTGAGGCCCCGCCCCCACGGAGGCCCCCGAGGGACCAGAAGGAATGTTTTTATTCTCAGAATTGTATTCATTTTAAAGTGTTTGTGTGTGTGTGTGTCAGACCGTCACATCCGTCACCGGGCGTGCGCCCTGAGGGACGCGCTGCGCTCCATCATCAGAGCCGAGCTGAACGAAGGCTTCCAGAGAGCCTGCGAGGAGATCCGAGCCTCTCGGACGCAGAGAGGTGAGGTCATGAAACACCTGGAGGAGATCTTTGGAATGTAGAAACACAGAACGTTCTTCTGCAAGACGACACTTTATTCATTTCAGCCTCCTCCTGCTGGACCAAACCCGAGGAGGACAGCAGAAGAGGGAGCGAAGCTCCACGTAAGTGTTTGAGGGGCGAATCATAGCCTGCATGAGAGCATCATGCTGGATCCACAGTTACTAAATACATACATGAAGGTTGAACAAGATCACAGCAAAGAAATCATTTCATTTGAGATCTTTCACCAAAACGATCGCTTTGATCGATGTTTGTTTCTAAATTCACACCCGCAGACGTCAGGTGGCTCATTGTGAAGCGGCACGTTTTTTATTTAAACATCAACGGGGCAACTGAGGTCATCTTACAGGCGACCCGACGTCCCGCAAACAAACCGCAAGACGCGATTCATCTGCCTCTTCCTCCTTCTGCTCGTCTTCCTCCTCAAGCAGAGAGAGAGACCAGTGCCAACATGGCCGCCGCCAACATGGCCGCCGCGGAGAGGAAGCAGCCGCCCAGCAGGAAGAGGCTCGACCGGGCCGCCCCCCCACTGCTAATGGATCAACACAAACTAAGGGTGAGTGGACCCGGCTGGCCGCTACCTGCTGGGCTCTGATTGGCTCTGCGGTTTTTCCAGATGTTTGGGCGTTTTGGTCGTTGCGTATTTCAGGACGTCCTCAAGCGGGCCGTGGATGGAACGGAGGGCTTCGAGGTGGAGCCGCTGGAGAAGCTTCACGCTCTCCTGGCTCAGTGCATCTACCGACACCGCAACGACCGCAACAAGAAGGAGCTCCTTCAGGTACGGAACACGCCTGGCCTCCATTTTTACCGAGCGCCTTCGTAGCGTAGCAGCATGGTCAGAGTTTACGGTTAGCACCGGAACGATAGCGTGATAGCAATTAGTCAATTCCACCGTAGCAAATGTCATTGTTCTCCATCAAGTCACCACAGAAAACGCTTCAATGTCTGTTCTACCTTCTTCTATTTCTATTAGATAGTAGAAGTAGATTTACAGCTTTAGTTTTACCTTTTATTTTGTCTTCAGGAAATGAAGGAAGAAATCGCCAGCTTTGTTTCATCTCCGGCTCCAGTTCTGTTTAAATAAATCCTCATCAAACAAGAAGTCTACTCCTCATTTATTGATTCACCTCAATATTTATTATGTTAGAATTTCTCTAATAGAATAATTTACCTATGGGGATCATTAAAGGATATTTTCTTTCTTCTTGCATGTTATATTATATCATTCTTATTTATCGAGTTATTTTTTTCAATCTAGGTTGTTTGTAACTGATCTGGGAACAGAATACTAATTCTAAACATTCTTAGTTCTGACATTAAATAATCGTGTCTGAAGCACATAAGATTAGTTTTGAGGTCTTGTAATTTACTTTAAAATAATGAGTTTGATTCAATTTTTATTCATACTTGTTCTTTACTTCATTAGAGAGGGATATTTTTGTAATTATTTTTCTCATTTGTGCCACATAACTTTTATAAGCCTCAATAGTATAAAACATATAAATGATACAATCTACATCTAATCCAGTTCTAAACATGGTGCTCACGTACCAGGCTGTGAATGGATGGGGTCCAGCTTCCATCCAGGACCTGGTCCAACCCGACATCCCGACCTCTGACCTCTCCGCTCTGCATGTGATAAACTGCTTGTTCCTCCTCACTGAGAGCAAAACACTGGACTAGATCTCCACTCTTTGCTGTCCTGCTCCTAAATGGTGGAAGGAGGTCTCTGAAGACATCAGGACCACAGAGAGCCTTCACATCTTCAGACTAAAGACACACCTCTTCAGACTCTACCTCCACTAACACACTAACTAACTGTAGCACTTACATTGGACTTATAATGGTTCTTATCTACAGCAAGTTGTACATCGGCTTATTTGAGGAAATTGCACTTTCTTGTTTCTTGTTTTGACATGTAATGTAATATACAGTAATGTAATATACATCCAGTATATAAAGGAGGTCAAAGTTAGAATACTATCATTCACTTCCGTTTGACGAGGATACCTTCAAAATAAATCCATAAAGTAAATAAAACAATACAAAAATGAATAGATATAAATGTATTAGGACAATTACATCTAATAAACAAGTAGTTAGTAGGCAGAATATAAAGACATATACGTTTAGGAAAAAGAATGATTAATATTCATAATTTTCTATCAATGTAATACACTATTTAAACGTTTTGATTAGAAGTATTTATGGTTATTCGAAATCAAAAATACAAATATTTAATAGTTTATTTTTGTTTGAGAGCAAATCACACATCACAACATCAATTCAAATTCAATGTGTATCAATTTTGTTTTGAAATCATCTGCACAGTTCAGTACAGTAGTATACTATACTATATAACTGAATCAACAACCATGATACAAGCAATTTCAGATTTTAGATGCAGGAATAGTATTTGTACTAGTAGTGTTTCTACTTTTACGTTCTGGCACCAACCTCTTAATTCAGTTCAACTTTAGCTGAAGCTTTTATTTTGTAAAATAAACCGAACCGGATGTGCTTGTCGACTGTTGCTCGCTTGGAGCGGCGGTATGAAAAAAATGGCCACCGTCGAATTCGGTGAACTATCGGTGGCGTTTTTATTAAACTGTCCTTTTTATTAACAAAAGCAACCGAGCGAACTATGCGAGTCGTGCCGCTGCCGGCGGACAACCGCAGCTAACAGGCGCTAGCTTAGCTCGTCCAACCGCCGTCGGAGGGGCTCTGCGTCCGCGGCTGAAGCAGATGGGCTCCTCGGTGTATTTGGGCTGAAAGGCGGAAGACTGCGCATCAACACAGCGAGCCAGAGGCGCGACGGAGCTACAGCGATTCACCCCGACTACCTCCCCCCGCGAAGGAGGCCGATTCACCAGGTAAACACCGGCCGAACGCACTCCGTCTTCCCGGGTCTCTCGCCGCCTCACGTCCGCGGCCACTTGTGGAGGTCCTCGGTAAAACGCAGCTAGCTAGCTAGCTAGGCAGCTAAGCTAACGTTAGCATAGGATGCTGCTGCTGCTGCTGTTGACGTTTCTTCTCGATTTATTTGAGCGAGCTGAGCAGACGTGTGCGTGTGTGTGTGTGCGCTTCCGTCCGTCTGATTATTATGTATTCTTTAAATCTTATTTAATTCTATTATATTCTGTTCTTATATCGCACCAAGTCAAATTCCTTGATGTGTAACGTAGGTCGAAATAAATGGCTTCTGATTCTTATTTTGATATTTTGCCTGATTTAATCCCTTTGATCAAGTGCAATCAACACAACTCATAATGATTAAACTGAACAGCAAATCTTAAGAGTTCTGAATATTGAAATTTTAATGTCCGAGTAAAAATAATTACACACCGAACAAAGTGGCACAAACAAGATGAATAATAGATTTATTACAAATAATAAACTGTGTTTATACGTCACCTTTTAAAAACAAGTTAAACATAAAATCAAAGACTAGCAACTTAAAATAGAAATAAGTCCCTGAAAGCCCAAATAAGAAGATGAAAAGCATATATTCAATATATTCATTCCCATCATTCATTCATGGGGTCGACGGTGGCGTGTGGAGTAGAGCGGGACCACTGGGAGCCGCAAGGTTGCCGGTTGGAGCCCCGGCTGCTCCATGTCCCATGTTGAAGTGTCCCTGAGCAGGACACCGGACACCTAATTGCTCCGTCAGCTAAATGACCTGTAATGTAATGTATATATTTATGGGACATTTTTAACATTCATCCCTTTTGAGATCAACAAAATATGCCTGAAAAGTTCCACAAATATTCATTTAGAATTTATTGACAGAATATAACATTTAGAGCAATCACAAGGTCGACGTTGAAAAATACATTTTAGAGAAGCTAAAGATGTGTTTTGATGTAGTTTGTCCTCCACATAGTCATAAAGTGCATAAAACACATTTCTAGCAGGAATGTTTCAAATCTGCTGTCCAACAAAATAAATTCAAATAAAGTAAATTTAAATCAGAATTCCTGTTGTTTTATATTGTCGTGCGATCAGTCAGATTTTCCAGATGTGTAATTTTGTCCGATTACATCTGAATGCACCAACGCTGCCAACATCAATCAGAACTTGTAACTGTCTTTAGGAGTTAAAGACAACAGAGGACCCGCCTCCTCTGATTTATGGAGCCACAACACGCCGACTCAAACTGAGACGGCGTTGACACTCCGCTAGACGCCCCGTCCCTCCCGTCCCCCGCCAGAGGATGGCGAGCCGGAGGAAGTCCACCACCCCGTGCATGGTCCCTCCTCGGGCGGCCGTGGACTCGGACCAGGAGATGGAGGACGCGGCCGACGCCGCAGAGCCGGAGGAGGGCGACGGCGCCGAGGAGCCGGAGGAGGCCCGCCCGGACCACTGCCTGGAGCCCGGCGCCGCCGAGGGGGGCTACGAGTGCAAATACTGCAGCTTCAGAACGTCTGAGCTCAACCTGTTCACTGTGCACGTAGACACGGAGCACCCGGACGTGGTCACCAACACCTCGTACGTCTGCATGGAGTGTGACTACCACACCAAGAGGTAGAGCCCCTCAATGCTTTGTACCATATATATATATATATAATATATATATATATATTATATGTATATTGTTATTTATTCTTTTTCTCAAAGGTGGAAAAAGGTTTAGTTGATGAAAACAAAGAAGAAGACATGATGTTTAGTAGATTAAACTCTCTGATCAGAACTCTTCTCATATTTAATCCGTCTCCTTTGGTACCGACGCGCCTTTCTCTCCTCCGCCCAGTTACGACACGCTGCTGGCCCACAACGCTCGCCTCCACCCGGGCGAGGACAACTTCACCCGCACGATGGTGAAGCGCCACAACGAGACGGTCTTCCAGCAGACGGTCAACGACCTCACCTTCGATGGCGGCTTCGTGAAGGTGGAGGCGGAGGAGGAGGCGGAGGAGACGTCCCGCAACAGCATCGCTCTGAGCAAGACGCCCATCATGAGGATCAGGAGCCGTCCGGAGCACAAGAAGTTCGCCGCCCTGCACAGGATGGCCGTCGACGACGTCATCAAGGTGGAGAGCGGCGAGGAGGGGGAGGAGGAGCCACCCGCGCTGTCTCCCGCCCCGGCCGCCGCCCCCCCGCGCCTCATCCCCGTCTCCGCGCCGCTGCAGGTCCACGCCGTCCCGCAGAGCATCGTGGTCAACAGCTCCAACATGCTGCAGTTCAGAGGGGGGTCGGGCGGCGGGGGGGGCGCCGTGCTGCCCCCTGGGACGCTGGCCCAGGTGCTGTCGGCTCTGCAGAACCAGCAGAACTGCAGTCAGACGCAGCTTCTCATCCCCATCAGCAGCATCCCCACCTACAACACGGCCATGGACAACAACGTCCTGCTGGTCAGCGCCTACAACAGGTAACCCGCTCTCACATACATACACACCTGTATGTGTACATCAACCCAATAGAAGAACCAACACGGTCAGTGGTGTATTGTCCTTTATATTTCCTCTGGCGTGTCTCAGGTTTCCGTACCCTTCGGTCTCGGAGATCATGGGTTTGTCTTCGCAGACCAAGTTCAGCGAGGAGCAGATCAAAGTCTGGTTCTCCGCCCAGCGGTTGAAACACGGAGTGAGCTGGACGCCGGAGGAGGTCGGTGCTCGCTAACCTCTAACTCACACCTCCACTTGATGGACAACGTTTGTGTATCGGCGCCACGCAGAATTCAGAATGTCTGTTCATCTCATAGCACTTGGTTGTTTTTTAGCTGTATGCGTTTACTTAACTTTCACTACAATGATGGTAATAATTTAATGAATAAGCTGAGTGAACTTGGGGATGAGTGAGTGTAGAATAGAGAACATGTTAAAACAAATCCTGTTACATTTTCTGACTATTTTTATTTTCTTTTTTTATAAATATTATGTTCAAGGAGCAACCTGTACTTTCTGAAGTATTTTTGCAATGTGAATTTGCAGTTCTGTTTTAGAATAAAAGGTTGGAAATTAAAGCTTTTTAATGCTTTAACAAAAATCAGATTCATCGATTAATCGACCAATTAATCAATTATCAAACTAATCGTTAGTTGCCTACTCGGATCACAGACGTGTCCGCTGATGCTGATGCTAATGCTAAAGCTAATGGGCCAAA